AGGACCTTGTGGGTGATTACAATTTCTACCACTCACCTTTTCTTATAGTTTATTGATTTGATTGTATTGGAAAAGAGGGAAAAACATTCCCTACAAAGGACAATAGTGACCCCCAAGCAAGAGCTATCTGTGGGCCAAACTGTACGGAATGAGGAAGGAGAGATGTAGCAACAGGATTTGTTTCTGCTGTGTGTGCCTTCATGTCGTTTCTGAGGCTGGTGTATGGTTTCTCAGCTCCCACTGTGCTGCTGTGGATAAGTCTTCTCTTGAAAGAAAGATCACGCCAAGACGCACATAGGCTGAAGATACCATTCCTCTTTTCTGTTCAGAATACAAGAGTCTTGCAGTACTGACCATCTATATAGGCCTAGCTACAATATCATAAATCACTCAAGAGTCCTGGCACCTGGAGGTTGCCCCTTTCCACATTCCAGAGCCCACTATCCTCCCACCTCGGGGCAATTGAGTTTTATGGTGTCTCATATGTCCTGTCCTCCCTTTTGGCCCATGGCCATGTGCTCTATGTTAGAATGGCTGATAGTTGGATGGCATGAGATAGAGATCATGACTGCATGATCCACACTGCCCTATATCTCAGGATCTGATCTCAGATTATCTGCCTTGAGCTGGATTCTGAGTCTACACTGCTTGATAATCTGGGATAACCAGATAATCTGGAATCAGATCCTGGAATATAGGGCAGTGTAGATCCAATCTGATGTATGGCAACTTTGTTGGAGCATGTAATTGGTGAGTGTGTTAACTGAAAAAGGCAAAGCAAAAAGCTGATTGTTTGGGCCACGCCCACAAACTATCTTAGCCTGGGAGTTTTGGTAACAGTTACATGTTTAAGTTTTCTGTGCAGGAGCTTGCCAATACAGTTTCATATTTTTGCCTCTTTGTTGCTGGAAGAAGATCTCTCACATGGATACCTAAGGACCATTTGAATCTCTCAAAGGACATTGTATGAGTCAATGCAACTGTTCTCATGACTGTCTATGTGTTGCTCTACATAACAAAGTGTAAACACCTTACTATTTACTGAGAATCTGCATGGCATAATTTTTCTCTAACAAGGCAGTATGTGAATTGGCAAAGACGTGAACTACATGTGAATTTCATTCCGCCACAGACTTTAAGCAAACCTATCACAGAACTTTCTTGATTGAGACCATGTGACTTCTTCAAGGTCACCTAGGCTTCTTCCACACTGCCATATAAAATCCAGATTATTTGCTTTGATAATCTGGATTATACGGCAGTGTAGAAGGGCCCCCAGTGGGTTTCCATGGCTAAATGGGGATTTGAGCTGTAATCTACCAGTCATAATCTTATACTCAAACCATATACCATGCAGTCTCTCAACAGTACTTTGCTTTTTGTTTTGTTTTGTGGGATTGTTTCAGTCAATAAGCAAGAACAGACTGCCCTTTGGGATGGATTAGGGCATTGATGGAAGTTTAATATCTCCTCCTTTGCAGTAGAAATTCCCATCTGTTTATCTGCTTTGCTGAATTAGCCATGTCCTTTATGAATTATGATGTTCAGGACCTGAAGTTATGTCCTGATGGCATCATAAATATATCAGTTAAGAAAGGCATTTATTGGTGTGCCATTTATGTCCTATGTCTAAAGATTCCTGGTGTCTGTATACAATACAAGCCAGTGAGTTGTTGACTGCTTGTTCTGAACTGTTTCTCAGCTCTCCCTGGCCCCTTCTACACTGCCATATAAAATCCAGGTTATCTTCGTTGAACTGGATTAAATGACAGTGTAGACTCAAATAGTAAAGTTCAAAGTGGATAATGTGGATTATCTGCTTTGATCATATGGACTATATAGTAGTGTAGAAGGGGCCTGAGTCTACACTGCCATATAAGACAGTTCACTGCAGTTAATATGCACCCTCTTCTAAACTGCACTATAAAATCCGGACTATCTGATTTGATAACCTGGATTACAAGGCTCTGTAGATGCTTGGGGCCTGTATTCCAAGGCCCTTTCTAAACTGCCATATAAAATCCATGTTATCTGCTTTAAAATGGATTTGACTGCAGTGTAGACTCCTCCAATCCAGTTCAAAGCAAATAATGTGGATTATCTGTTTTGATAACCTGGATTACATGGCAGTGTAGACGGGACCTGTATTCTGAGGCCCCTTCTACACTGCCATATAAAATCCAGATTATCTGCTTTGAACTGGATTATATGTCAGTGTAAACTCGTATAATCCAGTTCAAAACAGACGTGGATTTTCCGCTTTGATACTATGTAGACGGGGCCTGTATTTTGAGGCCCCTTCTACACTGCCATATAAAATCCAGATTATCTGATTTGAACTGGATATTATGGCAGTGTAGACTCATATAATCCAGTTCAAAGCAGATAATGTGGATTATCTACTTTGATAACATGTAGACGGGGCCTATATTCCCAGGCCTCTTCTACACCGCCATATAAAATCCAGATTATCTACTTTGATCCGGATTATATAGCAGTATAGACTGGATAAAGAGATCAGGGAAAATACACAGACCAGTTAGATATGATCTCACTAACAGTCCTAGCGAATATACAGTGGAAGTGAAGAACAGATTTGAAGGACTAGATTTAGTAAACAGAGTCCCAGAAGAACTATGGACAGAAGTCCGCGACATTGTTCAGGAGGCGGCAACAAAGTACGTCCCAAAGAAAAAGAAAACCAAGAAGGCAAAATTGTTGTCTGCTGAGACACTGGAAGTAGCCCAAGAAAGGAGGAAAGCAAAAGGAAACAGGGATAAGGGGAGATATGCCCAGTTAAATGCGCAATTCCAGAGGTTAGCCAGAAGAGATAAGGAACTATTTTTAAACAAGCAATGCATGGAAGTGGAAGAAGACAACAGAATAGGAAGGACAAGAGACCTCTTCCAGAAAATTAGAAACATTGGAGGTAAATTTCAGGCAAAAATTGGCATGATAAGAAACAAAGATGGCAGGGACCTAACAGAAGCTGAAGAGATCAAGAGAAGGTGGCGAGACTATACAGAAGATCTGTATAGGAAGGATAATAATATTGAGGATAGTTTTGACGGTGTGGTGAATGAATTAGAACCAGACATCCTGAGGAGTGAGGTTGAATGGCCCTTAAGAAGCATTGCTAACAACAAGGCAGCAGGAGACGACGGGATCCCAGCTGAACTGTTTAAAATCTTAAAAGATGATGCTGTCAAGGTGATGCATGCCATTTGCCAGCAAATATGGAAAACACAAGAATGGCCATCAGACTGGAAAAAATCAACTTATATCCCCATACCAAAAAAGGGAAATGCGAAAGACTGCTCCAACTTCCGTACAGTGACCCTTATTTCTCATGCCAGTAAGGTAATGCTCAAGATCCTGCAAGGAAGACTCCAGCAATACATGGAGCGAGAGTTGCCAGATGTTCAAGCTGGGTTTAGAAAAGGCAGAGGAACGAGAGACCAGATTGCCAATATCCGCTGGATAATGGAGAAAGGCAGGGAGTTTCAGAAAAACATCTATTTCTGCTTCATTGACTATTCTAAAGCCTTTGACTGTGTGGATCATAATAAATTGTGGCAAGTTCTTAGTGGGATGGGCATCCCAAGCCACCTTGTCTCTCTCCTGAGGAATCTGTACAAGGACCAAGTAGCAACAGTCAGAACTGACCACGGAACAACAGACTGGTTCAAGATTGGGAAAGGCGTACGGCAAGGCTGCATCCTCTCACCCAACCTTTTTAACTTGTATGCAGAACACATCATGCGATGTGCGGGGCTTGATGAATGCAAAGCTGGGGTAAAAATTGCTGGAAGAAACATTAACAACCTCAGATATGCAGATGACACCACTCTGATGGCCGAAAGCGAGGAGGAGCTGAGGAGCCTTCTAATCAAGGTGAAAGAAGAAAGCGCAAAAGCTGGGTTGCAGCTAAACATCAAAAAAACCAAGATTATGGCAACAAGAATGATTGACAACTGGGAAATAGAGGAAGAAAATGTGGAGGCAGTGACAGACTTTGTATTTCTAGGTGCAAAGATTACTGCAGACGCAGACTGCAGCCAGGAAATCAGGAGACACTTACTTCTTGGGAGGAGAGCAATGTCCAATCTCGATAAAATAGTAAAGAGTAGAGACATCAGACTGGCAACAAAGATCCGCCTAGTCAAAGCCATGGTATTCCCTGTAGTCACCTACGGATGTGAGAGCTGGACCTTAGGGAAGGCTGAGCGAAGGAAGATCGTTGCTTTTGAACTGTGGTGTTGGAGGAAAGTGCTGAGAGTGCCTTGGACTGCGAGAAGATCCAACCAGTCCATCCTCCAGGAAATAAAGCCCGACTGCTCACTGGAGGGAAGATACTAGAGACAAAGTTGAAGTACTTTGGCCACATCATGAGGAGACAGGAAAGCCTAGAGAAGACAATTATGCTGGGGAAAATGGAAGGAAAAGGAAGAGGGGCCGACCAAGGGCAAGATGGATGGATGGCATCCTTGAAGTGACTGGACTGACCTTGAAGGAGCTGGGGGTGGTGACGGCCGACAGGGAGCCCTGGCATGGGCTGGTCCATGAGGTCACGAAGAGTCGGAGACGACTGAACGAATGAACAACAACATAGACTGGATTATATGACAATGAAGAAACAACCCTACTGAAACGCATACAAAAACAACAAGATTTTGTGTAAATGTTTTCTTTCCCAAGAGATTGGACTACAACTCCCATGATGGTTAGCTACGGTTGATGGAAGTCCGAGAAACCTTTGGAGTCCAAAACTTCCCTACTGTTTAGGAAAGTCCGCTGTCTTCACGAGGCAACTCCTCCCCCCTCCACCGACGCACGAAGCTGGCACGCAGGGGCGGTGAAGTCCTCTGCGTGCCAGCTTCGTGCGTCGGCGGAGGGGGGAGGAGTTGGTGCTTGACGCAACGGCTCGGGATTGGCTGTCGTTGGGGGAGGGTTCCTTAGCCACGCCCCTCCACTCTGTGAATAGGCTTGCAAAGGGGAAGAGAGGGGAGGGGGCGCGCGGGGGAGGGGGAAAGGGAAGCAGCCGGGTGCTTGCTGTTGCGTAAAAGAGGCGCCAGAAGCCGGGCTCTGCCTGCCTGCCTGCCTTGGAGGTAAGCAAAGGAGGCCATGCCTCACTTAGGGAGGAAAACCCAGCCATGAGGAAGAGGAGGATGAAGGTGGAAAGTGGGGTGCATTTCCATCTTAGGCCATGGAGCCGCCCCTAGGATCCCAGGGCACCCTTGTAGCTCCTTCTTCTGATAATAGAATGCGTCTACACTGCCCAATTCAGGCAGTTTGACCCCACTTCGACTACCATGGCTCCATGCTATGGGATCCTGGGGTTTTTACAAGGTTTCCAGCCTTCTCTGCCACAGAGTGCCTCCCCAAACTACACCTCCCTTGATCCCATTGAGCCAGGGCAGTTCATGTGGGGTCAAACTGCATTAATTCCACAGTGTGGATCCAGCCCAAGTTCTTCCTTTAGCATTCCACTTTTTTCCAGCTGCTTTTAAAAATGTTAAAAATGTTCTCTCTCCTCCTCCCACTTGCATCTGTTGCCCTCAGCTTAGTCCTGTTGCTGCAAAAGTAATTCAAAGTTCCAAAGTAGTTTTTGACCCAGGACCCTTCCACACAACCATATAACCCAGAATATCAAGGCAGAAAATCCCACAATATCTGCTTTGAACTGGGTTATATGGCAGTGTGGATTTGGGTAACCCAGGACCCTTCCACACAGCTATATAACCCAAAATATCAAGGCAGAAAATCTCACAATATCTGCTTTGAACTGAGTTATATGGCAGTGTGGACTCAGATAACTCAGGACCCTTCCACACAGCCATATAACCCAGAATACAAGGCAGAAAATCCCACAATATCTGCTTTGAACTGGGTTATATAGCAGTGTGGACTCAAATCACTCAGGACCCTTCCACACAGCCATATAACCCAGAATATCAAGGCAGAAAATCCCACAATATCTGCTTTGAACTGGGTTATATGGCAGTGTGGACTCAAATCACTCAGGACCCTTCCACACAGCCATATAATCCAAAATATCAAGGCAGAAAATCCCACAATATCTGCTTTGAACTGGGTTATCTGAGGCCACACTGCCATATTTTCCAGTTCAAAGCAGGACATGTGAGATTTTATTCTGCTATGTGGAAGGGGCCTCAGTTAATACAGGAGAGGGCAGAATATTGTCCTTCTGAATAGGTTCAAGCTAAAATAAATAGCAGTGTGCCCTTATTAAATTAAATTATGTTTACCATCTAGGCCACACTGTAACGTTGCATGGACTCGACAATGCAGTGTGTCCTCATTAATTATATTTACTACCCAACCCACACTCTGAGGATTTCTGAGGTCATGACATCCCATCTGCACGCACACAAACACAATCTAGCCCTAGTTGACACACGAGGTCATTTTCAGGAATGTAATCTAGTGTGTTGGGGCAATGGGTCAGCTGCCTTTCATGTTTTGATATCTGTGGGTTGGAAATCCCTACTTATCTGCAAAGAATTACTCTAAAGTTAACTAAAGTTGGCCCTCCACATTTGTGTGTTTCATTTCTGCGGATGTGATTTTTCACCAATTTGATTAATATGCATCTTACTGGCTGTTAGGAATTTATTTATTTATTTATACCCTGCTTTTTCTCTCCATACGGAGACTCAAAGCGACTCACAATCAAAAACATTAGAATTTAAAATATACAAATATACAAAACTAAAACAGTATATCATTATATATTATTTTATATAACCAATAGTATTATATTTAATATATTATTATATTACAATATTATTACATATTATTATATTTTATTACAATATAATAATACTATTAATATTATAGGTAGTGATAAAAGTTTCACCTGACATTAAGCCTAGTCGTGTCTGACTTTGAGGGGCCAGCAGGTTACCTTCCTGCCAGAGCGGTACCTATTGATTTACTCACATTTGTTTTCGAACTGTTAGGTTGGCAGAAGCTGGGGCTAACAGTGTGAGCTTGCCCTAATCCCCAGATTAAAACCGGCAACCTTTTGGTCAGCAAGTTCAGCAGCGGCTTAACCTGCTACACCACCAGGACGCCTTATTAATATTATATGTATATGTATATTATATTATATTATATTATTAGCATAGCACAATATTAGTATTATATATTACTATATTGTATTATAACACCATACTGCAATACTTTTAGTAATATTACATGTGATATGCAATTATTATATTATATATTATTATATTGTATTATATTCATTGAGGGATTTGAAGTCCAAAATACCCGGAGGGACGAAGTTTGCCCATGTTTCATCTACTCTGTAAAATTAAAACGCTTTGACACCGCTTTAATTGCCAGGGTCCAATTCTATGGAATCACAGGAGTTGTAGTTTTACAAGGTGTTTTAGCCTTCTCTGCTGAAGTGTGCTGGGACTTCATCAACCTATAGCTCCCATGATTCCACAGCATTGAGTCATGACAATTAAAGTGGTGTCAAACTGCATTAATTCTACAGTGCAGATGCACCCAAGCTAATTGAAGAAGAAACAGAAAGGTCCCCATTTGGTAGGCCAAAAGTTAAACTGAAAGTAGAGATAAGAGATGGAATGAATCACTGCTAGTTCGGTAGGTTTCAGGTTAAGCCTGATGATGGATAACAGGATAAAAGAGCAAGGATTGCTTTCCCTTTCTAAAGGCAAGAATGACAGAAATTCAGGGATCTGTTGGCTGCCTTAGATGAAAGAGATATGCCTCTGACTCATGACAGAGCAATTGAGATTAAATGTAGACAGTGCACCAAGTACAGCTTTTTACGGGATGTGTTGAGTTCTCTGCCAGTTCTCTCTCCACCTCTTCTTTTCCTGAATTTCCGGTTTCTGGCGATTTGCTGGATCTGTAGCCTGAAGGAACCTTAAGTTTGTTTTACAGTTAGACTTTCTGTGAGAGGCACACTCCATTTGCCAGCATTTGCAATTCACTTCAAATAGTGCCAACTACAATGTAATAGTTTTAAAAAAGAGCACTTAATCCTTGAACAAGCCTTTTGCAGTCATAATCAGAGGGGCTAAGCCTGGCAAGAATATGGATTTTTCCATCTTTTAGTATGTATGCCTTGATTTCCAACTGAAGCAGACATTTTTGGCTGCCTCTCAAGTATCTTCATTGCCAGCTATCTCTGGTATTTTCTTTTGCTTGTATGTGTGTAAATTTATTTTTTTTGCTCCAGATCGGTAAGTTTTCCAAACTCAGGGCCCTTCTAAACTGCTATATAAAATCCAGATTATCTGCATTGAAGTGGATTATATGGCAAAGTAGACTCCTATAATCTAGTTTAAAGCAGATAATGTGATTATCTGATTGGGTAATCTGGATTATATGGCAGTGTAGATGGCACCTCTGTGTCGTCAGATCAGTTTCTTAAGATTTTCCTTCCTGTTGTGTAACTGTTATCAAGTAAAACTTCCCTTGTTCTGCATGGCAAGAAAAAGATCACATTTCCCTCAAACCTAAATTTATCTCCAGACTGAATGGTACATAGATTTCTTCAGAGACTCTTTGTACTCTACCTATAAAGTGGCTGGCAGCCTCTCATTGGACAGAAATGGGTCCAGGCTTCAAATAATATTACATTGCAAGGAATATTTTATTGGTTATTTCATGGTATTTTGCAGGGTTATTTTTTGTTCTTGGTCCTGTTATGGCCAAGAAGGTGTGAAACCTCTTTCTGTATCACCTCTAGACTCCCTTTTAATACCATCTCAAGCAAGAAAAATATCAGTGGCCCCCAAACTTCACTTTCCTCCCCCTGCATATTTCACCATCTTCACCTGATGGAGAAGCCAGTAGGTTTCAAAAGCTAACGTGATACACGTTGCTCCTTTTGCTTGGTTGGATAAAGGTATCACCACAATGTATATTTTGGATTTTGTTGCATAGAGACATAGGTCTTATTCATAGGTCTTATTCATACATGAGTAGGGTCCATTCACACTCTACTAGAATCAAGCTATATTCCATTTCAGCTGCCATGACAATAACCCAGAGCAGGGATTCTTAAACTTTTTTCACTTGTGACCTGTTTCTGCCTGAGAAAATTTTACATGACCTGACTATATAGCTATTAGTCATGGACCTGAAATTTGTCCCGTTCATTTCATTTGTATTTCTGTTTTGTTCCGTCCATTCGGATTGCACAAAATGGAAAGGCCGCTCCTGAAATGAAAATGCAATTGATACAAAAGGCGGGTGTGTGTGTGTGTGTGTGTCTGCTTTTTGTATTGATTGCGTGGGGCCTGGCAGCGCCTGCAGTTGACTGCACTCCCCCCCTCCCTATAATGGTCCAAAAGAAAACGGATCTTTCAGCTTGGAAAACAAAAAAATTATCTGACTTCCCGATTTCGGGAGGCTCAGACGAAAATGGATTGGGGCCCCCACCGGAAGCCGGGACATGAAACAGATCAAGGTAAGTCCCGAATGCACATGACTAATAGGTATACAAAATAGGTATAAAAATCAAACCTTTACTGATAACAAATAAGCATTTGCAAACTTGCTAAAAAGAATTATTTTCCTTTTTATGAAGTATAGCTGGAGAATCTCCTGCAGAGTTCACTTTAAACACTATACAACAGATTTGTGTCAATGTCTAAAAGAGCAACTAGGTGACATTCAGAAAACTTTTACTGTTGCGAAATTGTTCAGGACACCAACATGGACCTAAGGGGACCCCATTTGGGTTTGGGACATACAGTTTAAGAAGCAGAATCCTAGAGAATCCAGGATTTTGTAGTCTGGGAAAAAACTAGAGTTCTCTATCTGAGAATTAAAAATAGTCATCTGTAAACTAGCAATCCCAGAACTTCATGGAATGCTGTTATGCCAGTTAAAGTAGAATACAGCAGGACCCCTGTATTCAAGTACCCTCAGTTTCATTCAACTGACTCTGATCAAATGTGTCCTCTCTAAACATTTTCTAGGTCTTCCATTGTGATTATATAGTATTCATGGGCCAGAAATCCACATTTCAGTAGTTTATCCACTATTTCATGAATCTACGTGAAGTCCAGGAATGTATCCCTCACCGATATGGAGGCTATAGTGTATAACATTTCAACTGAAGAAGTCCATAGAAGCCCTACCCAAGTTTGAAAGGTCAAGATAGTAAAGGCAGGGGAACTTTGTTAATTAGAATACATAATCCTATGACATTTTTATTTACATTTATTGGTTATGTATTCCTCTTTCTCCCTCAAAATTAGAGTGATACCCACGCTGTACATGTATTTTGATAAAAATGTGAAATTATACAGCATTTATAGCACATGTTCAAGGTGCTGGCTTTAGCCTATAAAGCCCTAAACGGTTCTGGCCCTGCTTACCTCTCTGAACGCATCTCCACCTATGAACCGACCAGAACATTAAGATCGTCTGGGGAGGCCCTGTTCTCGATCCCACCTGCGTCACAGGCGCGCTTGGCGGGGATGAGAGACAGGGCCTTCTCAGACGATGGTGGCCCCTCGGCTATGGAATGCCCTACCGGCAGACATCAGACAGGCACCTTCGCTGCTGACGTTTCGGAGAATGGTTAAGACCTGGCTTTATGAACAAGCGTTTGGTTAAGCAGTGCAACCAATCATAGGAAGACGGTAAATGGAACATAGGAATGGCACAAGGATTATGAGAACGGATCTGATTTCAACTGAGGCGTTACGTTATGTCTGTTTTGTTGATCTGTCTTGTTGATTGTTAACTGTTGTGGATTGATGCTGTTGATCCTGTTTGTTGCGTTGTTATGTTTTAATTGCACTGACACTGTTTGATAATTGTACCATGTAAACCGCATTGAGTCGCCTGTTAAGGGCTGAAAAATGCGGTATAGAAATAAAGCAAATAAATAAATAAATAAAATGTTCTTCTAGGTGGTCTTGTTTTCTGATGTTATGATGTTACTCCTTACATTGGCTATGTAATCCAGGGCTGATGGGAGCTAGACCCCATTACATCAGAAAATAAGACCACCTTAAAGAACATATGCTATAAATGCTGTATAATTTCATTATTTTATCATAATACAGGCACAGCATGGATATCATTCTAATTTTGGCTAATGTGAGGAGTGAAAGGAATGATATTATTTTAGTCTCTGGGTGGCTGTGAGTTTTCTTATCATATACTACATTCAGGTCTCCACATTCCTTGGAAATAGGTGCACAGGACTCTCATTAAATTGAAAAAATAAACTGTGAATAAAAATGCTATTTTTTTAACCTAAGTGAACATCCCTCTAGATCTTCCATTGTGATTCTATGGTCAACATCTATTGGAAATCAATCATACAGTTATGCCGGGGAACCTAAAGATTCCTAGAGATATCATATTAATCAAATCCACAAAAGTGAAATACATAACACGTTGAAGGTCAACTATCAATGGAAAGACCTACCATTTGGGCAAGATAAGAACAAGCCTATGACCAATCAAATGCGTTTTGAAGATGTTGAAAGTTGTGAAAAGTAACTGTGACTGTGAGACCCTGTAGTGCTAGGGCATTGCTAACTTGACTTTGTCACTGAGCATGCAAGACTTTCTGCTAGATAAGCCAGGAGCCTTTTCCACACAGAGGAATAAAATCCAACATTATCTTCTTTGAACTGGCAGTGTGGACTCGGATATCCCAGTTCAAAGCAGATATTGTGGGACTTTCTGCCTTGATATTTTGGGTTATATGGCTGTGTGGAAGGATCCTGGGTGTTAGCTGCCTATAGATCTTAGATGAAATCGAACCATGATAATTATGAAACACCTTTTCCGCTTATCAGTCTTTTCCCCAACGCAACTCAAACTGCTGGTTTTTATCTCTAAAACCCTAACTATCTTGAATCTGTGTATCTGGTGGACCGCCTCTTTCCATAGGTGGCTGCTTGTGCATTAAGATGATTGTTGGGGGCACCTTCAGTGTCAAAACTGAGGAAATTGGGAAATGATTTCTTTTCATGGGAAGAACTTAAGTTGTGGTCCTTAATTCATGAAATACTTACCTGTGGAAGAGTTACCTAACAATAGCCTTTTTGTCATTTCATCATCTTCTTGTTTCATGTTTTATTAGGGGAGGGTCAATTTTAATGTTTTATGCTGTTTTTATCAATGGCATTGTATTGTTACCAATACTGTGAACCTCCCTGAGTCCCTTTTTGGGTTGAGAAGGGTGGTATACAAATATTGCAAATAAATAAATAGAAAGTATTTAAAATATGCTTGTAATTGTTATTTGCTATCAAATCAGCTTTGACTTATGGTAACCTTATGAATGAGAGACCTCCAAGAATCATTAGCTCTCATGCTATAAAGACATTACTGAACTATTTATTTATGCACTGTACTGCCATTAAATCTCAGAGAAGTAACTACATAATAATGGGCTATAGCCTACATTTTGATCGTTGGCCAACTTCAGTAGTAGTCATACTTAAAGATAAAGGTTTTATATACTTAGATGAAACAAATGCATGGTGTCTAAACGTCTGCCAAACATTTCCATTCAGAGTTGTAATGGTTTTGATTGAGCCTGAGTAATTGTGACCTTGATAGAGATGTTATATTGTGAAATGACGGGAGAGAGTTTGGGGTTTATTCTTCCATCCTCATAATCTATGGTGACAGCAATGTGAATATAGGCTGAATGGAAATACAGAATTTTCGCTTTCTATGGGGAAAGTTAGAAGAATTGATTGGTTTCGGTCAAATGTTCTCTTTTTTTCAGCAGAGATTATACTATTTGGAATATGGATACTCATAATCTCTTAACATCTAGATTATATTGCTATATTGTATTATTGGCCAGGGGGAATGGCTACCTTTTGAATGCTGGTCTTCAGGAATGTTATTTGTCCTAATAATTCTTCCCTTTGCACTCTTATCTTGTAAGGCAAGTCACATTTGGTGTAGATGAATTTTGGTCTGAGAGAGTCAAGATTAAGCAGTCTATTGACTTCTGTGCTGCTCCTGATCTTAAGTCATTACTGTTTATGTTTTACAGCAGATTTCTAAGTAGACCAGATCTTCTTGTTTTTTTTTTTTACACAAACACAATTGTTTCTAAGCACCTTTACATTGTATTTGTTTATTGCTCTGTCTTTGCCACTATCAAGGTTTTCTGTCATGCTCCGCGCAGTCAAACACACAGGCTGTAGGTTTGGGAGCCATTTTTCAAGATGGCGGCCCTACCATAAATCTGTCTTGGCCATCAGAAGGGAGGATGTGAATGCCTGGGAAAGGAGGGCTCCACTAGCCCCCCGGCATGTCAAACTGCTCACCAACTTGGGATACAAAGTCTTGGTGCAACCATCCAACCGAAGGTCCATCCATGAAAAAGTAAGTTCCAGTGTCTTCTGTTTTTTTTCTTCTTGGTTGTAAGAAGAGATCTTGTGTTGACAGTGATATCATACATAGATGGGCGCCAGCTGTGCTCGTACCTTGGAAAGTCTGACTTGGCCACGGTGGTCCACACTCTGGTTACATCTCGTATAGACTACTGCAACGCACTCTACGTGGCGTTGCCTTTGAAGACTGTCCAGAAGCTTCAAATGGTCCAACGGTCAGCAGCCAGGTTACTAATGGGAGCGGCGCTCAGGGAGCATACAACTCCTCTGTTGTGCCAGCTCCACTGGTTTGCTACCGGGCACAATTCAAAGTGCTGGCTTTAGCCTATAAAGCCCTCGGTCAATAAGTGCATCAAATAAATAAATAGGCATTCAAATGAATACTACGGCAACTGGCAATTGACATCTGGAACGGAACATGGACTACGATTTTGGGTATGATTTTATGATATGACGAAGCGGATTAGTTAGTGTAACTTTCAGTATTGTGTATTATTGTTGTGTGATTTTCTTGCTTTTGCTTTTTGTAAACTGGTTTTATATGTTGTTCACCGCCGCGAGTCGCCCTAGGGCTGAGAGCGGCGGTCAATAAGTGCATCAAATAAATAAATAAATAAATAAATAAACGGTTCTGGCCCAACTAACCTGTCCGAATGCATCTCCTCCTGTGAACCAGCTAGGGTGTTAAGATCGTCTGGGGAGGCCCTGCTCTCGGCCCCTCCTGTGCCACAAGTACGCTTGGCAGGGATGAGAGACAGGGCTTTCTCAGTGGTGGCCACTCAGCTGTGGAACACCCTTCCTACAGATATTAGATCGGCCCCCTCCCTGTTGACATTTCGGAGGAAAGTGAAGACCTGGTTGTTTGAGCAGGCATTTGAATAGGCAGTGTAACAAATATAGGAATACAGAACAATTGGATGATGAGACTGGATTTTGATCTTAAATATGAGATGCGAATGAGATGTTTTATTGATTTATATTAACTGTATGCTACTGTTTTAATTGTTTTTAACTGTTTTATGATGTTTTTGAACATTGAATTTTGCTATTGTTAACTGCTCTGAGTCGCCCAAGGGCTGAGAAGAGTGGTATACAAATATAGTAAATAAATAAATAAATAAATAAATAAATAAATAAATAAATAAATTTGGATGTGCTGGTGATGTTTCTGGAAATGACCGTTTGAACTTGCTCTTATACCACAGATTTCCTTGGGAAGGAAATTCTGGAAAAACCAGGAAGGTGGTGGGAGAATCACTTTTTGGATAGTAAACAAAAAGTTAACTCTCTAAGCTCTGAAAAAGAAGACCATATGAGAAACCAATTCTGTCAAGCAGTACTGAGACAGGAAAAGAAAGTTAAAGGAATAATAGAAGAAAGCTGTAGATGACAGGAAAACAGGAAGAGAATGGGCAGGAAAGTTAGACTCAGAAGACATGAGAGATATCGATGTACACATACAAAACTCTTCTGATGAAAACCTCTGGTGTCACATTCCTTTATTAGGCATCTTGAGATTGTGTTCGACTGTAAATCTAACAGCTGGAATGGATCAGGTTGGGGAAAAGTAAACTCATTCATTCTCATTAAAACAAAATGCCATTCAGTGTTGTAGTTTTGCTCTCTTGAGGAAAGTGTGGAGCCACCTAGAAGGGATGTGGAAATATGGTGGCATTTTCTCCCATACCTTTCCCTGTTTTGAGGACATGTGATATATGTTTCTGCCAGACATTGTGAGAACACAGCTTCTTGACGAGCATTTGTGAAAGTTACTTCTCTGTCCATTTTGGCTTCAGACATCAGTTTGGTTTCCATGCTTTGTTTGCAGGACTACATCAAAGCTGGCGGAATAATTCAGGAAGATATTTCTCAGGCCTGCTTGATTGTGGGTGTGAAGAGGCCTCCAGATGGCAAACTGATTCCCAAGAAAAACTATGCTTTCTTCTCTCATACTATCAAAGCTCAAGAAGCAAACATGCCCTTGTTAGATGAAATCCTGAGCAAGGTATAAGTTACCTGAGATAACCAACTGTTATTTGTGGGACATAAGAGAAGCCTCCTATAGGATGGTAAAACATCTGGGCATCCCCTGGGCAACATCCTTGCAGATGGCCAATTCTCTCACACCAGAAGCGACTTGCTGTTTCTCTAGCCGCTCCTGACATGAAAGAACAAACAAAAATTATTATTTGTAAGAGCATGCAAATGAGACTGTTTAGAAACTGTGCAACTATCTTTCCGTTGTGTGTGTCTGTATGTGTTTGCAACTTAGAAGCCAAGACTGATACCAAATGGAGTAGACCACGCTCAATTGCCTGATACACATATTAGTCTTTTAAGTCCTATAATTTAAAGCCAAAGAGATATAGATTGGAATTCTACATACATTCAACATGGGAGGCATCTTCTCTTGAACTCATTATTACTTCTGAATAAGTATGCATTAGATTGTCATGTTAGATTCATTTGCCAAAACAAAATTTCTCCAAATGTTGGGCTGCTGCTCTCTGACTTTTAGCTTCGTTAGCTGGAGTTGATGGGAGTTGGTGCTCAGCAACATCTGGAATATCACAGGTTCCCCAGCCCTGAACAAAAGGTTGTTTCTCTATTTTGTGGTCCTTATACTTCTGGTTTCCAAGTCTACTACTGCACATATAAATATACATTTTATGGATTATTTTTCTCTGAAATACCTGCCAAGCATGGCTTCACATGCATATGTATGTAATTGAGCCATACTAGTATGAGAGCAGTTGCAAAGATTGGATCGGGATTGAAGGATGTGTAATGGGGTGGTGGAAGTAGACTTCCTTACTCCTGTTGTGCAGAAATACAACAACAACAAAACTTTATTTATATAGAACTCTATCTCCCTGAGGGGACTCAGAGCGGTTTCCAAGTAACATCATGAATACATAAAGAGTAAACAACATAAACATAAAATTAACAAAACAATATAAGCCTAAAATTGTCACAGTAACACATATATATTAAAAGTAATCCTGCCTATTCAGGGCAATTTAAAAGGCCGGGCCAAGGCTAGTGCAAGCTCAAAATTTCTAGGGGGCACGGAAAATTAAGTGCAATGCTATAGCAGGCAACAACAATAACAGGTACAGTCTATGGCTCTCCATTTCCAGGGCCTATTAGAAGGAGTGACCTGGGTAATTGGTAGCAAGAATAAGGCCGTATTCAACAATGAAATAAACCAAGCTTCTTTTCTATGCTGCACACAGTTCTGGGTTCTCCAACTGAACAGGGTAGATGGTGATGTAGGGGAAGAAAGGGAACCCCTCCCCCCATAAAATAAGGAAAGATTTTAAAAATAAATGCCGTATAGACAAAAGAAGATACCACTATTTTTTCTAGACCATTAAATACAATAGACTGTTTGTTGAACAAGAAAAAATGGAAGCACTTAAAAGCCTTTTCTTTAAAAGCAATCAACTCCTAAGAGCTACTTGGAAGAAAAAAGTCTTTGCTTAAGATGACAATGAGAGGAATATGATCCCTGTATCTACAGGTTACAAAATGTAAAAATCAGTACATATTAAAATACATATGTACACACACACACACACACACACACACATTATTTTAAAATGCAGTTAATCTATTTCCACTAAAACTAAAAGAGAAAATCAAAAAGACAACACACCATTACAAGCCCAATGTAGTTAAGTCCTAAAAATATTTTGGAATATAAGAGTTTTCACAACAGTAAGTGAAAGTTTCCCTAAGTTTTATCTAAGGACTGAAATCATTTTCACTACATTTGGGGGAGGATGGGATTGTTTGAAAACAAAACATTCACTTGAATGGATTTTCTTTACTTTCAGAATATTCGATTGATAGATTATGAAAAAATGGTAGATCACAGAGGGGTGCGAGTGGTAGCTTTTGGAAAGTGGGCTGGTGTTGCAGGTAAGTGGAAGGAATACTGATATTGTGTGTTTGCTGTTGTGCAAAGGGAAATCAGTTTTATACGTATTTGTTTTTACTCGCTGATTGATATATGGGGTGATGCAGAGGGAAAAGGATATCATGGTCCTCCTTGAACATGTCATTGGAGTTCTTTGTACTATGCAGTTCCACTGTGAGATATTCTTAGAATCAAATTGTGAGAAATTGAGAACTCAGGAAAACTGCCTTTGGGCAAAGCCACTAGACTGGTGGAGGCCTTCCAATACTTTAGGATGGGAGCTTTGCCATCTTTGTATGAGTTTTTTATTTTTTGGCTAGGGATATCAGGAGTTGAGAACTAACCATACCCAAGACAGAATCATAGGCAGATTTGGAAGAGGCCACAAGGCCATCTAGTCGAACCTGTATATGGGAATGAACAAAGCACTCCAAGCATTCTCAGTTAGTAATCTCCAAAGAATAAGAATCTATCACCTTCCAAGGCAATCTGTTGAATTGCTCTTACCATCAAGAAGTTCTTCCAAATGTTTAGGCAGCATCTGTACCACACTCAGTTGTGCCAGTTCCTTAACTCGTTCTTTAAAATGGCATGCTGGAATTGKCCCCCCCCCCCCCCCATTTCTGCTTTATGTAGTAATCATTACAGATCTTTGCCCTTTTCTGTTTCAGTTTTTGTCACACTCATAATTTGCCATTTATCCCAGTGCTTGGCCCCTCAGAAATAGATTCCACTGCATAAATTGTGACTTAAGTATTTCTGTGTTCAATTTATGACATTGCAATCCCATTATTTCTTTTAGTTCTTTCTCTCTGATGATTCTGTTGTAGAATTGATGGATCCGTGAACTTTATTTCTGATGCAGGTATGATAAATATTTTACATGGAATGGGGCTGCGATTTCTTGCCCTGGGTCATCACACTCCTTTCATGGTAAGGTTATATTCTAAAGATCTGCAAGGCATTTGGTGACATTCATTGGATTAATGTATTTGACAGATTTTGGCACCAACTTTCTGGTTTGTCGGTTTCAGCACCTTGGTATGGCCCATAATTACAGAAACAGCAGCCAGGCTGTGCAGGCAGTTCGGGATGCAGGCTATGAAATTTCTCTAGGTTTGATGCCCAAATCTCTTGGACCCATAACATTTGTGTTTACAGGGACTGGTAATGTTTCTAAGGTAAGATGTTCTTCAAGTCTAGTTTTTTGAATGTTCATATGGAAACTAAGGAAAAGCCTTACTATCATTGACTATCACATATTCTCCACTGAGTCGAAAGGCCCCTTGTTAGTTCAAAATATGTGCATTTCCTGTGTAGAAATGATGAGATCGATATGCATCATTCCATATGACAGGTGGAGATCCAAGCTGCCCTATTCTGAGTCAGACCTTGGCTAAAATTTGTCTAAATTAGCCTCCCACAACATGATGCCATCTAGTTGTTCTGGACTAAACATGCACATTCAGGTCACCTCAAGGTTGGACTTCTGTAATGCACTGCACATTGGGTTAACTCTGTACCGAGCTCAAAACTTCAATTAGTTCAAAACATGGCAACCCAATTGGTTACAGAAACATCTAGGAGTAAGCATATTACACCCATATTAAATTCACTCCACTGGTTGGCAGTTAGTTTCTGTGCAAAGTACAAGGTGTTCATTTTGACCTTTAAAGGCCTATGTGGTTTGGGTCCAGGTTATTTACAGGATTGCATTATCCTGTACAATCTGCCTGGGCTTTGATGTCCTCTGGGCAGTGGCTACTCCAATCAACCAGAACCCAACTGGTGACTCATCCAGAGGACTTTTTCATTGGCCATTCCAAGACTGTGGAATGACCTGCCACAAGACAGCTAAACAAGCTGTCAGAATTTTTTAAACAGAATTAAAAACCTATCTCTTCTGGCAGGCCTACCCAGTCAACTCCGAATCACAAGTTTTGAATTTGCATCCTACTGCCTCACTATGTTGATTTTGTACCCTGTGTTTGGTGTGTGTGTTTATAATGATGTATTTTATCTATCATATGTATTTTATTGTATGTATGTATGTTAATATGTTTTGACTCAGTTGTACTCCGCCTTGAGCCGTTAGGATAGGCGGGTAACAAATAAATATTATTATTATTATTATTATTATTATTATTATTATTATTATAACATGGATAAACCTCAACCATCACTGTCATAAGTCAGAGATGATGAGATGAAGAAATTACACATGGCACATCTTCATTCATATTGTGCAGAATAATGGCAACTTTCGCTCACAGATTATTTACATGGTAATACCCAGCTGAGGGTACATTGCTACAAAACATGTTAAACGAAGAGTAAACTTGAAATGTCTCTCTCCCCCCCTTCCCAATGATAAAAATCTAGCAGCTTGGCTAAAACATTTGGAAGACAGTATTTTGAGTGACACCAGGCTACGCTAACTGGCATCATTTCTCTCTTCATTTAAAAAGGGTCTTTCATAAACTCCCCTGATAATGTGTTGTCGAAGGCTTTCATGGCCGGAATCACTGGGTTGTTGTAGGTTTTTTGGGCTGTATGACTCACTACCTCTGAGGATGCCTTCCATGGATGCAGGCAAAACGTCTGGAGATAATACTTCTAGAACATGGCCACACAGCCCAAAAAACTTACAACAACCTGCCCTGATAATCTCAGAAATAAACCAGAAACCTTTTGTGAAGGTTATGAGTTAGTGCTAGGGACTGCTGTCCACCTGCTGCGCCCCCCCCTCCCCCAGCACCCTCAAACAGCCGCTAGCTGTATATATTGTTGCTTCTCTGCTAGTCTGTTGAGGGAAAGATGTAAAATGTTGGTGATAAGTTAAAAATGGAAGTAATTGGATTGTAGGGAAACTGATTGGAGTTCTATCTGGCTATTCAGGATCCACTAAACTTGCTGTCATGAATTCCTCTCAGACCATATAGCAGAAGTATTCTTACAGTGAACACTTAATGCTTTGTTTTATTTAGCAAATGTAATCTAGCTTCTGGTTATGTTTTGGCCTGCAGGGTGCCCAGGAAATGTTTAATGCACTGCCTTGCGAGTTTGTGGAGCCCCATGAGCTGAAGGAGGTCTCCAGAACTGGAGGTAAAACTGAAGTGCTGATGTGGTGATGTGCTTTGAGAGGTATGCAGCGTCAAGTGTTCTCATCTCAAGTATTCTCCTGCCCCTTACAGACCTCAGGAAAGTCTATGGGACGGTGCTGAGTCGACACCACCATCTTGTGAGAAAGAGCGATGGTGTGTATGACCCTGTAGAATATGACAAGCACCCAGAACTCTACACGTCGCGATTTAACACTGATGTAAGTAGGTCATCTTCTTGTTTCTCCTTTTTAAAAGTATCTCATACTCTGAAGTGTTGTGTGTAGAGTAGTGACCTGCAGTTAACCAAACCTGAAAAACCCAGTTAATCTGTCAGTGTAAATTATGAGAGATAGTCTTAAGTTGATGAATCTTTGAGGCAGTGTTTCGCAATCTTTAGCTCATTTCCATTGCTTATTGAATCACAGTCAGGATTGGATCAAATAACATTTCATGGTTGATATGTGTATCTCCTCAGATTGCACCCTATGCAACTTGCATAATCAATGGGATCTACTGGGAGCAGGATACACCCCGATTGCTCAGCCGACAAGATGCCCAGAGACTTCTGACTCCGCTCCGACCTTCTGCCACTGCGACAGAAGGTTGCCCTGAATTGCCACACAAGTACGGAACTTTTGATTTGCTGAAAATTAGTATCATGCTGCATTGCTTTCACCATGTTTTAGGCCACTCTCAGGTCATTTTAGGGACAAGAGAATTTCTTACAATTTGCAAGTAACCTGAAATTGACACCAGGTCACTTCCTATTTTGAAAAAAAAAAGCCCTCTCTTTGGCCTAGAAAGGCCCGAGAAGCATAAACACGTAGAAATAATGCTCCCCACAACCCCTAGAGGATATTGAAGGGACACTGGGGCAAAAGTCTGACTTTTTTTGATGTGGTGCTGGTGTGTGCGTGGCCCTCTTGAATTCTCCAAAGGGACTAATATGGCCCTCTAGCTACCCAAAGTTTCCCATCTTTGCTTTACAGGGATGCTAAACCATATGTAGGTTGAGTATCACTTCTCCAACATGTTTGGGACCAAACGTATTTTACATATACAGGTAGCTTTCCACATTTGTGAATTTGATGTTGTGGATTTGATTATACACAGATTTGATTCATATGTTCTTTCTAGAAATCCCTAGATTCTCCAGCATGATTCTGTGGTCAACTTCCATTGAAAGGTGACCTTAATGTTACAATGGAGGATGTATAGCTTCCTAGACACAATAGTTCTGTAGACATTTGTAGGTCCTCCAGTGTGATTCTATATTAAACTCCCAGTGGAAGGACCCAGAGATTCCTCAAGATGTGTTCTCTCAGGAAAAGAAATTGTGTTTTTTTTATTCATGGTTGTCCCACTTTTGTGGGGTTCCTGCACCACTGAACTCAGCAAAGGTGGAAGATCCTCATTGTACATATTGGGATGTCTTGGAGATAAAACACAAGTCTAAACACATAATTCATTTATGTTTTATAGTCTTAATGTAATTTTAAGCACAAGTTATTGAATAATTTTATGAATCAAACAAAGTTTGAGTACATTGAACCACCAGAAAGCAAAGTTATCACTATCATAGGTAGATTTTGGAGTATTTCAATTTTTATTCTTGTTAAGAAATGTTCAACATGCATGTGACTTACTGATTTACAGAAGTAAGAAATATCAGATGCTGATGTCTTTGTTTTACAGATATATGTGAACTAGATGTATTCTGGGGCATTACTTGTGTATAAGTCAACCTCATGTATAAGTTAAGAGCAGATTTTTTTGATCAAAATTGCAGAATTTTGTATGGCTCAAGGATAAGTCAAGAGTAAAGATTGTGAGCTCTATATAGGGCTCCTTGGATCCCCTTAGTTGAGAGAGCAGAAAGGGTGACTGCTTATTTTACTGTAGGCTCTCTCCTGAAGGACTCTTCTGTCAGTTGTCCACATCGCATTGGTTTGTCTCCTCCTTCTCTCCTTCTTCTCTGGAGAGGTGGTTGGTTTCTCATTTTTTTTTTTACCTGCCTTCTTTGGCACCTCTTTGCTTATTTTTGGTCAGAGGAATTTGTCAGAAGCCACCTTAGTTGTCTGTTGCTGGTCCACATTTCTCTGCTGAGAAGGTGGAGCCTGAAAAGAAACACTAGGAAGCCACAACAGATCTTCTACACACCTGTGATGAAGCTACCCTAGATTCATCACTAAGGACAGGTTATCATTACAGGAGATGTGTACAAATTCTGTACTCTGTTCTCAACATTAACAATCCCTGTTCCAGATTTCCCCAGGAAGGTTATTGTTATCACTGCAGCAAACTTCACTGCAGGATGTACAGCTGTTGAATTGTGAGTACTGAATGTGCCGATTTTGGCCCGAAGTAGATATTATGATATATGTGAAGAAAAGTATGCTTTGAACTAGCCACTTTTTCTGTTGAAGAACACGTAGCCATGGAGTTTTGGTTTAGAGGTGTGAAATTGCCCTTTCAAGAGCAAACACTAGCTAGAGAGAGGACTTTTGGGGAAGAACATGACTCAGGCTTTTTGAGCTTATATTTGAACTCCATAACTACTCTCTTCTTCAAAGTGAAGTGGCTAACCAAGCATGCTTTTGTTATTTTTAGACCCAAGTTTGTTGTTGCGAAAGCATTTAGAAAGGTGTCTTTAGCTATGTGTTTTTGACAGTAGTGATGTCGGTTTGTTTTAAGAGCTGTAGATTTGGGGTCCTATAATTTTTTTTAAAAAAAGGTTATCTTGCTTTTATGATTCTTCTATTATAAACCCCCCATCTTTTCCAGACTTGTTGCAATATGTGACATTTCTGCAGACACTGAAGGATCTATAGAATTTATGACAGAATGTACAACGATTGACAACCCCTTCTGCATGTATGATGCTGACCAGCACATCATCCATGACAGGTGAGAAGGTTTTTCTCATTTCTGCTCCATTTGCTTATGGTTGATAAACCCAATGAAAAATAAACCATTTTGGCTATTTCATGTGATTTTATTTTACTGTGGTGAATAAATTTAAGCACAGACAGGGTTGGGCCGCTAGGGGAGTTATTTTGAACACATTCCACAGAAGTAAAGTTTCCATTCCCCTGCAACTATCTGTGCACAATCTCTTCCCACAAACCTCCCTGAAGGGTCAGCAACCAGTCTGAACAATGTGCTGTCATTGAAGAGGCTGGCAAGCTTCCTTTTGTGTTCTCTCTTAAATCAACTTACCTAAGGATCCAAGTCCAATTTTAGGGTGTCCTCTGAACTGCAACTTCTTTATTATTATTGTTGTTGTTATTATTATTATTATTATTATTATTAATTTACTTCATTTATATACCGCTTTTCTCAGCCTTTGGGCGACTCAAAGCGGTTAACAATAGCAAAATTCAATGCTCAACATCATAAAAAGAGTTAAAAACAGTTAAAAACAATGATATAATAAACAATCAGTTAAACATAACTATAACATCTCATTAGCATCTCATAGGTAGAATCAAGATCCAATCTCATAATCCGTTGTTCCATGTTCCTATATTCAATACACTAGTATTGTCATTCTAGTCCATGTCCTTTAAACTCTACAAACATCTACCGTCCGAAAGCCTGGTCCCAAAGCCATGATTTTAATTTTTTTCTGAAAGCCAGGAGGGAGGGAGCAGATCTTACCTCATTTGGGAGTGTGTTCCATAGGCGAGGGGCCACCACCGAGAAGGCCCTGTCTCTCATCCCCACCAGATGCATTTGTGCAATTGATGGGAGCGAGAGCAGGGCCTCCCCGGATGATCTTAGATTACAAGATGGGACTTGTTTAGGGAAGTGTTCCTGGGACACTGGAATTAATATAACAGCTACATAAAATCTTTGCATGCATGTGCAAGTTTCTTCTTCTTCTGTAGTGTTTTAGTATCACAACAACAGTGTGAAGTAGGTTAAACAAAGTGAGAGGAGGGTATAGAAAGTATTTGTGACTTGGCATCAAACTTCTTTTTGGGTTGCTGTGAGTTTTCTGGACTGTATGGCCATGATCCAGAAGCATTCTCTCCTGACGTATTACTCACATCTATGACTGCCATAGATGTGGGAGAAACATCCGGAGAGAATGCTTCTGGAACATGACCATACAGCCTGGAAAACTCACAACAACCCAGTGATTCCAGCCATGAAAGCCTTCGACAACACGTTAAACTTTTTTCTTCTTCTAGTGTGGAAGGATCTGGGATTTTGATGTGTTCCATTGACAATCTGCCTGCTCAGCTTCCAATAGAAGCAACAGAATGTTTTGGAGACATGCTTTTCCCTTACATTGAAGAAATGGTAAGGGGGGAGCCCATAATTTTGGGTGTGTCATCACGTGTGTTGTGCTTCTCTGGTCTGCTTCATGTGTAAGAAATCTGCTGTAAAACATCACTAGGTCTCAGAAAGTTTATGTTGGGAACATATTTTTCTGCATTTGTCTGCCATAAAGTAAATAGCCTGTACAAAATAAGCTCTTTTGTTTGTTCCCTACTTTCCCTTCTTTCTGCCCACTGTGTGTTTCATCATCATCACCATCATTATCTGGAGGCTAGGAACTGTATATGGCATGAGACTTGCACAACTGATCTTGTTGGAGAAGTAGTAGCTTAATGTACTTTTTTCATCTCTAAAGACTGTTGGTTCATTTACAGTGTTCGCTTGTGTATATATATGTGTGTGTGTGTGTACACGCATCAACATACAGCCTTTATGTGGCTCTTGGAAGACCTTGTTTGTGGTTTATAAAGTCTGCCCTGCTTGACTACAACAGAATCAATTGGGTGGCCTTTGACATTGTCAATTTTACCAAATTTTAGGTGGCTTCTTCCTTCACTACTTCTTTCACTTCAGAAATGGAATTAGATACAGTACTCCTATTTTGTGGTTTCACAAGGTTGTATGGTGAGGAAGGATGCTCAGAAAAATTGAAATCCACAAAATGTCTGGTCCCAATCATTTCAGATAAGGGATAAGCAACTTGTATGTAACATAATTGTCTACATAAAGTATGTGACAATAAGCCTTCTGACTGAAAAACCTTAATCTCCACAGTTGCTTTCGGATGCTTCAGAGCCTCTTGAAAGCCAGAACTACTCGCCTGTAGTTAGAGATGTAAGTGTTACAAGTAATTGTCTTGTTTTTTCCCTTTAACTCTGGCATGCCAAAGTCAAAAAAGTAATGGCATGTTTTGTGTACTTTTATAGGCAGTGATTGCATCCAATGGTTTACTGACGGATAAATTTAAATACATCCAGAAACTGAGGGAAAGCAGGTAATACACAGATTTCTCCACCACTTCCAACAAAAAGTGTATCTTAGTGAAGTTTTAATTTGTGTTTATATGTGCATTTTAATGTTGATGCATTTTTCCTTATCTTGCTTTATAAATTGATTTTAATGCTATCAAAGTTAAAATATATTAAATGATCCAATCATGAAAGTGTAGCTACTCACAATGTTCTTTGTTGTGGGAGTGGATGACATACTTTCTTTGCATGTAGCAAGTGTCAAGTTCTGTCATGCCTTTCCGTTCATTTGATTCAAAGAGACTTCACTCCCTCCCAGTGTGGTAAAGTTATAACTGATTTGACATCTTACAAAGCCACCTGTCCTAAAAGAAATCTTAGCTAGTGCTCCAGAGTCTATTATGCTGCTGTTTGTGCTTCTCAATTTTGCAGTCAATTCAAAACATGAAAATAAACGAAACTGAAATTATATCAAGGCTCTGAATTACCTGGAACAATCACACATTTCATCCAGAGCTGACAACAGCAGCCTGTTTGACAAAACAAGAGCTCTCTTTCTTCTGCTTCTACTTTGTTTACAGTTTTCAAGATTTCATTGTGTCTCTAAGTTGTGGGATGAGTTTAATGTCCCCTTAGGGGCTGGAAAGGTCTTTAGCAAACTTTCTGATACAGCAGTGGCCCCCAAACTTTGGTCCTCCAGATGTTTTTGACTTCAGATTTTGAATTCTTGACTCCTGGCCAAGTCAGCTGGGGTTTCTGAGAGTTGAAGTCCAAAACACTCAGAGGGCCAAAGTTTGGAAGTCACATGTTTTCAAAATGTATTTAAAGTATGGCTAGTCAGTTATGGATTTTTAGATGTTTTTTGCCTACAAAGCCTGAATAATATAGCCATTATGGGAGTTGTAGTTCAAAACACCTGAACAGCCACAGTTGCCCAGGCCTGGTTTAAGCACTTGCTAAAGCTTGTAATGTCTTTTTAAATTAAATTAAATTAAGATAATATTTAAGTTTTGTTTCATTGTCACACATTTCTGATTATGAGGTTGTAATAAAACAAAGAAGATGCTTATGATCTGGGGCCATCAAGAAAAGCACACACGAAGTACTGTAAAGATGTGACCATTGTGGACTATTACTAGTAATTTTATTTGTTCCAGTTTAGACATAGGCATGCAGATCAGCCATCAAAGATGTCGTGGATGGAGACATTTATTTTTGATCCTAGAAACACCAATTTTATTCACTAACCAATTCAAATATACTAAATCTGGAGTCAGTTCAGTACATGATATGCTGTTAGATTGGTTTCTTTCTCCTTTCAAATTAGTAGTGAAAGAGCTGAGAAGAACAGAGTAAAAATCCATCATAGTGTCCTAAACGTGAAAACATATTATGATCAGAAATCTATTTAATTTGTATTTTTCTTTGTTTAATTTCATCCTCTCTTCCAGGGAATACACTCAGTCACTGACCATGGATAAGAAAAAGAAGATTTTGATCCTAGGATCAGGATACGTCTCTGGGCCTGTGATAGAATACCTCACAAGAGATCCTAACATTGAAATAACAGCAGGTTTGTAAATAAGAATGTCAGCCTGATACTGAAGTTATGTTTCCTATATGACAAGGCTTCCTGCTTAGAATACCATTGCAGACTTATGTCAATGTTTCTTATACATTATTATATGTAGACTTTATTATTATTGCATGTTGTTTTATGTCCGAGCTGTTGGGTGGGGCCAGTGGATGGGATCCATTACAAGACCTTCAATTCACCAAGTAGTTGAGGAGAGCCTTCAGTGTAAAAACTGTCCTATGTGTAAGAATTCATGAAGTGGTAACTATATGACCCTTTTTCATTCGTGCGGGATACATTCTTGGAAATGCAAAGTGAACTCTATTGAAATGAACAGCTTCTAGTGAAATAATATCCTGTAAGCACACTGGAAGAGCTAGAAAATGCCTAGAGGGAACAGCTGTCTTATCATTTCTAGGTCCTCCAGCATGACTGTATAGTCAACATCTGGCAGAAATATATCACAGACTGACATTAGAGGAGTTTGAAAATTTCCAGATAAAACATCTTTTTTCAGACATGGGTACTGGTCCCTATGATACTGCAATAGTATTGTACTCTATATTTCACTTAGGATTGGCATAAGAAATTTCCTGTCTCATCTCATTTCATGTTCAGAAACCAGGCCCAGCACACTCCTGTATTTAATACTTTTCTGTAGTCTCCGATCATTTGCTGCCCGAGGCTTCTTTTTTTTCTTAGTGGTACAGCCAGCCCTGATCCCTAACCATTGATTTTGATTTTGATTCTAAAAAGATTGTAAGAAAGAAAGAAAGAAAGAAAGAAAGAAAGAAAGAAAGAAAGAAGTAGTAGAAAACCAAGCATCTATCTCCAAGAGACTTGATCATGGGTTTAATTTAATCTTTTGTGTATCATGAATCTGAAATATGTAAATAATTTCATCACTTCCTTGAGATAGAAACAATCAATATTGAAGGCAGTGGTTCTCAAACTGTGTCCCCAGATGTTTTGACCTTCAACTCCCAGAAATCCCAACAGCTAGTAAACTGGCTGGGATTTCTGGGAGTTGTAGGCCAAAACACCTGGGGACCCACAGGTTGATTTAAGGGATACTAATGATCTACGTATTGTATAATATGAAAATGTGCTTTTAAATCTCATCCTTTTAAGAGAAAATGAACTTTGTCAGTTTTGGTATCAGAACGTTTTCAGAAATACAAAGAGTTTTGGGAATAACTTTGGATTATCTCTTTGGGGCTATTTCTTGATTTCTGAGACTTTTCAACATTGTTACATCACGTTCTCACCAATCATGTAGCATGAGTTTTTAGAAACTATTTTTCATCCTCTACCATCAGCCAGAAATCCACATCAAAATTTATCTGTGACTACATAAAGTCATTTATCTCCTACGTTATCCACTTCCCTATTCTGTCTGATGTAGGCTGTAGACATTGTTGGCTTGGATGGCTTAGAATTTCTAAGACCTAGACATCTTTTCCATCTATCATTTGTTGATCATCTTGATTTCTTTCCCCTTTGACAGTTTCTCCATTGAACCTTTATCCTAGAACAGGTACCGCTTTGCTTGCATGGATTACCTTAGTTTTAGTGGGGTCTTGTTGGAAATACATCACCTTCCTTGCACTTTTGTCACTTTCCTTGTACTTTGGAAAATTCACATTTCGTTCACTTAAAAAATACATGTAGCATTTCTCCAACCAGGAGAATCAGCTCCTTCGCTATTATATCTTTTTTTATGTTTATGTCCTTTGGAGGTCCCCTTTTTCCTCTATCTTCATAGTAAAAAATCTTGATTTTGTGGCTATCATGTTATGATATGCCATTTTTTTGTGATGAGACTGAGTCTAGCCTTAGCACGGGCTCTCTTTCAAGACCACCATTGCAGTCATGAAGAAGCTTTATCATTAGTTTCCGATCAACAACAGTTTGGCCACTACCTAACTTAAGTGTGTTTTATTGAAACAAACTTTTAAAACTATGGTTTGAGACTTGTATTTCATGTTCTTTAAGATAACTGCAGTGTGTTGGGTTTGGATGGCTGTGACTAATCTAAAATAACTGAAAATCTTCAAATGCCTCTATGCCAGAGGAGTTAAGCATAGAAGCTTACGGGTTGCCTAGGCTTGCTTGTAACTCTATACACATTTGAGCCAGTTGGGTGTGTTCATTTCCTTATATATCAATTTCCAAACTTTATATCTCTGGTTAAGTTGAGAGCATTTGAAAGAGATGTATTTCATCTTTATTCTTTTTAGCTGTGTAATTCTCCATTTTTCTGTTCTAAAAAAAATCCAGATTGATCATATAATAAGGCATTTTGGTTTTTGCTCTTATGAGTCAATTAAGTATTTTGGAGTTTTGCATTGTTTTGGAATTCCTGTATTTGTCTATACATAACAATGTGACACTTTAGAGATGTGGATCAAATCTAAACAAGAAATACATTTGCATTTCATATATATAGCCTAGAGATGATTTTATACAATATTCTGAACAATTTTGTGCATAAAACGAAGTTTGTGTACACCAGCCATCAGAAAGCAAAGATGATCTCAACAACCAATGTGGAGGATTTGGAGAATTTCTGATTTCAGAATTCAGATTCGAGATGCTCAATCTGTATTGGTTTGCTTCAGCCCTGTGTGAAGCAAGCATGGATCGTTTGTTTTGGAAGAGGGGGTGTCTACTTTTAAGCTTAGTTGGGGAGGGGATAATGTTTTCAGAACGACAACAATGTTGCCAAAAGTCATTTTTGGATTTGGAATCCACATAGAGGTAGACCAACACCATAGCCATTCTGTGCATTGTCTCTTGTAAAACGTAAATAGTGTTCCCAAATCTCAGCCATTGTTCTTACAAATGCAGCATATGGCTTATTGAATTACCTTTCTGTCCTATCTAACGTAACATATAAAGATAAAAATGTTTTTTGATTGAACCATGATGTAACAAAGCAGAAATGAAGTGTGTTATCGAAGGCTTTCATGGTTGGAATCACTGGGTTGCTGTGAGTTTTCCAGGCTGTATGGTTGTGTTCTAGAAGCATTCTCTCCTGATGTTTCAACCCACATCTATGGCAGGCATGCTCACAACTTCTGAGGATGCCTACCATAGATATGGGTGAATGTCAAAAGAGAATGCTTCTTGAACATGGCCATACAGCTGAGAAAACTCACAGCAATCCAGAAGTGTCTTGTTGCCATTGACTTGACCTCATTTTGAAGGACATTCCAATTCTCATTGAGGTTAAAGAATACAAAAAGTGTACAGTATACCCTAATTCTCTCCTCCAGTTTATTGGAATTCTTATTGGGATCAGTGATATTTCCCACAGATTATTCAGTGCCCATTGAAAACAATCCCAGTGCATGAGGTTCCATCTTATCTATAGATTTCAAGGTGCTTGAAAAGCAGAGGGGTTTTGGTGATAGTTTGCATATGGAACAAGTTGAGTGCAAATCTGTGGATCGGTTGTTTAGAAACAGTGATGGAGATAATTTGAGTTTATTTTATTGAAACTTCAAGACAAGTGTTTTTGCATACAGGAAGTTCCTGAGTTACAAACATCCAACTTAAAAATGACTCATAGTTAAGAACAGGGATGAGACAACAGCAAGTGAAAGAAATCTACCCTTTGGAAGGGAAATCCGCTTAAGCTTCTCTCCAATCTTTCTTTCCACAACAAGCAAAATTTTTCAAATTCCAATTATTGCAAGGACAGAAATGAGGTGAAATCTTCTGAACAGATAGCAAAACACATGCCACAGGGGTATTAACTCTTTGATATGGTATTTAAAACACACACACACACATATGGGCTGGAGTTACACTTAAAAATGTCCCATTCCAACTTACAAACAACTTCAGCTTAAGACCAAACCTACAGAACCAATTTTGTCCATAACTTGGGGACTGCCTGTATCTAGTTCAACTGTTGTTCTTGCTTTCTAACAGTATCGGTCATGAAGAAACAACTTGAACAGCTGACCAAGAAGTACACCAATGTTGCTCCTGTTGTTGCAGATGTCACTGAAGATGAAACAAAATTATCATCCATGGTGAAAAAACACAATCTTGTTATTAGGTCAGTGTCAGGTCTTTGTGCCCAAATCTCAGTAATTTCAAATGTACCAAGATGTGTCTTGAAAAGTTAGCCTTATCATCTGTGTGGCCATGGTGAGGAATTATAGGCTGCTGTTCCATTTTGTTTTCCTCATTTATTTTCCAATAGGATGTTATGTCTATCAGTGCATTCAGTAATAGTAATAAAACAATGTAACATAATAACAGAATTGAGAAATGGTTAAAAAAGAGAGAGCAATTGTGGCATTGCGATTTGTGTTTTGGAGTCTAGGATAGCAAGGTTCAAACCCCTATTCAACCAAACAAATCCACTGGATAATTTTAGACATATCACATTGTCTCAGTCTCTTGCTGAGATAAGCTCATGATGGATTCACCCATCCCCATAAGTCAGAAATGACTTGAACCACACAACTGCAACAGTCCCTTTTCAGCTAGCTAAAGACAATGTTCAGTTGCCACACATATCATAGAATATAGCCAATGCTATAATCATAGAATCATAGAATCAGAGAGTTGGAAGAGGCCTCATGGGCCATCCAGTTCAACCCCCTGCCAAGAAGCAGGAATACTGCATTCAAATCACCCCTGACAGATGGCCATCCAGCCTCTGTTTAAAAGCTTCCAAAGAAGGAGCCTCCACCACACTCCGGGGCAGAGAGTTCCACTGCTGAATGGCTCTCACAGTCAGGAAGGTCTTCTTCATGTTCCATGTTATGCCTAGGTTTTTTTTGTGTTGAGAGACTTACCTGCATAGGATTGGTTCGTTTGCCTCTTTGTTGAAATGGAAAGAGCTTAGGATGCAAGAGTAGTAGTTGAAAGCATAGCATTTCAAAGTCTTTCTCTCTTCTCTTTAGCTTGCTCCCTTATGCATACCATCCTTTGGTTGCTAAGAAGTGTATTGAGAATAAAGTGAATTTGGTGACTGCCAGTTATCTGACACCTGCTATGAAAGAGCTACAGGAAAGGTAGGTCACTCTTTAGCAGACATCTCAGGATTTCTCATGTATGTTTTGTAGAATGAAACTGGGACACATTTTATAAAATGGTATCATTGGGGCCATTTAACAGTCTCTTAACCTGTCAGCTCTACCTTTGCAGCATGCCATTGGGCTGTGTAATTACTTAACTATTCATCATCATGGTTCTGTCATTGGTCTCTGGTCAGAACCCATAAAGGAAGATAGTTTAGTTTAACCTTCTTGGTGCCAAAGGTGATGAGGATAGAGGAGAAGGGCATGTACTCTATATTTTGGTTTGCTGGCTGGGAATTCTAGGAGTTATAGTCCAAAAAAGTAACTTCTCAAACTATTTTTGTTCATTTCCTTAAGATGGGATGGAGAATGCATGGTCTGTAGTCCTCGTAAATTTTGTAGACCTGTCACGTAAAAATGTTTTGATGCCCAGGGCCTTTTCTGGATCTAAAATGACCCTAATGTGCATTTAGATACAATCTTCCTCTTTTTCTCTTTTCTCCCTTTTCCCTTTATTTCTTACCACTTTCCAATCCCTCCCTCCATCTATGGCTGGATCCACACTGCCCTGTATCCCAGGATCTGATCCCAGATTATCTGCTTATCACAGATTATCTGTCAGTGTAGACTCATATAATCCAGTTCAAAGCAGATAATCTGGGGTCAGATCCTGGGATATAGGTGTTGGAAATAGCAACCATCTCAAGCCTCCATTAGTTATTTGTTATGTATATAATTGCTTACTGTCTTATATGTGTATGTTGGTTTGCAATTTTACCTAACCTCTTTGTTGTGGGAGGGGCTGCAGACCATGTGATCAGAACTAGATATGTTCAGGACTAAGACTCCATTTTAGATCTGTGTTTGTTTTGAGAAGCCATGCAGAGAAGTGTGTATTTGCATCAGAAGCAGTGAGTACAGTTTAGAGACAGTATGCTTAGAGACTTATTAGACTCTCAAAACAGAGGTTGCCATTGGTCTATTGACTATTGTTTCTATGAAAGATGCATTGTGTTACCTATACAGAGAAACTACTTAAAATCCTATTGTGTCTTCACCTTTTTACCTTGTTTTTTTACTCGTGTTCTATTTTGAAATGGTCGTATGACTGGTCAAATAAATAAATAATTATTATTAAAATCGTATTGTAACTGGATTAATAAGCAAAGTGCCTATATGCTGTATACATTAAGTTTTGTGAGTAAACCAACTCTGTTACTTTTAAAGAAGGCTGTTTATTTTGTTTCTTGAGAGCACGATTTAAAGGCAAATAGATTTTAAGGGAGAATAGATTTTTGGGCTCTTCTAAAACTCTGTTGAATATGTTTTTTTGTGTGTATTGGCATGTCTTTGTCCCTGGCAGTTCAAAGACATATCTAGGTACATCAGTTTAACAACTGAGAGACCTAGTTGCCTTGCATGAATGCTGGTGAACATCATTTTTCAAAAGGTTGTGACTTTACAGTGAACAGTGGTTTTTCAAAAATGGTTATGTGGATTCACTGAAAAGGTTATGGCATCATTTTGCCAAAACTAGGACAGTGTAGATCCAGCTTATGTCTCCCCCTCCTCCCTCTCTTTCTCTCTCTCTCCCCCCATCTTTCCTTCCTTCCTTCATGCCACCAACCAAGATCCACTAGGCAGAAGACAGGAATTATTACCCAGCCCAGGGCCTTAGGTGAAGTGGGGTATATTAAAGATGCCCTGTTCCTCCTTATTTTGTTGAAAATGATACCCAACATGAGATCTGGCCTTCTTATCATAAATGAATTTAACTACATGCTTGAATCTAATGGTGCTTCATTTTGACCTTCCAGTTTGAATTGTACTCCCTTTTGTTTTAGTGTTGAGGCAGCTGGCATTACAGTTGTCAGTGAAATGGGTTTGGATCCCGGTCTCGACCATATGTTGGCAATGGAGTGCATTGATAAAGCAAAAGAAGTGGGGGCTACGGTAAGATGAATACAAAATAAATGATCTGAGAGGTATTTTCATTCCAACCCCAAATAGTTCTATCTTTGGAAATGTAATGCAGCTTTTTGTGTAGTTTTAGCTGTGGTCCATTGTATTTCTTTCTTTGTTTTTTTTCTTTGACCTTCAGGTGTTCATCATTCAGAAGCAGTGCTCATTGAAACTCCCCAAAGTGGGAATCCCATTTATGATCCCACCTGGGTGATCCAGCTGAAGTTAGTCAGTTCTACTGGAAAATCCCTTCTACAAATCCCATTGGCTCTAATCCAATTGTACAAATTAGCCCAGACTTTTGAAATCATCCAAATTTACAAAAGCGTTGATTTACCAATTTTCCATTGATTTTGTAAGTCTTTTCTAATTGGGGCTAGTGATTAATTTAGGACAGTATTTTCTTTGGGAGGTACACTCTAATCTTCAATGTTTATTCAGTAGTACGTTTTTCTCTATTCTCAACAGATCTTATTCCCAGGTATGTGAGTGCAGGATTGTAACTTTAGTTGTAGTCTCTTTTAGTGGGGATGATATTAAGAAATTCAATTGCATATATTATATAGTATTTTGATTTTGAGTCCACTGTTGATCATATGAATTAGCTACAAATATAAAATATGGACTCAAAATGAAAATGAGGTACAAACATTGAGATTTTGAGACCTTTAAACAATGGTTTGTAGCTCATTCATTTTCATTTTGAGTCTATATTTTATCTTTTGTAGCGAAATCATACGATAAACAATGGACTCAAAATCAAAATACTATGTAATACTATATACACTTGCATTTCTTAATGTCTTATTGTTTAAAAAAAACAAATAAGGAAAACTTGCCACAAGTTTACTTCTTGGTTTCTGATTTTCAAAAATGAGAATTTTCACAAATGATTCACATATAATTTTAGATGATTTTCTGAAGAGATTTAATGACCACAGATGACTCACTGACACAAACCTGAGCTGCACTAAATCACTCTGGAAGGAAATATGGAAGTTACTTTTTTGGATTTTCACTCACAGATTCCTCCACCTGTCATGGCTGTTAGCTGTGCTGGCTTTGGGTCTCTGGAATTTGTAATCCAAAAAAAAAAAAAAAAATTGGTTCCAAGCTCTAGATCTTGTATTGGATTCTTTTGAATGAATAGAAGTTTATTCAAATTTTTTTGTTCCCCTATAGGTGGTATCCTACACTTCTTTCTGTGGTGGATTGCCGGCTCCAGAATATTCTGACAATCCCTTGAGATATAAATTCAGCTGGAGTCCACAGGGAGTCCTGCTGAACACAATTCAACCAGCCACATATTTAAAAAATGGAGAGGTGAAGTAATCTGTGTATATAGTTATAAAAATGCAAGGATGATGTATTGCTGGGTCACACATTCATGGTGGACAGTATGAATCCCATATCCATGGGGGGCAGAGTCTTGAAATTATCTTGGAAACAGGAAAACCATGGCCAATAGTGACCCCTACTGAAATGAATACTGGAAGTTACTATAGAACCACCTTGAAGGACCTAGATTTTAGAAAAGCATGACCTTTTAGAGATCATAACCTTTTAGAAAATGGCATTTATGACCTTTTAGAGAAGAGCCAAAACCCTTTTGAGTAGAATCTTCTCAAGTGGTATAGAACCAAATGCAATTGTGCAAAGCAATTTGCTTTAGTTGTTAGACTGAACAACTTGTCTCTGAACTGTTAGGAAACAGAAAATATGCCAGTGCATAAAAATAGTGATTCTTCAGAAGTGTTTTTCAGTGCTCAAAAACTATTTTTCTACTCTCCCATCAAACATTTTATATTATGCACTCGAGACAAAATAAAGTAGACTTTGGTAAAAATAACATATTTGGTTTACTCACAACCTTCATGTGTTCAGCATATACAGGTACACAACTTATCAGTCAGTTATAGATATGTTTCTGTGTGCCAATCAGTCATAACATCTCTTTACAATAAACAGCAGGCAAGTGTTTGTAAGTCTGCAATCTGAGCAGTCCCAAAGTCTAAAGAAGTCTGTGCTCTGGTCATCCCAGAGTGGATCACATGGTCTGCAGCCCTGCCCACAAGTTTTCAGGGAAAAAAAAACATAGAGCAAGGAAAGAAAGCTGCATACCAGAACATACATATAATAAGTAAGCAACAGGGTTATAGATAAACAGATCACTAGAGGAGGTTTGAAGAAGGTTGTAATTTCTAACACTAGACAATTCCTAGAAGGTATTCTTTTTAGGAATTTGCTGGGTTCTCCAAGGTCGAAGCATACCGTAGAATCACCCGAAGAACCTAGAACATTCCTAGAGAGGCCATATTTTATCAAATGCATATAGGTAAAACCATCATTACTGGTCTCTTTGGTATGCGAGCTCATATTATACAGATTTCTCTAGTTATAAGATCATATGTTTGGTTGTTCTGGCTCTCTGGTTCTTTTTCTTATCCACGATGTTACAAAAGAGGAAGAAAATACCCTCATTAAAACAGCTGTCTCCAGAATGGTATTTCTATCTGATTTTTTTAAAATTATATATCTTAGGATACGACTGTAAGCTTTCTATGAGTGACAAAAAAGCAAGGTAGTGGATTTGAAAAATAACATGGAAGGAAGAAAAGACTGAGGTACAGTATGTCTCCCATACCCATGGGACTGATGCTCATGGTTTCATCTCCTGAACCTGGCAAAATATCACCTCTTCATGAATTTTCTAGATCCACCAGGCAATTCTATGGCATGTCTCTGCTGGAAGTTACCATACAGGTGCCTTGGAGGACCTAGCAAATCCCTAGGAAAAATAGTTCTCTAGGAATTTTCGAGGTCCCCCAGGGCATCTTTATGGTAACTTCTGGTGGAAGTCATTCATTTAAATAGAGGTCACAATTATCCATGGCGGCTTGCTTCCAGGAACATTCTGGAATGTATCCCCTGAGCATGTTTTTTTTTTTTTTTTTTTTACTATTGTCCATGAAAATAGAGTCCACTTTAAAGGAACTCTAGCTGGGCTGACATTTTATGTGGGCTTTGGTTCTTATCTTGTTTTTGTTAGTGATACGATTGCTACACTCTGATCCTATATAGAGTTGATATGCTCCGTTTAATCTATGTGTACTGCAGTAGTGAGGGACTTGGAAGTAGGAAAACCTGTGATCCTTCAGATATCGAGCTACTTTTCCATCATCTTTTAATACTGGCTGGGCTGGCAAGGGCTGATGGGAACAGGAGTCTTGAGTTCTTGAAAATCACCGGTTCCCCACTCGTGACCTAAATAGTCTTAAATGACTTCATTTTGAGAGGTGATGGAGTTGTGTGTGGCATCTCAGTGGCATGGAAGGAACCAGTGGGGTATAGGCAGGTTGAGGGTTGAAAGGGGCTGGGTTTCCCTGTAGAACCATAGACCTGGAAGGAAGTGACACTAAAGTGGGCTTGAACCATTCTTTCTTGTTGGAGGGGATGTTTGTTTTTAAAGATTTACATGATTTTGTCATACCCATTCTTTAATTATAGTACACTTACATGATTGTTGTCTTTCACAATCCTTAGATTATTAATATTCCAGCCGGAGGAGCTTTGCTTGATTCTGTTACTGTCATGGATTTTTTCCCAGGATTAAATTTGGAAGGTTTTCCAAACAGGGACAGCACAAAATATGCTGAACCATATGGTATTCAATCAGCTCACACTCTTTTAAGAGGAACTTTACGATACAGGGTAAGTATGCGTTATACTGGAGCCCCCGATGGCGCAGACGGTTAAACCACTGAATTGCTGAACTTGCTGATCAAAAGGTCACAGGTTCGAATTCAGGATGCGAGGTGAGCTCCCGCTGTTATCCTCAGCTTCTGCCAACCTGGCAGTTCAAAAACATGCAAATGTGAGATCAATAGGTACCGCTCCGGTGGGAAGGTAACAGTCATGCAGGCCACATGACCTTGGAAATGTCTACAGACAATGCTGGCTCTTTGGCTTAGAAATGGAGATGAGCACCAACCCCCAGTGTTTGACACAACTGGACTTAACGTCAGGGGAAAACCTTTACCTTTAGCTATGTTTTATACTGTAAAGGGCCAGATGGATTGTATGTAAAAGTCTTGCAAGATGCATTGTTACTCAAGCATTGTCCATCTGTTAAGTGGAATAAAATTCCACCGTAGCCTGTACTCGGAATCTTCTGCAATATTCCTTTTGAGATCCTTGGCTATTCTGACTCTGTTAGAGGACAGATATATGTGTGTCATGGATCCTGTCCTGTTTTCCTGGTTTGATTAGATTTTGTGAGTTGTGATGGATGATGCTATGATGTCATGAATATTGCGGTGTGATTCAGCCAGCAGTGAGGTCAAGTTCTATATGGAGAATGTGTGAGAGAGAAACATCTTGCCCTTTGCTTAAAAACCTTGGCCAGCCAAGGTGTAACTTACTATGTGAAAAGCTAATTGTTCTCCATCTTTGCATTGAGAAACCATTCTGATCTTACTTCTCCTAATGGTCTGGCAACAACCATTTTAATTAAATCGTTGATATACTTCAGGCTACTAAATTTTTGCAACTACATAAATTATATAATATTGCAATGTTGTCCCATAAATCTGTTTTTATGCATGATTGCAAAAATGGGCCTCAAATTTGTCACAGATAACTTTCTGTCTGTGTAGAAAGTATGGGTAGGAAAAAGCAGAAGGTTTGAAATGGGGGAGTACTTTTGTCTTTGGTTCTCATGTTGCTGCTTGAGCCCCCGGTGGCACAATGGGTTAAACCTTTGTGCAGGCAGGACTGCTGACCGAAAGGTTGGCAGTTTTAATTTGGGGAGTGGGGTTGTTGTTGTCGTGTCAGGAGTCGCTGAGCTCCCATATGTCAGGTCCAGCTTCTCATGCGGGGACATGAGAGAAGCCTCCCATAGGATGGTAAAACATTCGGGTGTCCCCTGGGCAACGTTCTTGCAGACTGCAAATTCTCTCATACCAGACAAGACTTGCAGTTTCTCAAGTTGCTCCTGACATAAAAAAAAAGGAGTCATTCCTTGGTTCTTTGCTTTACTGGCATGTAGGGGCCTGTGTTCAGTGGTGTTTTCTGACATTTTGTGTCTGTTCTTCCAGGGTTATTCTAAAGCCATATCAGGCTTTGTGAAACTAGGACTAATCAATCCAGAGCCATGTCCTATGCTGAGTGCAACAGCACCATCTATAAACTGGGTAAGACTTGCTCATTGACTTGGAAAAGTTATACTGAGACTGAGCTGATACCAAATCGTGTTCCATTGGGCTCAGCTTCATCTACAATTATTTTGGAATCTTATTTCTGCAAAGAAGAGAGACATCCTGCAATGAAGGTCCTCTTTCTATTTCAACAAGGTCTTATTGACAAACCCTATGGAGTACTATTTTACCTGTTTTCCTTAAAAGTCAATCTTTCTTTGGTGTTTATATGGGCATAGTTTCATCACTTGCACATTTTTCCCCCTTGTCATCAACTCAAAACTAAACTACGTAGTTTCTGTTTCGGCAGCTTTGAGAAATGACTTTTCTGGGTTTCCCAATGAGAATTGTTACCTATAACCAGGCTCTGAAAGTGATACCAATTTTATTTCAGTCCAGTCTCTTTTGCGTCTGACTCCAGGAAGCTGTTTCATAACTAAACCAGTAACTCTTATCAGTAATAGATTAAATGAGAACAAACCAACTGAAACGTAATCCAAACAAGACAAAGATGCTCCTCATCAACCAAAAGGCAGATTGGGGAATAGGGATTCAGCTTGTGCTGGATGGCATAATGCTCCCACTGAAATCTCAGGTTTATACAGTGGGTATATATATTTTCGTGGACTCAGTCCTAAGTTTGGATGCCCACATTTCAGTAATGGCCAGGGGTATGTGTGCACAATTTAACTAGTGTTCCAGTTATATCCATTCCTGGAGATGTCAGATCTAACAGTGGGACATGTCTTGATCTCATTCCATCTGGATAACTGAAATATACTGTTCTTGGAGCTGCCTGCATGGTCCAAAATACTCTATCAAGACCACTGACCAGGGCTGGTTATAGGTAGCATAGAAATGCATTGCTGAAATTGCTCCACTAGCTATTGGTCTGTTTCAGGATATAATTTGAAGTGCTGATTGTGACATATGAAGTACTGTACAGCTTAGGTCCACACTAATTGAAATATCCCAACTCTTTGTACAAGCTCCTCAAGACAAGTTATTGAAAGAGGGCTTTCTCTCCATCTCACCAGCTTTGCAGATGTGTCTTGGTGAACACATGACCGAGAGACATCTTGGTAGCTTCTTCCTTTTTTGACTTTTGGATGCTCACACGGTGGTTTGTCATTTCTTTTCACACCTAGAAAGACTTAATGTGCAAATTACTTGGACTTCATCAGTCTGCCAAACCTGAAGATCTCCGTGATGCTGTCTATCACAAATTGAACAAGGATGAAAAGCAACTGGAGGCAGTGGAATGGTATGACACATTATGTGGTTTGCCTTGGTCTCTGCACTTTTAAAGTTCCTCTCTAACATCCAGCAATAGAGTACAAACCTGAATTGATAATTAAATCCCATCCAAATGGATTTAAAAACCTGCATTGAGAGACTGATCCCAGAATTCCAGAATATTCCAAGAGATAAAAATGCCCCATGTAATCATTGGGTTTGAACGCTACCAGAAGATAGACCTACCCAAAAGCAGGAGGAATATAAAAAATAACAAGGAAAGCAAACCATTTATATTGTATGTGTAAATAAATCTAAGTTGGTGTAGGATAAAGGATATTCCCCTATACACAAATTCCTAGGGCCAGAAACACATGTTCACATGAAGTAAAACATTTCTTTCAGGTAACAGACCTCGTATTTTTCATAAAAACATGACCAATATAACTTATGTGTTGTCGAAGGCTTTCATGGCCGGAATCACCAGGTGTGCCCTGTGAGTTTTCTGGGTTGTATGGCCATATTCCAGAAGCATTCTCTCCTGACGCTTCACCCACATCTATGGCAGGCATCCTCAGAGATTGTGAGGTCTGTTGGAACCTAGGCAAGTGAGGTTTATATATCTCTGGAATGTCCAGGGGGGGGGAGAAAGAACTCTTGTCTGTTGGAGGCAAGTGTGAATATTGCAATTGGCCACATTGATTAGCATTTGATGGCCTTGCAGCTTCAAGGCCTGGCAACACATAATTTATGTTGCTAAAAAATTATAAACTGCAATTTCCAACTGCAAACAAATTATTTTGAATCCCCCAAACCAGGGATGTAATACCAGTTTTCTAACACTGAGTAGATAATATCAGAACACAGTGTGGCAGTAACCCATGACTAGAGCAAAATTGTTGCAATTGTTTTGCATTTACTTCTCCTTTGTTGCTTTCTTTCACAAAAGCCCTGTCCCAGTGACATAGTGTCACCTTATCCTTTTGTGTCTTCTGTTATGAAAATGTTTGTTTAAATGTCCTGATCAGTGTCACCATTTTCTCTACCTTTCAGGTTGGGATTACTCAGAGATGAACCTGTTCCAATAGCAGAGACAATCGTGGGTGCACTGGCCAAGCACATGGAGGCGAAATTGTCCTATGGTATGTGAAACATTTTCAGCTTGCAGGTTGACTGGTTTCATTTTTCTGATCCTAACTCTATGAAAGGAGAAGAGGAAAAGCTTGTCAGGTTTCTTTGCTGGCTATTTGACTTTGGTACATTTAGACAAAGTACTAAAATTAAGCACTCCTTTCCTATTTCCATAGGCACACTACTTGGCTCTTCCATCTCTTTCTTGAACACACTCAAAGGGCTTTATTTGAAACTAATCTGTTAGGTTATTTTGATGAGACTTTGATGTTGCTAATGTTCTTTAGATAAGGGCATTGGCAGGTGATTCCTATGCTGCTTGTTTTCTGCAATAGGACCAATATTGCTATAAAGTTTAAGGGGGGAAAATAAAGTATTAAAATATGACTTCCTTAAAAACCTTTGTTTTCTCTGTACTTCTTTTTTCAATGAGATTCCATCTGACTGGAGCTAAGAAAGGCTCAGAAGCAGGGAGCTGTCCATTGGTTCTGTTGAAAGAGTAGTTTCTCCTTCCCACTTGGTTTTATAACTAAGAATTGGCGCCTGAGCATATTTTGTTTGTTTTGTTCTTTATCCCCTTTTGTACTGTGTCTTATTAATTGTAATTCTGCAAGGAGAGTTTCTTTTGATCTTGTGTAAGCTATCATGGGAGCCTTTTCAGCTGATAAGCAGTGTAAACTCCAGCAAAGGATCACCGCCTTGTCGGGGCGCTGGAGCTTGAGCACCTCAATGATGTCATGAGCGAAACCGAAAGGACACCCAAGACGGGACGGTTGTGGCAGAGAGGTCAGACCAAGCGTGATCCCTGGGGAAGGCAATGGCAAACCACTCCAGTATCCTTGCCAAGAAAACTAAATGGACCAGTACAACCAGAGATATGTCGGTATGCCATTGGAAGATGGGACTCCCAGGTCGGAAGATGGCCAAAATGCTACTGGGGAGGAGCAGAGGATAAGTTCAACGAGCCCCAGATGTGATGACGCAGCTAGCTCAAAGCCGAAAGGAAGGCTAGCGGCCGACGGTACTGGAGGTGAACGACGAATCTGATGCTCTAAAGATCAACACACCATAGGAACCTGGAATGTAAGATCTATGAGCCAGGGCAAATTGGATGTTGTTATTGGTGAGATGTCAAGACTAAAGATAGACATTCTGGGGGTCAGCGAACTGAAATGGACTGGAATGGGCCACTTCACATCAGATGACCACCAGATCTACTACTTCGGACAAGAGGAACATCGAAGAAATGGAGTAGCCTTCATAATTAATAAGAAATTCGCTAAAGCGGTGCTTGGATACAACCCAAAAAATGACAGAATGATCTCAATTCGAATGCAAGGAAAGCCTTTCAACATTACAGTGATCTAAATATACGCCCCAACCACAGCTGCTGAAGAAGCAGAAGTAGATCAGTTCTATGAGGATCTGCAGGACCTACTGGATAATACACCAAAAAGAGACATTATTTTCATTACAGGAGACTGGAATGCCAAGGTGGGAAGTCAAATGACAACTGGGATCACGGGCAAGCATGGTCTGGGAGAACAAAATGAAGCGGGACGCAGGCTGATAGAATTTTGCCAGGAAAACTCGCTGTGTATAACGAATACTCTCTTCCAACAACCTAAAAGACGGCTTTATACATGGACCTCACCAGACGGTCAACACCGAAATCAGATTGACTACATCCTTTGCAGCCAAAGGTGGCGGACATCCATCCAGTCAGTGAAAACAAGACCTGGGGCTGACTGTAGCTCAGATCACGAACTTCTTATTGCCCAATTTAGAATAAAACTAAAGAGATCAGGGAAAATACACAGACCAGTTAGATATGATCTCACTAACATTCCTAGCGAATATACATTGGAAGTGAAGAACAGATTTGAAGGACTAGATTTAGTAAACAGAGTCCCAGAAGAACTATGGACAGAAGTCCGCGACATTGTTCAGGAGGCGGCAACAAAGTACGTTCCAAAGAAAAAGAAAACCAAGAAGGCAAAATGGTTGTCTGCTGAGACACTGGAAGTAGCCCAAGAAAGGAGGAAAGCAAAAGGAAACAGTGAAAAGGGGAGATATGCCCAGTTAAATGCGCAATTCCAGAGGTTAGCCAGAAGAGATAAGGAACTATTTTTAAATAAGCAATGCATGGAAGTGGAAGAAGACAACAGAATAGGAAGGACAAGAGCCCTCTTCCAGAAAATTAGAAACATTGGAGGTAAATTTCAGGCAAAAATTGGTATGATAAGAAACAAAGATGGCAGGGACCTAACAGAAGCTGAAGAGATCAAGAGAAGGTGGCGGGACTATACAGAAGATCTGTATAGGAAGGATAATAATATCGAGGATAGTTTTGACGGTGTGGTGAATGAATTAGAACCAGACATCCTGAGGAGTGAGGTTGAATGGGCCTTAAGAAGCATTGCTAACAACAAGGCAGCAGGAGACGATCCCAGCTGAACTGTTTAAAACTTAAAAGATGATGCTGTCAAGGTGATGCATGCCATATGCAGCAAATATGGAAAACACAAGAATGGCCATCAGACTGGAAAAAATCAACTTATATCCCCATACCAAAAGGAAATGCGAAAGACTGCTCAAACCTCCATACAGTGGCACTTATTTCTCATGCAAGTAAGGTAATACTCAAGATCCTGCAAGGAAGACTCCAGCAATACATGGAGAGAGAGCTGCCAGATGAACAAGCTGGGTTTAGAAAATGCAGAGGAACGAGAGACTCAATCGCCAATTCCTCTGGGTAATGGAGAAAGGTAGGGGGTTTCAGAAAACATCTATTTCTGTTTTATTGACGACTCTAAATCATTTGACTGTGTGGATCATAATAAATTGTGGCAAGTTCTTGGTGGGATGGGCATCCCAAGCCACCTTGTCTCTCTCCTGAGGAATCTGTACAAGGACCAAGTAGCAACAGTAAGAACTGACCACGGAACACCAGACTGGTTCAAGATTGGGAAAGGCGTACGGCAAGGCTGCATACTCTCACCCCACCTTTTTAACTTGTATGCAGAACACATCATGCGATGTGCGGGGCTGGATGAATGCAAAGCTGGGTGAAAATTGCTGGAAGAAACATTAACAACCTCAGATATAGCAGATGACACCACTCTGATGGCCGAAAGCGAGGAGGAGCTGAGGAGCCTTCTAATCAAGGTGAAAGAAGAAAGCGCAAAAGCCGGGTTGCAGCTAAACGTCAAAAAAACCAAGATTATGGCAACAAGAATGATTGACAACTGGAAAATAGAGGGAGAAACCGTGGAGGCCGTGACAGACCTTGTATTTCTAGGTGCAAAGATTACTGCAGATGCAGACTGTAGCCAGGAAATCAGAAGACGCTTACTTCTTGGGAGGAGAGCAATGTCCAATCTCGATAAAATAGTAGAGTAGAGACATCAGACTGGCAACAAAGATCCGCCTAGTCAAAGCCATGGTATTCCCTGTAGTAACCTACGGATGTGAGAGCTGGACCTTAGGGAAGGCTGAGCGAAGGAAGATCGATGCTTTTGAGCTGTGGTGTTTGGAGGAAAGTGCTGAGAGTGCCTTGGACTGCGAGAAGATCCAACCAGTCCATCCTCCAGGAAATAAAGCCCGACTGCTCATTGGAGGGAAGGATACTAGAGACAAAGCTGAAGTACTTTGGCCACATCATGAGGAGACAGGAAAGCCTAGAGAAGACAATTATGCTGGGGAAAGTGGAAGGAAAAAGGAAGAGGGGCCGACCAAGGGCAAGATGGATGGATGGCATCCTTGAAGTGACTGGACTGACCTTGAAGGAGCTGGGGGTGGTAACGGCCGACAGGGAGCTCTGGCGTAGGCTGGTCCATGAGGTCACGAAGAGTCGGAGACGACTGAACGAATGAACAACAACAAGCAGTGTAAATAATGCTTTAATAGATACTGTTTTAATGAAAATTAGAAAAGTAATACTAGTTACAAACCAGGGAAACGAGAGGTATTCCTGTCCTGGAAATTATGAATAACTCTGACAAATCTGAATAGTTACTATCAGAGTGCTAAAATGATTGGAATACTTATGTTTTATCATGTCCAAAGTGAATTGAGAATATACTGCAAGTCATTTCTGGGGTGAGAGAATTGGCTGTCTGCAAGGGCATTGCCCAGAGGGTGCCCTAATGTGTTACAATCCTGTGGGAGGCTTCTCTCATGTCCCTGCATGGGAAGCTGGGGCTGACAGACTGCTCTTGTGTATTTGAACTGCTAACCTTCAGATCTTCAGGTCAGCAGTTCAGTTGGCACAAGGGTTTAACCCATTGCGCCATCGCAGCTCCCATACGTATGATGTTGTGACCTATAGCGACATGAAAGTAGGCCTCTTTAAGGTCTATGGTAGCAAACCAAGCACCATAAGGTAGAATGGGCATAATAGTGGAAAGTGTCACCATATGGAAGCGGCGTGGTCGAATGTACTTTTTGAGGCTCCGTAAATCTAGACATTGACCACCATCCTTTTTTGGCACAAGGAAGTAGCATGATAAATTATTTATGTAATATAGCATAACACACTTTTGGAGGGGAAAAGTTTGTAATGAAAAGCAAACTGAACGAGGATAGGAGCAGGATATCCTAAATGTACGCTGGATTGGATTTAGGTCCTTGTGCAGATCATGAAACAGTTATGTAGTCAGTTATTGAAGCAGCAGTCCATCTTTAATATAATATGTGTAAATATAAATTTTAATATTTCCTTTTAGGTGCTGGAGAGCGGGACATGATAGTTATGAGGAATGAAATAGGGCTGAAGCATCCATCTGGTCATTTGGAAGACAAATATGTCAATCTTGTAGTATATGGTGATAAAGGATATTCTGCAATGGCAAAAACTGTAGGGTATCCAACGGCTATTGCAGCAAAAATGGTTCTCGATGGTATGTATGACAGTTTTTATTTGTTTACTAAGGACCCACATTATTTTGTGTTTCTAGTCATACTCAATATATTTAGACTAACTGTTATAAAGCAATTCATTTGTTTTGTTTAAGAAATCTGTAGCCTTTTAGAATAAAGGTTCCATAAGGTTTTTTGTTTTTTTGTTTTTTTTGCATTGCATTGATAGTCAATCAAATTAAAATAACACATCATTTCTGTTTTAGGTGAAATTGACGCCAAAGGCATGGTTATCCCATTGACAAAGAATATATATGGACCAATACTCAAACGGGTTCAAGCTGAAGGCATTTCTTACAGTACCCAAAGCGTTATCAAGCAATAAAAGAGGCTTCATCATCCCTCCTTCTTTTTTGCAAGATCTAGTTTTCTATTAACAATTGGCAGCTTGAAAATAATTGCATTTGGACACCTATTTTCTGGAAAATCTTTAGGACCATTGACATTTAATAGGAGCTATGCTATGACTGCTCTACTCTTGTGAAGTTCCAGTTTTTTTTCCCAGTGAGATTTGCACAATATCGTCCTATTTCCTGCTGGATTATGCACTCTGTCTTTTAAGGTTCCAACTCTGGCCATAATTACCTGAAAAGAAGTCCCAGCGAGTCATCATCTGTTGGACTTTGATTTCTAAGCAGTTTGCAATGTAAAAGTACTTAGAAAGCAAACGTGTGGAATGAATGGCTCTCTATATATTTTGGACTCCGACACATTGGCTCCAGCCAGGAGTTTGCTCAAATATAGCTGGAGGGACAATTCTAGGTTCCCAGCCTCCGTTATAAATCGTCCATGTTGACAACAAAAGTTGCATCTTAATATAATAGCATTTGCCTTCAAATTTCTCCCAAGTGCTGAGAATATGCTGAGTTTGATGAGTTCCCTGTATTTTCTTTTGAAATACAGGGAAGATGAATGTTGTAATATTTATGAAAGAAATGTGGATAGTTTCCCCACTCCATCTATTCTATATGACCAATCTTCGCTTCTAAAATAATATTGGATTAAGGTTCCCAGAATCCGTCACATTTGGCCATGCTGGCTTTAGCTTCTTTGAGTTGGATTCCCATGTTCTGTGGATGCCAACATGGGTCCTGGGTTCTGTGCAGTTGGTTTGAGATCTGTGTTCAAACTGCTTCCTATTAAGAGCCCTCACTAAATTGGTAAACTCCACATTTTAAAAATGTATATGGACTAGCTGCCCATTCCCACTCCCAATGAATCAACACCTTTGTAGTCATTTTTTGATTCATCACATATACTTGTGGACTTCAGTACCATCATTACCATGTTACCAGCTATTGTTTGCCTACTAACAGTGAAACCAAATGTGAATTGGACTTAAACAAAGAGCTTAAATAGTACTTAATAGAGGGCTTATCGTGACCTTTTCAGCCTAGGCAAGTATCTCGTTAAAGAGTTTTTGGTAACAGGATGGGAATGACTTCTGCACTAGATTCTGAAAACCTACCAGTGTGAGAAAGACAAAATATGTACCATTCAATCTTGTCTGAAAATCTTTTTATGTTCATGGATACTGAGCCCTTTATAAGCAAAAGGGAACCTTAATGTGATTTGCAATACCTAGAAAATTATGCCAAAAATATTTTTATATGTAATGAAAATCTGAATGTATTATTATCATTATTGTAGACAATTTAATAGTATATGAAATTTTGAAAATAATTTTATGTGATAACACTAGTTCCATGTTTGCCAAATTTTGTGGTGTTTGGAACTATGTTTCAATCTACTGGATGGCTACGTAATATCTGAGTAATATACTTAGCTATAGAAGGGTAGCTGATTTGTAGTCTGTAAGATTCATTCTCAAGCAGAATAACGGTTTCCTGTCTTGTTGAGATATCAGTGCAGTATATATATTTGATCAGCCTCAACCAAGCTCCAGATACGTTGGAGCTTGGTTGGTCTTTAGCTCTTTTCTTGTTCCATATTTGGATGAAATAATAATATGCACTGCATATTCTGTCTTTGTTCTGTAGTTGTCCTTTCATTTAATTATACCAAAACAAAAGTGATATCATTTGACCATGTAAGGTTTCTCAATTATGTAAAATGTTTATCTTTTCCGGATCTTTGTCACATGTTTGATTTATTTATTTTAATGAAAATATTCTGTTAGAAGCCAGATATCTAATGTTCAAGATTTTCCTATTCAAGATCACTGTAAATGTGAAGGAAAAATCTCTTTGGTCTAGCCACAGGAACAGGAATGAGGTGAGGAAAGAGCAAATGCTTCAGTGGACGTTGATTTGAAGGTGTATGGATTATAAGAAAAAAAGAGTATGCAAACTGTTCTGCCATATATTCAGAGGAATACTGCAAAGAGGAGATGAACATGAACTAAAGCGTTTTCTGTACTGTGCCGAAATAAGCTGCCTTGCTATTTTGTCCCAGTTATGCTGATTTTCTTTTGCATCGCTTTTGGTCTTTTCATATACAGTAGAGTCTTGCTTATCCAACATAAATGGGCCGGCAGAGCGTTGTATAAGTGAAAATGTTGTATAATAAGGAGGGATTAAGGAAAGGCCTATTAAACATCAAATTACATTATGATTTTACAAATTAAGCACCAAAACATCATGTTTTACAAATATAAACAGCAGTTCAGTACATGGTAACGTTATGTAGTAATTACTGTATTTATGAATATAGCACCAAAACATCGCAATGTATTGAAACAGCTGTGGAAGCAGACTGTGTTGGATAATACAGAACGTTGCATGAGCAAAAGTTGGATACATGACTCTACTATACTTGAAAAAGTTTAATGCTCAGACTTCATTTTCTCCAAGAATCCCATCTACTTTGGTGATCATTTGGGATCTTGCCATAATAGCTCAGTCCTATCCATGTTTACACAGAAGGAAGTCCTATGGTGTGCATTGCATCCTTAAGCCAAAATCCCATTGTAGCTTTACATTACCATAAAAAACTTGCACTAGTTGTACTTTTAACTCACTTTGACATATCCAGTACCTCCTTTACACAAGGATGTGCTGTAGAAAATTGTGTATGTGGTCACAGTTCCACTTCTGAGTAACAAGATGACTCACATATCTTGGCTCTCATTGATATCAGCAGTATTTGGCCTTAATTTAAGTCTACTCTTACTATCTGGAATAGTTTGAATACGCACAGATAGGGAGAGAAAATCCAGCATAGTTTTATGACAAAATTTCAGTCTGTGCATGAATTTTTCAATTCTGGTTGTTGGGGAATATTCTGAGCATCACTTGCTGGTTAGTTGATTCAGATTTAAGTCTAAATGCAGGGCAGCAACTGAACGATGTTGACTGCTAGGCAGAAGACTTCTATCCAGTCTGTTTGCCCAAACAGTTCAAGTGGCAACAATGCTGGGTGTGCTTGTTGAAAAGAGTGTATAAAAACTTGGTACCCATTGCACTAGACTTATTTTGCTCAGGTATACAACCTTCCACTTCTTTTTCTCAATTTGGGACATAAAATGGCCCCTGCCGAACTGGCAGTGACCCTTTTGATAGGTCACCAAGCAGCTCTGGGATACTAATCAGCTTTAGTAGTTTTTGTTTATGAGCAAAATAAAAACAATCCACCATTCTTGCCCATCTGCCTTCCTACCCTCAAGCGCCTACTCCCCAAACAAAAAGATGCCCTTTCTGGAAGCTTTTCTTTTATATGGCTTTAAATACTTCAAATAACCAAAAGGAAGAGCTGCAATTGTTTTATAAGATTCAGGGCAGCTGGAAAGGTTAGTTTGTACATTTGTAGCGGCTCCTTGTTTCAGCATACTGTATTTCTTTTGGAATCCTCTCCTTGGGGCAAAAGAGTCTTTTATATATTGTGTCGGGTTTAAAGAAATCCATTGCTTCTGCTATGGTGGCATATCAAATAAAAGCGTTTGACTTTTGTTTGTGCTTATCTCTTTTTATTCTGTCCAAAGGTGTGTTGAGGGTTGAAGGCAGCCTTTACATTTGTGAGCATAAGCTGGGACGGAAAGCTCGTGGCCCAGGGTCTGATGTCCGGTAACCCTTGGCCTCATTTGACTGGGGTCAGCTCAGGCCCTAGAGTGGTGGTTAGAATTGTGGTGTTGTTAAACTATGATTCCCAGAATCCCTTCCACTTGTTTTGTTTGCTAGAGTTGCTAGTAGGTGTAGCTCAAAAACATCGGGATTGCTGCATAACTCCCAGCCCTGCTGTATACTACTGCTTCTTAAACTATGAGTCCCGACCCCAAATGGGGTCCCCTTAGCTCAATGTTGGGGTCACGAAAAATTTGGCAACACTAAAAGGTTTCTGAATGCCACACATTTACACAAATCTAGCAATAATGTGCAGTATTTACAGCGGACTTTGCAGAAAATGCTTCAGATGTAGGTTGCCGTGACTTTTCTAGGCTCTATGGCCATGTTCTAGAAGCATTCTCCCCTGATGTTTTGCCCACATATATGGCAGGCATCTTCAGAGGTTGTGAGGCCTGTTGGAAACTATACAAGTGGAGCTTCTGTATCTGGAATATCCAGTATGGGAGAAAGAACTCTTGTCTGCTTGAGGCAATTGTGAATGTTGCAATTGGCCACCTTGATTAGCACTGAATCGCCTTGTAGCTTCCTTGGCTGGTTGATGCCTAGGGATATCCTTTGTTGGGAGGTGTTAGTTGGCCCTGATTGATTCTTGTCTGGAATTCATCTGTTTTTTGAGTTGTTTTTTTATTTATTGTCTTGATTTTAGGGTTTTTTTAAATATTGGTAGCCAGATTTGGTTCATTTTCATGGTTTTCCCCTTTCTGTTGAAATTGTCCACATCTTTGTGGATTTCATTCACTTCTCTGTGTAGTCTGACATGGTAGTTGTTAAGAGTGGTCCAAACGGAGGTGTTCTCAAATAATATGCAGTACTTCATAAAAATGAAATCAGCCTGTTTAGCAAACCCTGCAAATGTGGATTTATTATCAGTAAATGTTTTATTTTGATACCCATTTTATCTTTAAACCTGAGATGACAAAAATTTCTCAGTTGGAAAGGTGTTGGAAATGAACACTTTAAGGAGCCCTGGTCTAGAAAGTGCAATTCTTTTCAATGCTGCCTGCTAGACAAAAGAGGAAGGGAAGAGAACAGAAAGGCCAGGTCCCATCCACTCTTATTCCCAAAAGAGTGTGGCTCTGGACAGCCACTTATTCAAGCTTAGGTGACACTGCTGAAAAAAATGTAATCAGAAGTTGTTAATAGCTATGACTTCCAGGTTTGTGTGGGGTCAATTGAGAATTAAGGGTGCAGTTCTGGAAATCAGAGTCGATCTTGTTCAACATATTTGTGGGGAAGTGGAGACAGAAAAAAAGTGTACATGTGAGGCAACTTTGGAATTGCAAAAAGTTACGGCTTCATGTAGTCGGCGTACCATGCTTTCTCCAGCTATATTTCGTAATAGTGGCTTCTTTTCAGTCCTTTACCCTTTTGGACAATCTCTACCTTCCAGTCATCCTCTGCTTCTGGCATGAAACTTGTATAGCATCCAAACCCACTGTCCAATTTTTTCCACCTGTGTCCACAACCTTCCAAAAGTTATTGTTTTTGATGGCAGCAGAATAAAAATATACTGTGATATGGAGGATAGTCTCCCAGATGGTTTAACATAGCAACAATATTGGGTGATCAGTGAAGCTCAAAAGTGATATCATTTATAAGCACTGTGTACTGTTCAGATACAAAGCAGCTTCTCTGAAATATTGCATAATGTCGTGCATATAATTTTTAAGGGCATTGTAGGCATTTTATGAAGAGCTCCCCCTCCAGGTTTTGGGCGTTTCTCAAGAATCATACAATTTTTAAAAAAAAAATCTGAATTATCACTTGAACAATCACATCAAATTACAATTATTAACAAGGGTCTTTTAACTTTTTTCAACTGGACACAAAACAAACAAAATTCCTAAAGATTAATGTGTAATGTAAACAAAGTGCTTTTTAAAAAAGTAACTTGCCAAACTCTGGTGTGGTTTACCAAGGCCCCCCCCCCCCCCCCTATATTTACATGGGCATTGCTGACCTGTTTGTACAGACAGGCATGTAATCCTCAATAATGTGCTGTGTTAAAACCATCTTAAGCTACTGTTGCCTCCTTTTATATAGCTTCATTTGTACATTTTTAAGATTGTGCTTTTGATTTTTGTTTTCTTTTGTCTGTGTGTACCACCCCCCCCCCCACAAAAGGATAAGCTGCTTTCGGCTACAGATATTTAATAATTATTAATCATCATATTAATGTGGTGTGAGTGCCTGCAGGTCAAGAAAAAACAAATCCACATTGGGTGCCTCTCTAGGTCCTACTTGCCTAGTATTAGACATACTGTAATTTTAGGCAGAATAAATAGTTTGCCACTTTTAAATAAGGAAATGCAAGATCTTTGCTTTTGTTTGGTTGTAAAATAAATTTGTAATATGGAGGAAGTATCAGATTTTTGTGTGTTAATGCTGCAACAATTCACTTTTAGCTCTTTAAATTGCATTATTATAAAAAATAGAATCAACTCATTTAGTTGCAAGATATAAATACATACCATTCCTTTAGGTTGGAAGATAAAGTGATATCTCTGTCAACAAGTTTTTAATTTTTTAAAATTCTTAGTTTCATTTAGATTTTAAATACATTTAAAAACAATACTATACCTTTTTATTCAGTGTTTCCTAAACTCCAGTCTCCCAGGTGTTTTGGACATCAGCTCCCAGAATCCCTGTTCATTGACTACTTCATCACACTAGATAATGAATCCATTTTAAATCCGGTTTCTGCCTCCTGCAGAATTCTCGGGTTTGTAGTTTAGTGAGGCTGTCAAAGGCTCCTCCCTTCATTCTCTGGTGTAATGAAGTAATAAGTCAGCTGAACCTTCTGGGAGTTGAAGTCCTAAACACCTGGAGGACTAGAGTTTTGGATACATACCTAATTTGTTAAATTAGTTCAATTAGATATTATAGTCTTATACACTTTCCAACTTGTATAAACATATTAAATACAGGCATTTCTCACAATGGGTCTTATTTCTAGTCCACAGAATATTGGAATCTTAGGGGTGGCTCTATACAGATCCTTTATCCCAGGGTTGATCTGGAGAGGTGAATCATGGGGCTGATCTAGCACTCACCATTCAGGATCTGCCCTGGGCTAATTTTGACTGCCAGTTTCCCTGACCATCCAGTGGTGACGAAACAGGACACTCCCCCCCCCCCCTGTTGCAGCAGCTCCAACAGCTGCCAGTCTGTTTCTGGGCACAATAAAAAGTGCTGGTTATGACCTTTAAAGTCCTAGATGGTTTAGGTCCAGGACATTTGCCTGACCACATCCCCTTGTGCGAACCTGCACAGTCCCGGAGATCTTCAGGAGAGGTTCTTCTCTCGGTCCAGCTTCCACCTCAAGCTTGCTTGGTGGGAACGAGAGAAAGGGTCTTCTCAGTGGCAGCCCTGCGACTCTGGAACTACCTGCTCAGGGAAGTCAGAAAGGCTTTCTGGCAGCAGGCTAAAAGCTTGTAAAGAAGGTTTTTAAGATCAATTCAGGTGGTGCTGTGTTTTTAAACTTTAACCATGTTTTAATGGTATTTAACTGGGAATTTTAATACTGTTTATATGTAATCCTGTTTTAATGTTTGCATATTTGTATATTTTAAATGATATGCTGATATTTTTATATTAAGCCATTTTGAGTCTCCTGCAGGAGAGATAAAGTGGACTAGAAATATAACAACAGATCAGTGTCAATGTGCCCTCAGAGGTGGAAGGTCCCACAAGGGCCATCAAGTTCAACTGCTTGCAAAGCATACACAACTACCTATACTTCCATACAACTTTGGTTTAAATGCCTCCAAAGAAACAGTAACAATTTCCCCACTTGCCAAGATAGTCTATTCCACTCTTTAGAGAAAAATAGTACTTTGTAATGTTTAGGTAAAATCTCTTTTCTTGCAATTTGAATCTACTCATCTGTTTTATTCTCTGAGGCAGAAGAACACACACCCATTTTATTGTCCACATGGCATTGCTTCAGTGATTTCAAATTCATTGATTTAAAGATTGTAAATAATTGTCTTAAATAGTACTGTTCCAAAATTCCAGTTGACACCTTAAAGTTGCAGTGCTAGTTAAATATGTATTAGGACCCACAGGTTGTTGATGTGTACAAGTCAGAGGACAAATGGTGACCAGATTTCTATGAAATCATCTTTGCTTTTCTCTCCCAGCCATAAATCTGTCAACAAATGTCTCTGTAATGTTGAAAGGCTTTGTTACAGGGCATATTGTTGTCTGTTCGAATCAAAGCTGGGTTGTGAACTGTATAAAGTAAGGTTAACTATATCACTAGAGTGCCTGCTTTGAGCTGTGGGTAAAGTGAAATGTAACTGACAGATGACACGAGAAACATCAGTTGCTTTATTATCTGAAAAAGAAAAAAGAAGTGAGTCTTTCCCTGTAGGTGCATCTGCAACAGCTATGTGCAATCTCTAGCTAAATAACAAACCCTTCATGTTCTTTCCAGCGGGACAGTAGAACCAAAGGGTCAATGTAAAAGGACTTTTTTCTTAGTATGGCTGATTATATTTTCCACCGTCTGAGACTAGCTGTAATTTTTACAGTAGTAGCCAAGAAGGGGATTTTCCCACCACAATATATTGGCAAGAGATTGCTTTGCTATACACAGAATATTTTAGAATGGATTGGTAGTGTTGAATAGGCAGTAAAGATTCTACAGATGTACTGCTGATAAAGATGAAAACAGTCTGAATTGGTTTGTGGAACAGAGTCAAACCAGAGATATGCATTTTCCAGTCTCTACTTAGCAGTGTACCAAGAGAGGTTGTCATGTGGAGCATCTGCATCACACAGTTGCCGCTTCCACGATTTCCCAGTTCTATTCACAGATGGAAAAGGCCAACACATCTTACGGCCTTTGTGTTTGTGTCTAAATATTTTTTCTCCATTAGAAAGGATATTAGGTTCAGCTCCTATATTTGCTTTTTAGGTATTTTTTTCCTCCATACTAACAAAGTAGCTATCTACACTTACCATTTAATACACTTTCAAACCAATATTGAAGAAAGTAGACTACATAGGAAAGCGTTGGGACCAGTTTGAGGCACAGATGGTGATTACACAAACCACAGAATATTGATGCACATTGAGGGCTTTCTTTCACACACTTTTTGGGGTGTTTGTTGTCTGATTATTACAGTTTGAAGCAAGTTTCAAATTACTGTATATATTCGAGTATAAGCTGACCCAAATATAAGCTGAGGCACCTAATTTTACCACAAAAAACTGGGAAAATTTATTGACAAGTATAAGCCGAGGGTAGGAAATGCAGCAATTACTGGTAAATTTAAAAATAAAAATAGGTAGCAATAAAATTACATCTATCGTGGAATCAGTAGGTTAAATGTTTTTGAATATTTGCATAAAACTATACTTTAAGATAAGACTATCCAACTCTGATTAAACAATTATTCTAACCTTCTTAAATGTAAATGTGCTTACTTATCCTTCCAATAATAATAAAGAGTAAAATAATAAATGTAGTAATAATAGAGTAAAATAATAAATGTAATAAAAATAATAGAGCAAAATATTAGCGTAATAATTAAAATAGAGTAAAATAAATGTAATAATATCAATAATAGAGAAAAAGAATAAATGTAACAAAAATAATAACAGAATAAAATAATAAATATCCTTAACTCAAGTATAAACGGGGGGGGGGGGGGGGGCATCCTAAAAAAGGGGATGAAAAACCCGACTTATACTCGAGTATATGTGGTATATTAGATGGTCAGTATAGATGGGGCCATCAATACCATGTGTTTTCAATATCTTTTGAGGGGGGAAAACACCTTAAAGTTGCAGTACTAGTTAAATATGTATTAGGACCCACAGGAGGAATTGAAATAACATCTTTCCCACACTTGACCTAGTTTAAGGAAGCAGGCTCCGTATTTTTTGAGTCTGTAGCATGGATTACAATACAAAAATAATCAGAATATATCCTTTTTGTCTGAGATGGTTTGCTGGTTCTATTTAGGAACTGATGCACATTTATTAAAAGGAGTAATCCAGGACAAGTTGAAGATTATGGAAGATTTCTTATAATTCTTCAATTTTTTTCCAGATCAAACTGTGTGTCTTGGTAAAAAGATTATCCTACAGATTTATGTATTTAAAAAAACTTGTCAGCAAGCTAAGATGATTCTGATTATAGGGATGTGTGGGAAGAATCGTACGACACAGCCATTGATTCCTTAGATAATCATTTAAAAAATGACTGCTGAAGGGCAGCTATCTTTCAGGCCCTTTCTTCCTGGCAGAGAAGACATTACTGGGAATAAATCATATGCAATGCAGACGTATGCATGTTTATTCAAAGCAAACATCATCACGTATAAAGAGAATTAGTCCTTGGCAAGTGAATGGAAGACTACATTCTTAGATGTTTTCCTGGGTCAAGTAAATGGCACATGAGCGTCTTGTGTTTTCCTGTCTTGATTTTCTGATTGGTTCCATACTTGAGATTATGGGTAGAAAGCAGAAGGCCAAGAGGATTAGGAAAGGGGGTTATGGAAGCAGCCATAAGATCAAAATTAACTCTGTGGCACTTACATCCCAAGGGATATTGCAAAGCTTAAAAAAAAAAGAATAAAAAGACTTGGGACTGTTCTTGTTCAGTGCTTGTTTTGAAATAAATAGGTAAGGAAGTTGTCCTGATGAAAATTAACTGTTTTTTTTAGTCCATGTGTTGTGAGCAAGCCCTCCCCCCCGGGCTGCCCTGAGTCCCCCCCCCCCAGGGGCTGAGAAGGGTGGGGTACAAATATCTGAAATAAATAAAATAAAAATAAGTTGCTCATGTTATCTATCTTGTGTGCCTGTATTTCTATTTACATTTCTATTTACAGTCACCCCCCCCCCCCACATTCACTGGTGTTTGGGGTGCAATATCCTTACTAAAATGAAAAAAAACATTTTTAAAAAACTGAGGGAACACCTTTTCTAGAATTTTCTAGGTCCTCCAGATGTTGACCATATAATACCCCTGGAGGATCTAAAATGCTTAGGTAAGTATTCTATCTAGGAATCTCTGGGTCTTCCATTGCAACTCAACTTCCACAAATAATGAAACCCTCTGAAGTGAAACTTGCAAATACGGAGGATTGACTATACTTTCTTTTCAAGGCAGCTCAGTGTCTAAGGCCCCTTTCCACACAGCTGAATAAAATCCCACATTTTCTGCTTTGAACTTCAATATATGGCAGTGTGGACTCAGCTAACACAGTTCAAAGCAGATATTTTGGGATTTTCTGCCTTGATATTCTGGGATCTAGGGCTGTGTGGAAGGTCCCTCGGACTCTGTGAGCCTTACTGAATTCCTCTTAAATTATTCATATCTAAGGGCCCTTCCACACAGCCATATAATCCAGAATATCAAGGCAAAAAATCTCATAATACCTGGTTTGAACTGGATTATCTGAGTCAATACTGCCATATATTCCACTTCAAAGTGGATAATATGGGTTTTATTCAGCTGTGCGGCAGGGGCCACATTTTGTCCTGAAAAAGTTTCAACTTTTGTTGCTTCCATCCATCCCATACAAACCTTCTTACAGGACAGATGTATTTGGCTACCATCATCTTGACCTGCTTATATAATACTACACAATTAAATTTACCTTAATATTACTTATATAGTGATATTATAAAATATAGTGACATCTTATAATATAATAGAAGTGGCACAAGAACTAATGCAGGCAAGTGGTTCTGGTGAGGGGAGAAGGAGTGACAGAAAACCACCCTTGGCTTTATTTTCAGGCTGGGATATATAAATACCAGATGAATTGAAATGCAAATAAGATAAGAAAGAGCTCCACAATTGCAGCAAGAGGAGGACTGTCAATATCTCCTCTCCCTCCATGAGACCTAAGAGATTTTTTGTGAAGCCACAGTAGAGGGGACTACATGCACCAGTGATTACGTGCCTTCAAGGTACTGATATTTATTTTTGCAATTCATTGGATAAAAATGTTTTAAACAATGCTGAGTACAGATGTTATTTTCATAGAAAGTTCTTATCTCAAAACAAGGATATTTCAATTTCCCACAAAAGTTAAAACTGCATGCAGAGATACGGTTACTCACTTAGGATGCATGATAACGTATCAGAAGATGCTTGTTAAAATTTAACATGTACGGAACTACATCATTTTAACAATGCAATTACACAGAACTAGAAAACTGACTTTGTAGTAAAATATAAAAATCTACAATTATAAATATAAATTTGGTCCATGGAATCCACTCTAGAAATATTTACAGTAAGTAACAGCTATTCTAAATGCCTACCAAAATCTTAAAATGCGGAATATTACAGAGAAGAGCATATTTACATTCTACCATATTAAAAGTTTAATTTCTAACAAATGTAAGGAATGCTATAAATAACAGCAAGTAAACGGGATACTAAAACATTACATGTTTGTTGTTGACAACCTTAAATTTAAGTTAAAATAAAGCCTGAGAAATTAGAAACTAATACTGTAAAAGAGACCACAATTTCATTTGTAGAAACACAGAAAAGTTCGATCAAGTTAGTTCAAACATAACAAAATGCATTACAAGAAATATTTCAAAAAGGCACACATTGTTAATGATATAAGTTCAGTAATTAAGTCATTTGCAGTGTCTGTTTGAAGAAAAGAAATAAAAAGATTATCTGTCTAGTTGGATAATTCCCCCCATTTTTTAAAAAAGAAAGAAATGTAGTCATACTGAAATTTCCAGCTCTGGATAATCATGGTCGGTCATGTTCTGCCCACAGTCAAACTAGAGATTCCAAGCTTTCTGCTGCATTGCCATCTGGTAAAGCTGAGCCATTACTGTCTATGGATACCGAAGGATTTTCTTCTTGCCTTGAGCTAACAAGACTGAGAATGGTTTTGTAGAGAAACTGATAGTGGTCCTAAGGGTGTTGGGGAATGGAGTGAGGAGAAAAGGAATATGGTGAGTATAGTTGATCCCAAAGACAAGAACCATTCCTTGCAACAGCAAATGCAGCTGGCAAGTTGTATTGACAGGATTGGGGAATCAATGCAAAACAAGAGGGAGGCCTATTCTGCAGAACCTTAACATTTGAAGAAATATAGCAAAGTCTTTAGACAATGTATCTGAAAGGTACAAATGCCACCAAAACCATCCCATCGAGTGACTGTATTCAGTGATCATAAAACAATGGACTTAGTAAGATTTCAAAACAAATGTAATAAAAGTTATTACAGAGAGTGTAATAGAAATATTAAATAGCATGAGGGTTAAATGAAGCAAGATGCCATCATTAATGCCATCAAATGCCACAGAGAAGTGAGGAGAGTAGTAACAGTGAGTCATTTCTTGTTTGTCCTCGTCTCCGACAAACGAGACAAAAAGGTCTCGTTTATCTGGGCAACTGAAGCTGCCCTGAGTTTGTACTGAAATGGGAGTAAATAACAATAACAACATCTTTATTTATATTCTGCTCTTATCTTCCCAGGGGACTCAGGGTGGATTCCAACATACAAAAAAGCAAACATTTGATGCCTCTGTAAAACTAACAAATATCAACATAATAATCCTGCATAAACCCACATATGGGTACAACACTAGAACTCAACATTAATACATCAGAAAAAAAACAAAAATTGTATAATGACATAAAATCTGAACATTAATTTACAGGGGCCAACTAAGGTTCACAAAGTAGATTGTGTGGCCAGAGATGGTAGCTGGGCTAACATAAAATGATAGAGCCCAAAACCAGAAATAATTCTCAATTCAGAGGTCAGATAGTGATCTCTCATTATCTAGTCCTCCTCCTCTTTGTACGCTACTGAGCAAATGTTTTTTGGAGGAGAGGAGGGAGGGGATCATCTTTATTTCTTTAGGGAGGGAATTCCAGAGATGGGGGGCGATCATGGAGATGGACCTCTCCTTCGTTCCCACCAGCCGTACTTAAGATGGGGGCGAGACCAAACTGGTTTATAAGATGAGATGGAACCATTTCATCAATATTTATTGTTTTAATCTGCTTTGTAAAGGTTATGTATGTGGACTTGTGCTAAGTCCTGCATGTGGGAGAAAAGAGGAATAAAAATAAATAAATCACAAGAAGAAATCATTTATTAGGGTAAAATATTTGCTTTAACCATGGAAGTACTTGAAACTGTAATTAAAGCACATATTTCACTGACCTGGGAGAAAAAGCTTATATCTCTAGAGTCTGTAAGATAGTACCATACCAGGAGAGGAATGTGTATTTCATATTTACAGTCTACAATTAGACTGATGCAGAAAGGTCAAATTTCCTGCACCTTCCTGCTCCAATAGGCAGCACACCAAATGAAAACTGCCACTACCACAAAGGCCTGTTATTATATGGGATGTTTTCTCATTTTACACATGTGCATTTCATTCCCAAATCAATCAATACTGTGCTGATAAATATGCAAAGAAGGTAGCAGTTGTTCAACTATATTTGCCCTTTAATGGCTGTGTTCATCTTATTACCATTCTCAGATAAAACACAGCCTGCAAGTTTTAATGATGTGTTATAGATTTTTTTAAAAAAAGGATAGAACGATATTATGTTGTTAGTGTTTATTCATATCGCAAAGAAAATTGTGCAGGATACCAGCTTACTTACAATGTCTATAAAGACTCCAGGCCTCATCAAATTGGTCATCTTGGCTACGTGATAAACATCAACACAGTTTTCATTTTCTAACTGATGCATCAACGTTGTTAATGCACAGAAGGTACCCGCTGTCACTCCTCCATGCCTTTTTGAAGGTTAAAAACAACAGAATATTAGAAAAAGAGAGGGAGAGCTCATTTCCTGAATTTTGACAAGATACAGTTTTCTAAACAAGTGCAATTTAGGAAACAGCAGCAGGAGCAGAGGATCAGATAACATGGGATTTACTCCTAGTAACCAATTTGTTCTATACATGATTACTCTTCATAAACAATCAAATGGCCATATCTACCAAGTGTTCATGTCAAAGAAAACGGGTTTCCTGGAACATGAATATATGCAACCACTTGACCCATGCGATTAATATTACTACTGCAAAAACATCCCACAATAAAGGGTCTTAAAACCACTTTTGGTGGTTTACTTTGATACGTTTAGGAATAGGTCTGTAGTAATGGTGAGCAGACCATATTTTCGTTCTTGTGTTCCACTGGTGGTCCATGGTCCACAGGTTGAGAACCACTGCTCTATGGCAATGCTATTGAATAGTGGGCAGACTTTCTTTGGGGGTCTTTTTATTTCTTTCTTGTTTCCATCACACCTTGTCCCTCTCTGTTTTCTTCTTTCCTCTCTTCTTCTTTTCTTTTTGTACCTCTCTTCCTTCATTCTTTCTTTCTCTATCTTTCCTTGCCTCTCTTCATACCCTTTCCCCTTTCCTTTCTCTTCCTTCCTTCCCTCCTATTTCCTTCTTTCACATCTCCCTCCTTTCTCCATTCCTTTCCTCTTTCTTTCATTCTTCCTTCATTTCCCCTCCCCCTCATACATATGTCACCAAGCAGCAGCAAGCTGCTTCACTCCCTTTCTTTTCAAGCGACATCAGGGCCACTTTACTTAGCAACAACCAATTCTTCACCTAGTTTTAGCCAATCTGATTTTTCCTTTCTCTCTCCCCCTCAGTTGCATGCCTGAAAGGGTATTTTTGACAAGGATTTTAAGTTGGATACTAAATGGTATGTGTACCAAGTCTGGTCCAGATCCATCATGCCACGTAATAGCCTTTGTGGTACTAACCAAAAAACCACTAACTATACAACAAGCATACTTTGACTTTTATATAGAGAGATAAAAGTGAAGCACATACCTATATTGTCATTCAACATATAATTCAACTCAACAACTGCAGTAGTAAAATTATTACTTACTCGTCATGGACAATCATGGGCCCATCTCTGTTGGAAGTTTCGTCTTTTATAACATTTATTAGTTCAAATGTTTTACTGATTGGGCTATCTGGATTTGGCCATTTTGGGCACTGAAAATGCCTCACTTCAAGAACATAATCATCCTTCAAAAAGTGAAAGAGATGGGATTAATATCCCCAATGATTTGGATTATTTACTATAGAAACTATGGCTGGAATTCAGTATCATATTGAAGATGCCTAGCGTGAAGTTGATCATCCACAACTGATCCATATTCATGATTGCTACATAGTCATGACTGGGATACAACAATAACAACAATTCTTTATTGATTAGTCAATTTTGACCATATCAAAACATGCAAAACATACAAGACATACACATACAGTAAAACCATATATGAATACAAGGCATCATGGCCTACTGGCCTGTCGACCCACTCCTAAATAATTGAGCAACTACAAGATAAAGAGGTTAAAAGATTAAAAATTGATTAATTCCTTAAAATAGGGTTAGGGTGGGGGGCATGGGTAGGTAAAACTAGTGACGTGTCCATATTAAGTTTTTTAAGTTTGAGTTTTGTTGATGGCAGCAAGGTCGCCTCTCTCTGCTTCCATCTTCTCACGGATGGCCAGTGCTTTTTGGGTAAAAAGGGTCAATTTTAAAATAGAGTTTTTATCTGAACCCCGAAGAAGGATGTGCTATTTCTCCTTATTCTCTGAATAAGTATGGTTCTCCAGCAGAGGCTCTAGGTAGTAAGACTGGATCCTGTTGTAGTAGGGACATTTTAAGAAAAAATGTTCTGAGTCCTCCACTTCTGCATCTACCTCACGGCACCCACAGGTTCTCCTCGTGTAGGGGATATTCTGATGTCGTCCCAACTTGGACTTAATGTCGAGCTGCTCAAATCTAGCTCGGGTAAAACATTTTCTAATATAGAGTGGAAGTATAAATGAGAGGTAAGGTTCCATGCCCACATTACATTTAAATTTGGCCAGGTATGGAGTGGCTCTAGCTTGCGCTATGTTCATTAGATCATTTTGTGCAGCAATGTCGAGAGCTCTTTGGTATACAATTGAGCATACTTTTGCCCCAAAATTTGTTAACTCGTGGGGGGCAAAACCTAACCTACTAACTGTGTGGCCAAATCTGCTAAGCCAGGATGACCACTCTTTGTGGTTTTCTTGTTCTAGAAGGCATAGGGCTGGGAGTCTGTGTGGTTGCATTTGTCTTATTTTGTACCACCAATTGATCTGCCTCTTCAGAATTGTGGTGGAGATTGGGGGTACTCCCGTCTCTGCTCTCACTGCAGCTGACAGGGATGATCTCTCCACACCTAAGCCAATTTTCAGGTGGCGCAGTTGGAATCTCTCTACCAATAAAGGGTCTTGCTCACCCCATATTTCAGCTCCATACAAAGCGATGGGGAACACCTTTGCCTTAAGAACCTTCAGAAAGGGGCGCAGAGAACCTGGGTAATTGTGGTTGCATAATTTATGAATTGCCTGTGCAGCATTATCAGCTTTTGCAATACTTAATTTTAGATGTTGGGTCCATGCCCCTGATGCCGCAAAATGAAGACCTAAGTATTTAAATGTCCTCACTTGCTCCACTTTGTGCCCGTCAAGGTGCCAGTTGGAAGCCTTAGCTTTCTTACCAAAAACCATTATTTTGGACTGGGATACTTTCACCAATTTTGTAACTCCCCCCTTCAATTTACCTTACTAGGCACCAAATCAGTCTCCGGTGATTGTAGCATGGAAGGATATCATTTCTATCTCTCTCACACCAATAAGTGAGGCTGCAACTATTAAGGGTTCCTGTTGCATCACCATATATAATCTTGCTTGCTGGTGCGAGGTGTGAAAGTATCACCTATTGGCACCCTGATCACCAGCAGAAAGGTCTTTCTTGATACAAATATATATTTGATTTTTGTGGATGTGATTAAAAGATTCTCTCTAGCAATTATACTGGAAGGTTGTTATTGAGATTACCTGGAGAACTTTGAGATTTTTAGAGTGGCCCTAACCTCAGTGGAGGTGGAGGGATGACTGTACTGAGAAAGCATGTCTGGGCATACATTTATTTCTTCATAAAACATGTATTTATGTATGAAATAGTTTATTTCTATAAACTTGTTTGTCATAGACAAATGATTCAGGTCCAGCCAGAATCCTATTCATGACTCACACTAGGAAAACTGCCCATTACATTGACATTAGCACTTTCTTTAGCAGTATGTAACAGTGGGGGAGGGATGGCAAGAAAAGCTATCTCCATTAGGAGAAGAAATTGCCCTCAAATTGTTTGTGAGATGGCAGAGCAGCTACCTTTCCTGACAGAGATGGCTGAGTAGATCCATTAAATCAGTGGTGAGATAGAAGAATACCTGTGTAGCTTCTAAAATGAAATCTTGGATAATTAGCTTCTCTTCATTTGACAAACATTTATGTTCTTCAGAAATCAAACTGACTTTGAAGCTCTCACAATTTATAGGATCGTCTTTGTTTGGCCAGTATACAAATTCATCTTCAGCCTGCTAAAAGAAAAAGAAAAAAATTGTAATGAAATTCCAAATCAGTCATAAATTGGAATCAAGATATCAGTTTGAGTAGAACCACTGAACTGATTGTTGAAGGTTGAGTCACTCATAAATAAATACAATAGATTCAATACTTCTCATCTAATCAGGACTAACAAAAACATTGAAAACCGTATATGCATCTACATATTTTAAGATACAAGGAATGTATGCTGTGGGTGATATGTTTGAATTACTTAGTTAGTTATGGTAATCCATACAGACTGTAACTGTATAATAAAGACCAGCTTATGTTATGTCTAAACAAAACACTATCCATTAAGTTTGACCAATTTTATTTAAAAATATTTATGTCATTGCAGTTAAAGATCCCTAAGACATGAAAAAAATGATGGAGGTCTGTAGAGACTATGGGCCGTTATCTTTACTTGCCAAGGGCTGAATTCCAAACACATCACCATTCTTGGGTATCTCTAGTACAAATGTTGAACAGATCTTAACTCTCCAAAATTCTTACATTTTGGCACTCCATATAATTATTGTTACTATATGAGATTATTTCTCTAATCCACATTCAAACTATAATAAAGACAAACATATATTACTAACATCAAAACAATTATTAGATGAGCTGATACAGAATAAAAGCGTATGTAGTTCTATATTTCCTGCTGAGCCATATAGTCACCTAATGAAAATACTGATATGAATGGACATATTTAATAACTCATCTTACCATATTTTGACTATCTGGAAGCATGACAATTATCTGGGCATTGTGGTCCCATATCATTCTCCAGAAATCTTTAATAGTATGTAGGAGGGGGTGCTGGGTAACAATGAATTCATTACTTTGATAGTAACCCTGCAAAGTAAACACATTCAGTTGAGACCAGATATATTTTTATCAATATTAATAAAGCAACATTCTATTAAAATAAAATAAAACCCTAGACTTTAATTATAATAAAAAGAAGAACAGGTGATAAAACTGTTTATATTATCTTATTCCAATTCCTAACACAGAAAACACAAGAGAGAAAAAAGCTAATAACAATGCCTCCCTCAAACTGTTGTATTATTATTTTGTACCATCAGAAAGCATATGCATGGACATCTGTATTTTATGGTACCATATTTTATGCCACTTCATGCCTGTTTGAAAAGAAGGGTGGGGAATCAGACAAATTTTCCAATTTGAGAGGGGAAGGAATTATGCAGTCAAGGGGAAGAAAAGACATAAGGTGGATAAATGTCTTCTGGCAGAAGAGAAAGCTTCGGTTAAGAGGAGTGCAGCAGGGACCTATTATAGTACTCCCCCCTGAAAAGTACTATTAATTGTGTCAGAACGAGACATTACTGCACAGTGGTAGGCCTTGCTGAAAGGCTTTCTAATCGAAACACTAATAAACATATGCATATGAGTGATTTACACAATCACAGAAAAGATGTGTAATCCACCTAATGAAGCATCCAGAGCAGCTGAAAAAAATGCAGACTATTCAAATAAGTGTACAGATTATGAGGAAAATTACAATTTCTATTTTGAGTTAAGAATTTCTTACAGTCACACAGCAACATAGGACACTTACCATGATGTAGGAAGCATTGATGTAGTCTGTGCCTTCACCAGATAACGATGATATACCAACTCTTGATCTTTCTACTGTAAAATGAACATTAGGTTGGTGTTTTTGCCAAGCAGATGGGCAAAATCCTGCTGTTTAGATGCTCCAGACTGCATTTTTCCAAGTCAAGCTTGAAAATCTTACTTCTTTGCAATACAAAATAAGAATTCCACATCCCATGAGGGATTTTAGGAAAAGCAGTCCAGGCAACTTTTCCAAATTTAGGGTGAGATTACACAGACAACACGCTATCTCTACCCCCTATCTTATCTAAGCAATGATGAGGTACAGTGGAGGCAGGTTGGTATCACTTCTATTGCATGTTGTTTGACTGTTACATCAGAGGTTGGAATTGACTTATGGAAAAGCATTTCCTACCTTGTGCTAAGAGTGGCCAGAGTGAAAACTGGGGAGGTATCCTGTCCCTTTAATGGTTATGTAGAAGAGGAAATTTCAGGAAGTGTTGCTTGTTGTCTGGTTATAAGACCAGTAATATCTTCTGAAGTTTCCTGGCCTACACAACCATTCATAGCACAGGAGAGATTTCCAATTTTCAATTTGGCAATCCTATATGTACCACAACAATAATATACAACTTGGAGAAACCCCATTTGTGTGAAAAGTATATTAAGACTCATGCCAAACCTTTCCCAAAGAATTTTCCCCCATTGTGAGTGGGGTTATGTCAATCACATTTGTACATACTCCAGAAAAAGTGTGTAACAATTCAGCACACACTGCCTGCATCATATTAAGATCTTATTCTCCTAATGGAGGGCTGCCCCCATAACCCCCTTTTAATTAGTTGCAAACACATAATGGTACATAGTTAGATATGAGGGATTAAATATCAGCACAACTATAGAAAAATTCACATAGACCACTAAGTATGTCACCCATTAGGAACTAGAATGATCACACATTGAATAGTGGCTATACCATGACAATTGAGTTTTCTTTATAATCCTTAGAAACTGCTGATACTGGAGTAAAGGACTCATTGACCAAAATGTTAAGATTCTCTCAATAAACATACCAGGAATTATGGATGAAGTCCTGTTCTTTTCTCTGTTACTCTGCTTTAGTGCAGTAGAATAATCACACTGCTGAATATTAGATTGGCTAAGTAGCTGAAGACAAAATAAAAGGAACAGAATTTAGTTTATGTATGTGTGACAGGACCACACGTGCAAATAGGGTTTATGCCAAGACAACATATTACAGATCCTACTGTTCAGTGAACTCGAAATCTCTTTGGTGCTTCCAGATAGGCCAAAAATGCATGCTAAAGGGGGCCCCCACTGCACCTCGAAAACCCAGGCTTTCCTGGGGAGGGGGGAAGGCTACATCCAATTCCGATAACAATTGGAATGGCATGCAGACACACCTCTCCTGGCACATCATTTCCTCGTGCCAGGAGGCTGTCAGGAGGAACTTAATGGCAGCCAGGTAAGTTTTCGTTAGTTTTTAGAGGTATTTCGGGGGCTGGGGAGAGGGGTTGGGTGCCATCCTGGATCTTTGAGCTTCAAGAGTCCAAATGGTTCAGGTAGTCCCAGGACTACCGGGAAGTGAGTCCTGACAGGCCAAAAACTCCATTAGACCTTGGCCTTTCAGAAAGGCCTGGATCTAATGGGGTATTTGATCAATTCAAAATAACTGAAGTTATCTGCAATAATCTAATGATTTATTTATTTATTTACAGCATTTTTACCCTGCCCTTCTCAACCCTCGGGGGAGACGGGACTCAGAGCAGCTAACAAAGGCAGCAATTCGATGCCACAAATCAATAACACAGTATAAAATCATAAATACATACAGATTTAAAACAATAGCAATTAATTATAACCAAATTATCATAACAGTCATTAAAACAATACTCAATCCACAAACCCATTGATTGAACAATAAAATCGTATCCTGTCTTGCCAATCCATTTCCAGTCAAAGTGCTGCTTTATTGTCCGAAAGTGCTGCTTTATTGTCTGAAAGCCTGGTCACAAAACCAAGGTTTTAATTTCTTCCTGAACACCAGGAGGGATGGGGTCGATTGTATTTTCTTTGGAAGCGTGTTCCACAGATGGGGGGCTACAGCCGAGAAGGCTCTGTCTCTCGTCCCCGCCAGCTGCGTTTGCGATGTTGGTGGGAGCGAGAGCAGGGCCTCCCCAGATGATCTTAAGTTACGAGGTGGGACGTAGAGGCAGTGGGAGGGAAAAGGACACAAATCTGGCAGCTATGAAGGAAGTAGGACTAAACAGAAAGGGACTGCATTAACATGGCAACTTTTGCCTGTTTTCCGTCACCTGTTGCATGACCTTGGGAAAATTATAACCGCCAGTATAGGTCACCAACAGGAGAATGGCATAGCAAATTCTTGCAGAACTGGAATAATAACGTGGCTGGAAAAGCAAGTTGTGAATGAAAAACTGTCAATCAATTTGCCAGCCAAAAATGGTGCAGAACAGTCTGACATAGCATACAGGTGCAGAGGTTGAGCCCTAAAATCTCCCCGCCCACCTTTGGACTATAGCGTGCCTTTATTTCCATACATAGCAACAGAGGACTCCTGCCTATGCACTCAGCAAATCTTTTAAGATGCATTTACCTAGCTTCAATTCAGCTGCCAGACGATTGGAATTTGCATGCATTCAAGTGTATACCCTTGAGTGACCATAAAAAGGAAACAAGGTGTTCCTACATTATGAGCACTCATCCCTCCCAACCATTTCCCCCCAAGTGTTACTCAACAATGGGAAGCCAGAATGAGACTTCAGGTTTTTTTTTAATGCTGAAGCTTTACTAGCTTTATCCAAACACTATATGACATTTTTTCTGCCAAAGTGAATCTTCTGAATCTTTGGAACTCCAATTTCTCACCTTGAATTGTTTCTCTAATCTTGTCTTTCCCATTGCTCCTGGAATTAAAAGTGAATTTACATAGGCATGGATATGATTCTCAGGTACTTCTGTTTCTTTGCTAAGTATGGCCTCCACTAGTGCATCATGAATGAAGATATACTGTTCCTGATTTGGAAAAAAGGAAAGAAACTCAGTAAAAGCATTTTAAGCACAATGTTTATTCTAATCTAACTGCCTCCTAACGTTGTTCACATTGGTATAAGTAAACAAACAAACAAACAAACAAACAAAAAACAAGATAGATTTGTTGAGATCATATACACAGCAGCCAGAAATATATTTTCCTCTAAACTGAAAGAAACCATTACAACTAAATAAGTTCACCCAACTTATTTTTACATAAGTATTAACCAAGTAACACTATTTGTTTAGCATCAACTTAGAAGGTTTGAATAATATCTAGGACTGATCTACATAGCAGATAGGACTAACTAGGTGAAAATTTAGAAGGAATGCATCTGAAAATAAGTTTATTGTTCCAACCAGTCAATTCCATTCATTTTTCAAGGTCTGCACTAACTTTATTTTTGTAGATGGCTGAAAGAAAGTGACACATTCCAAAATGGGTTAGGCATTATCTATGAAAATATAGCTGAATGACTCATTTCCCTGTTTTAAGCTTTTTAATACTCCTCAGTCGTGCCCTTTATTGCAAATAAAAGGCTTTTGAATCTACTATTTCCAAAAAGAACTCTAGGGCTACGAGACATGCTATTCTATACTTTGGTGCTTCTTATTAAACAGCCTTGGATGCAGAATATGGATCCTTGAGAGGAAGTGGAATAAGATCTGGAATGTTTGTGGACAAATACAGACACATGTTTACCATTATATAAGCAGGTACATGCATTCTTGTTCTGTCTTCTAAAGTTATGCTACAGGACCAAGCTTAGACCACGTTTTTCAAATCTGTCTGCCTGCCTTCCTTCTTTCTTGTTTTTGGTAGTTGGGCATTAAGCTTCCATGAAAGTTTTCTGACTTTTTAAATTTTGCACATATCAGTACTTTAAAGTATCTTTTCTGAGACTTTATGATACAGAACTCTACATTTAAAATATTGACAAACTACTTTCTCTTACCTCTGTTTGTACCAAGTAATTCCTCTGTGTTCGTATGTGCTTTAGGAATCCAAATACATTGACGGTCCCCTCATTTTGAATTTGCTGTAACATACTATCTAACACTATGTATGTGCCTGTCCTTCCAACACCAGCACTGGAAAAAAGAACATTAAACACTGCTTTTATACTACTATATATTTATATTAATTGTTATTATTAATAGTAATAACAATAAATCTATTATATCAAACTATTTAACATGAAAAAATGAATGCCTTTGTGGACAGATCAACCCGCAAAAGAAAAACCTTTAAAATTATATGTATATATGGTTATGAACCATGTGTGTGTGCGTGTGTGTGTGTTATGAGCTGCTTTGAATCTCCTTTGTGGAGAGAAAAAGTGGGATATAAATAAACAAATAAACATGATAACAACAACAACCACCACCAGAGGCTGCAGTTCAAGGCTGGTATATTAAAATGATAACTAAAATGACTTGACCCCTAAATGAATAGAGAAGCCAACATACATGGTACATTGTTATGTGTGATGGAGTTCACATGAGACTTCATAATAGTTATACCTTTTACCTCAAAGAACATTGGAAAGGTCCTGTATTTATACCTATCTATAGCTACTTGTTTGTTGTGACTCTTTAAACAATTTCTGACTTATGGTGACCCTAAGGATCTTCTTGGGAGGTGGTTTGCTGTGGTCTTAATAATAATATTTTTGTACCCTGAAGGGACTTGGGGCGGCTTACATATGGCACAATGTGCCTAAAACAACACATAAAATAAACACGCTGTATAATGCTAAATAAAACCAGTAGTATATAAAACAACAATTTGTCTTCTGAGTCCAAGAGTATATAGCCTAAGATCACCTATGAGTTTTTATGGCTGAGCAGGGATTTGGACCCAGCTCCCCATAGTCATAGTCCAACACTCAAGCCATTGGTCTATAGCTATATTACTGTCTGGCTGCCTGTTCAATAGTTATGATACTGTAAACTAGCACTGTGATTCATGTTTAATATTATTAACTACCAAACATGATCCCCTAAACCCTTTCAGCATGGAAGCTCACCAACCAAAGTATTACTGTGGGACTAAACTTTGGAGCACTGGGAAATTACATCAATAGTGTGGCTACTGGGAGCCTTGGGACAAGTGATCATGATAGGACCCTGAGGGATCTCTTCCATCTGTCATGCCTCAAGGCATGTTGCAGGTAGGAAAGCACTCTGGAAATCATCTCCCAATTTTCTGAGCTCCACAGAAATGCTTTAGTTAGGATGATGCCAGGCTGTCAAAGCAGGTTGGGGACATTGTCAATTATAATGATTGACTATGATGAAGCAATACTACAGCCTATAGCTATCTCTATAAACTATGGCTAACATCCTGTACTCTCTTTGTGAGGTTGTAAACCAGATTTACAACATGGCAAATATTTTCATTCATATTTTTATTACTCCATCAATAAAACATCTAATAATGCACCCTGAAACCAAACTTAGAAACCAAGCAGTGTTACTAGCATAGAGATTTCTGGCACTGGAATCCCTGCAGCTGTCTTTTGGAAAGTGCTTCCAGGAGAGGGATGGATACTACTTCAGTCGGAGCAATGGGTTCATTTTAGAGAAAAGGAGATTCTACCTGAACATTAGGAAGGACTTCTTGACCGTAACAGCTATTCAATAGTGGATTTCACTGCCTCAGAGTGTGGTGGGTGCTCCTTCTTTTGAAGCTTTTAAACAGAGGCTGGGTAGCCATCTGTCAGGGGTGCTTTGATTGTGCTTTTCCTGCATAGCAGTGGGTTGGACTGGATGGTCCATGTGGTTTCTTCCATGGTTCAATTATTCTTACCACCCCATTTCCCTGCAGCCCAGGACTCTCTATGCTGGTGTCACTGTCTGACTTCTAAGATGAGATTTTTGGATGCCATGTTAGAAGGCTCAAGCTTTATCTACATTGACCACTTAAGTCACTTTCAAACTAGTATTGAAGAAAGTGGTTTCACTGTGCAGATGGAGTACATAGGAAATTCTGCAACCAATTTGAAGCCCAGATAGCTTTTTCACTTTTGTATTCCACAAAGCACTGGTGTACATTAAGGGCTTTCTTTCACATTTTTGGGAGTTTGTTGTCTGGCCACCACAGCTTGAAATTAGCTTCAAATTGAATTAAATGGTCTGTGTAGATGGGAGAATAGTTACAACAGTATAGCTACAATGTTGTAGCTATATCTCCTACAGAATATTGATGCATATCTATTTGCAAGTAATCTAATGAGATTAAAATACAGGAGAATTTTGATAAAAACAACTGACCTGCAATGAACCACAACTGGTCCTACAGCATGACGCTTAGCATATGCTACTTTTCGGACAAATGTGAGTACTGGTAAAGTATATTCAGGGACACCCATATCAGGCCACTGAGTGTAGTGATACTGAGAAACTACACGACCACCAGTCCTTCCTTTTTGGGAACCCTAAAAATAAATAATAACACTCAGACAACCATAGAAGGAACAAGAGAAATATGTAGTAATTATATAAAATACCAAAATGCACACTTTGTGCTATTGAAGAAACTGAAAAACAATTTTAAAGTAATCACTTTAAAGTAATTACTTAAAGTAATTTAAGTTGGATCTAACAGGAGCAAATATCAGTTTAAACCAAATGACCTGTTGATGTGAAAATAGCAAAAGAGAACAATGAATGCCAGAATAGTTTGTTTATGTAGGGTAGATAACAGCTGGTTCTTTATTTCTGCATTTGTAGAACAACATATATCCATGAAGAACTTCCTCTTATATACTATTTCCAAACACAAACTACTTATGTTTCATATTTAGCACATCACATATTGATGCAATGTAACAAAGCTTTACAGTACAATCCTTTACATGTTTACTCAGTAGTACAATCTGTAGTATTAGGCAAGACTGCAGTCTTAATTGTTTAATCTATCAGTTGAAGCTTTTAGTTCTAGGACTAGATTCAGAATGCCTTGTCTGAGAACATAAGGATTCCTTCTATCTGTAGAGGGCTGAGGAAAGGTATAGGGCCATGATTTCAGGTCTCTCTCTGTCTTCCTTGTTACTGTCTTTAACTTTCTACAGCAGCCTTTCGCAAAGGACATGGGGTTGTAAGGGAGATCAGAGATTCGATTTTGGGAACTGGAGGTAAACCCTCAGTATTTAGTAAATTTATATATAATGGGGAAAAACCAGCAAATTCCAAAATTATATCCAAATGTTCAAACATTTACATAGGAAACTGATTGCTTGACTAATCAGGGGTCACTTTCCTCCTCTCATCCATATTAACTGACACTCATCTATAATAGCTTGCTCCAAATTGGGGATTAATCTAGATTAGCTTATATGCTTTTCTAAAATCTGTTTACAGGACTGCATTGACCATAGTACTTCTCTTATTAAGTATATCACACTCATTAGTCAGATTTATAACCTCCAAACATGCTGTCATAGCCTAATATCACCTTCCTTATCAACCCTGAATATTACAAGACAGATTTTTGAAGTTTTCAAAACTCAGTATTTTGATGTTATTGATGATACATCAAGGATAAATGCAGAGGTGGCCCTAGGTAATTTTCAATGGTAAGCAAACAGTATTTTGGCATCCCCCACCCCAACCAATCACTGATATATATTTTCTGTTCATCATGGGAATTCTGTGTGCCATATTTGGTTCAATTCCATCATTGGTGGAGTTCAGAATGCTCTTTGATTTTAGGTGAACTTTACATCCCAGTAACTACAACTCGCATATGTCAAGGTCTATTTTCCCCCAAGAGCGCCTCAAGAGCGCCCCTGGTAAAAATCAACTATACTGCAAATGCTTACTTTGCGTAATGGGTTGAGCCGCCCATTACATGCAACAAATCTGCAAAGTGTTAAATCTTTTAATACAGTCATCTTGAAAATAGTGTTTCTTCAGAAAGAGGAAATTCAAATGCCATTGGATTCTGAGGTGGATTTTCCCCAAATCCCTAATTATACCACTAAATTAGCTGAAGGACAAGATTTTGTAATTTTCAGATAATTTCAATACAAATGCAGTTGCAGTCAAACTGCACAAACTGAATTTAATGTGCAGTGAGGATTTTTACAGGATTGCGTCCAAGAAACAAAGGAAATATTCCTCGTATCAGCAAAAAACAACAACAAAAAAACCAATAAATAAATTACAAGTATTTTATTATGAAATACTTATTTCATAATAAGTATTTATTATTGTCACGGAAGCTGAGTTGCTGCTATTGAGAAAAAAACCTGTTATTTTTAATGGATATCTTTAGTTTTATGTTTTAATTATACAGTAGTAGTCATATCTGGTCTTATCATTGCTCTTGGTGCAGTTTGACAGGAGAAATAAATCTAATCAATCAGTCCATATTTTGTGATTTTCTTACAGTATCAGTGATATGCAATTAGACTGTGACTTACCTTTTTCACTTTTGTGTTCCTAATAGTAAAATTTCTCACAGTGTAATAGGCAAGAACACGAATGCTCTTCTGTGTAACTAAAAAGTTTCCATATTCTTCACTACCGTCTGCTGGCCAGTACTGGTCACATTTTCTCTAGAAGGTAAAGGAGTCAATATTTGTAAACATTTAAACAATGCTTTAAAATTTCATTAGCACAGTAACAAATTGCCTTTTTCCTTGCTGTATATTTGGATATATTTGTGGTTTTGTGAGAACAGAAGTTCCAGTTATAACTTTTTTGTGTATCTTTTATTATCTTTTCCATTCAAAAGGAATGTGAATTTGAGAGGCTGGGCAAGAAGGTATTTTTATATAGGAAATAAAAACGACAATAATAAATATGCCTTGTTGCCTAAGCATCTTTTTTACACAATGCAATTAATAGCATTCCAGTTCCACTTTGTTATGGGTACATCCTACAGAACACTGGGATTTGCAGTTCTGTAGGATATTTACAAGTCACTGCTGGATGGCTCTAGTGCCAAACTACAAACCTCAGGATTGCGTAGGCTGCAGCAGATGAAGTTAAAGGGGTATCAAAAAGATATAATTCTATGTGCAAAAGAGCCTTAACAGTCCCAGTTGTTCCATTAAAATTGTGAAAATATCGAAAATTGACTATAAATGATGTCAAGGAAACTGAGTAACTCCTTCTCCAGGATAGATATCAGAGACAAAATGAATTAGGCGAAGATCCAAATAATCCATGGCACACACTTGAGGCATTTCTGCATGTCAGAAGTTGCTTTAGTAATTCCTCCTTTTGTTTTCCACAATCTCCTAAAATGCTTTTTCAATTGTAAACACATAGAAAGTATTGTAGTATAACAATACCTTCTACAGAATGCAAAATATGTCATTCAAATCCTATCATGAGAGCAATTGTAGGCAACACATAGACAATGTGGCTCTTTCAGTGTTTTTGTTTTTTATTTTTGTTTTGGCTACTGTGACAACACAACCAAAAATGTAACTAGTCCAGTTAACATGAGGTACAGAGATACATGGGGGTTCTTTGGAAACCAGGATTCAAATCACTATTCGGTCCTGAAAACCAACTGGGTGACCTTGGGGAAGTAACACTTTCCCAGCCTCAGAGGAAAGCAAAGGCAAATCCAGTCTGAACAAATCTGGTCAAGAAAACTGGCTTGCTTTGGGTCTCCATAAATCAGAATTGATCTTAAGGCACACAACAACAACAACAACAACAACAACAACAACAACAACAACAACAACAGAGTGTGTCAAAGTGGCAGTTATTTTTTTATTGTGTCAGAAGCGATTTGAGAAACTCTAGGTCACTTCTGTCCGTCTCCAGAGACATTGTCCAGGAGATGCCCTGGTGTGCTACCATTCTTTGGGAGGCTTCTCTCATGTCCCCATATGGGAAGCTGGAGCTGACAGATGGGAGTTCGAAGCACTGACCATCATATCAGCAGTTCAGCTGTCACAAGGGTTTACTCCATTGTGCCACCATGGCTCATAAATGAATAAAAAACTAGACTGGACATTTGCACCCCATTAGCAAGCAAACACTGGCTTTAGTGAAGTAACTTTTGCTCTCAGCATGACAGGGAAAGTAAGAATTATGCATTCCTCCCATCTGTTGCTTAGTTTCCTTGTGGCTCCTACTGTTAAAACAAATAACTGACATGCTAATTGCATTTTCACAATTGTGTCATCTAGTTTGGTTCTTAGTACCATTCTGCAGAATCTTCAGTGGAGTTTGACAATGCAATCCTAGGCATGTTCTTCTTGCTTCTAAAACAACCCTTTATTCCAAAAGGAAAATATGCACACATTCGTAGGTCTTCTGGTATTTAGACTATATTGAACCAGAGCTCTCTAAAAGGAAATTCTAGCTACCTCACAAAACTACAAGCCTAAAGATTCCACAGGACAGGGTTATGGCAATGGAAGCTGTAATTGTGTAATGCATATACACTGTCATCAGATTCACTGACAAAGAAATTTAATACATAAAGGGAAAAAGGTGAAATGATTATTATACCCTTCCTTTCTCAACAAGGTTTGTTATCATAACAATGACTTCTACGTTATGTTCCCAAATCATTCTCCAGAAATCTTCTGCTGTTGATTTTAGAGGTCCTTGAGCAGCAATGTAAGCTTTTGGCCTGTTGTAGCCCTACATTAAACAAATGAAAGACAAGTACCAATTAATAAATTACAAAAGGTTGCAAAATACATTTCATTGATTAAACCTTGAATACTCAAAAAATCTCTTCTACCAGATGTGAAAAACTGATACCTATGACACAATTTTCAGACCAAAGCTTTTTATCAGACTCATTGTTCCACTTGTACTGCTTAATAGTAAAGAGATAATTGCATGATTTCCTACTAGAAAAGAAGAACATCAAAAGCATGTTCTATGATCATAGACCAAAGAAGGTTATAGAATCATAGACCTTCCAATTTCATGGATCCACTTATCTAGTATGTTTTGTGTGGCAGATTCCATGCACTACAATTTTATTGAGCAAAACAGACCTAATTCGGTACATACAAAAGTTTTATTCAGATGGGCTTATGGAAATGTTTAAAATAGTGGTGGTGAATGAAGTGTACTTCATTTATCTGAATGTTAAATGCAATGACCAAGATCTTGATTGGGGGGGTGTAAACATGACAGAAAAAATCCACATAAAATCCAGTTTCTGCCTCCTGCAGAATTCTGGGGTTTGTTGTTTAGGAAGGAGTCTTTAACAGCCTCACTAAAATACAAACCCCAGAATTTTGCAGGAGGCAGAAACTGGATTTTAAGTGGATTTTTTTTCTTGTGTGATAAAGTGGCATGATTTGTCTTCTGATCTAACTCCCTAAAATCCACCTTTAAAACCAGTCAGCCATACAATCAAAGGAACTCTTCACTGCAGTACTGATGAATGAAGTACCAAAGCATGAGATTACGATACTGTTATTACTGACTAGGATGCCAGCCGTTTATTTAGGAATAAGCACCATTTTATCATAGAAAAGAATGATACAATTTTTAAAAGTAAAAAATTTAGAAGAAAAGGTGTGTAAGGCAACTGGCACTAGATGAGGTGCAAAGAGAGGTGCTGATGCTGTAAATAAATGATGCTATGATTTTCCTTCTATACCTGCCAGTTTTAGTTGGCTCTTTGGGAACTCCCTTTGGTGCAGGACCCTGGGCTTCACCCTAAAGTTTCAATCTAGCTCAGGCATAGGCAAACTTTGACTGTCCAGGTGTTTTGGACTTCAACTCAGAAATCCCAGCCAGCTTACTGGCTGTTAGAAATTGTGAGGATTGAAGTCCCAAACAACCGGAGGACCAAAGTTTGCCCATGTCTTCTCTAGCTGCATCACTGACTGACATGTTTCATGATTGAATTATGTAAATTGTAATTCAAAAAATAATTATGTTGTATGATTCCTAGACATACCATTTTGCATGGGAGTTGAAAATATATACTTTTCAACCTAGTGAGAGCACGCTGCAGTCACAATATACTAATTCTTGATTGTTTGATATATAGCAATATTGTCTCAAGGTAAATATCAAAGGCCAGGGTCCATCTGTTAGGAGTATAGCTGGCTCACACTCTTCCTGATTACAGTTCTTTTGGTCCAGGTAACAGAATTGAGTAGCACTGTGAAACACACATGTGTAAATCCTCCCTCATGTCTCAAAAGAAGAGTGTCCAATCTTGAGCTGGTCTGACAACTGGGAGGACTCTTTCGTGTTGCTATATGAGGAACTGGAAACCTCTATTCTGATGCATTCTGTGATATTAAAATGTCATATGCTCGACTAGATGTTCACTGTTCAAAAAGTAATTTGAAGCCATGCTCTGAACTTAACTTGCTTCAAAGAATAATGTAATCACAACACAGAATAACTACTCATGGAACACATATGTTTCTTGAAGAATCAGAATAAATATATAATGTACATCAGGCATGGGCAAACTTTGGCCCTCCAGGTGTTTTGGACTTTAACTTCCACAATTCCTAAAAGCCTACCGGCTGTTAGGAATTGTAGGAGTTGAAGTCTAAAACAACTGGAGAGCCAAAGTTTCCCCATGCCTAATGTACATAATAAGAGCTCCAAGCACCCTCTCCAAAAACATGTACCAGATACATGCATTACATATCTGTGGTCCCACTTTATTGAGTATATTTTGCCTGTGACTTGACAAACCTTGATGATACTTCCTTTCCTCTCACTCCAGATCAGGAAACAGATTTGCATTGTTGTTCTGTTCTAATTATTATTTCTAGCATTAGAAAAAAATATTTTCATATACCACAGTTAAGTAAGACCACTTTTCTACAAACTGCTAAAGGAAATTCTCACCCAGGCTGGACAATTCAAAATGGATAGTGGAACAGAAAGGCTCACTTACATCAACATAATTGGCATTAATGTAGTCAGTGAGTTTTCCATCTTTGTCCGTAAGTTGAGCAAGCTTAACTCTACTGTGATCATCTAGATTGGGCAGGGGAGAAAAGTCACGATGAACACATAGTTTAAGTAACAATCATGATTTTTCCTTTTTTGAAAGATTAAGTACAAGTACCATCAGTTGAAATATAAATATATACAATGATTTACCCCTATATGCAAAAAGTCTCATGTTAAAAACAGCAAGATTTAAGCAATTTGTCTGATTGCTCCAATTGTGAAATTGCTATACTAGTTGCCAAAGTGTTCTAAAAATCAAAATAAGATACTAGAAATATTTATTTATTTATTATTTATTTATTTAATACACTTATATACCGCAGTATCTCAGCCTGGAACGGCGACTCATTGCGGTTTAACAACAGATAAAAGCAATATACAATTTAAAAACAGCAACATATAAAACAATACGAATTATTGGGCCACCAATAAAACTTCATGCTTCTCATCACAAAAATCGCAGTCCAGAGATCGTTGTCCGTAATTGACCAGTCCAAATTGTCCATGGATTCAGTGTTTGATAACTAGTTAAACGCTTGACTACACAGCCATGTTTTTAACCTCTTCCGGAAAACCATCAGCGAAGAAGCCGATCGTATCTCTGAAGGGAGGGTGTTCCAAAGCCGAGGGGCTACCACAGAAAAGGCCCTGTCTCTCGTTCCCACCAGCCGCGCTTGGGAACAGATAAAGCTCTAAATTTCTCAGGACCCAAATACTTGATGCACCACCAGCCCTAATATCAACCAATGTAAGGTTGTTCTGCTGATGGTGCTTGTGGGGAATATGTCCCATGAAGTAACCATGGCGTGGCTTTCTTGGTAGTGAAGATGTATAATACGAGCAGATTGATGAATGGGGCTCATGGCATTGTTGCAATCAGAAGATGTCATAAGTCAAAACTGATTTGACAGCGAATCATAACAAGAAAAAGACCTGCATTTGGACAGTACTGAATGGCGTATTGGCCCTAGCTTTTGGCATATAAGCAAATGCATCACTTATTTTAGTTTTTGTGGTATAATTATATTTAATTTTATATGAGTGAGTCTAGAATTATGGTTTTAATTGTTTCAATTTTAAAAAATAGTTTGGGAGCCACAGGTCTGCTATAGAGAAAGGCAAGATATAAGCCAGATGAAATCAGATAAGTAAGTTGATGCAGAAGTTTCAATGGCCTGCCAAAGTGGCTCTGTATACACTCTTACCATAAATACCAACAAATATATTAGAATACTTACAGGCAACAATATTTATGTATCTGTTCTTATTTTTATTGTCCGGATGATTAGAACTGTCTGATGTAATACCCAGATCTACAGTGCAGGTCTGGACTTCCTGAAAAGAGAAATAGATGCTGCTGTGGAGACATATCTAATTGCATATTTGGTCCCCTTCCCTTTAAATGTCCCTTACATCTTGCAACTACATAATTATAAAAAAGAAAAAGAGAAAGAAGACGTTAAATAATTCCTTACCTGGTAAAACTCTTTCAGTGTCTAATGAAGAAATGAATGCAAAAAAGTAAAAATAAATCAAATTCCACAGCACATAACAAATGAGTAAATGTTTATATATTACAAATACAATGAAAAGCAAGTATGGTTATGAGAGAAGTATAATCATGTGTAAATATTGATAATACAACATAGCTGGATATTTCTAATATACAGCATGCACATCAAAGAAATTTATTTTGAAATATATAGTGGCACCACTAGGGGTGTGTGTGTGTGTGTGTGTGTGTGAGCAGTACAGGGTGACACCATCAGAAGGGGTGACACCCAAATGATTGTGTATTAAATTCCTGTGTATTTTGAAGTGTAAATCCAGCCCTATCTATCTATCTATCTATCTATCTATCTATGTTTTAGTTTTGGATAGGATAGGGAAGACTTAGGCATCTTCTACACTGTCATACAAAATCCAGAATATCTGCTTTGAACTGGATTATATGACATTGTAGACCCATAAAATCCAGTTCAAAGCAGATAATGTGGGCTACCTGCTTTGATAATCTAGATTATATGGCAGTGTAGAAGGGGTTTTAACAGCCCTGTAATGTTTATTTTGCTGTCTGTGTACCTGTTCAGAAGATTTCACCTCACTTTCTGTCCCTGTGATAATTGGATTTTGAAAAAAACGACTTGTTGTAGGAACAAGGATAGACGATCAAGCTTCAGTGGAGAGACCTTATCTCCAAGATAATTCATTCAGGAGTAAAATTCCCTTCTGAGGGGTAGATTTCTCTCACTTCCCGTTGTATCACCTCCATTGTTAACTATGAGTCTTATGTAGCTTGGATGTTTGTAACTTGGAGACTGGCTAAAACTTCATGCCATTTTACTCTTGGAACCTTCTAGTGCATATGTTGTCTAGTAAAAGCTGTCTGGCACTATTATGCAATTATAGTCACACTTTGAATCATATTTTTCATCTGCACATGTTACAAACATGTGCTGTTGCTTTTTAAAAAATAGTTCCTGATTTTGTCAAATATATTAGCTGCAATCTTGTAGTATAGGAGGAGTTCCATAGAGGTGGTGCCACTATAAATATAGTTTAGTGATTAAAATTTTAATTCAAATTCTACTGAAGTCAATGGCAAAACACCAATGCCAAAAAATTATTACGAATTAGGATGGCTAATTCAACAGACAAGCCACCTAAAAATTCTTTCCATTTCAATATCCTACTCAGTATTTTAGATTACAGATCATGATCTGCAGCTACAAATAGATTTGCATTAGAAATAATACTGTATTAAAATAACAGCTAATCTCATGGAAACCATGCAAAGATTCAGACATGCAAAAGACAGCTAAAACATGAATAGCAAATGAAGACACATTAAATGTTTAATGAGAATATTCTTAATTTAATATCAATTCTTTACATTTATCACTTCTTAGTCATAGCAAGTACTGAATACATATATATTGTGTGTCTATAATGTTATCAGAAGTACAATTTGAAACACAAGTGAAGCATAACAAACATCAATATTCTTTTCATATGTTATTCTGATTTCGGGAAATTACATCCTAACATTTAACCATTACATTTTAACCAGCACTCCAAACACTGTTTTAGCAGATATCTTCTATCCATCTTCAAAGCAAGTTTAAATGCTGCACACAAATTGTGAAAAGGGATTACTGACTTTCACTTTTCATTTTCATAGACCATGTGTAACGAATAAAATAAGAATTTAGCATTTTCTGTAAGGACATGACTAAGTTTGGGATCCACACCACAGAGCACTTATGCCTCACTGCAGGAGAAATGCAGAAGTCCCCATTTCATACATAAAAAAGAAGTGCAAAAAGAGATATCAAAAAGTATCTTGGACTTGTTTGTCTTTTGTGTATTGCTTCCTGTTGCCCTTTAGATGCCAGAATTTGAAGGTCTTATGCCTGTGGTCAGTTATACAAATGGAAAGTATAATTTGTGTCCACTGAAATTCAGGATTTTTATAGTCAAATAGGATAAATGCATGTTCTGCAGTACTTTGATATCACAGACCTTTTCATATGTTGAACTTTGTCACCCCTGTGCAGCAGGTGGATCTGTTGTTGTAGGACCAAATAATCCACTCTGTTTTTCCCTTCTACACTGCCATATAAAATATAGATTATCTGATTTGAACTGGATTATATGGCAGTGTAGAATTATTGGTTAACCCACTAATGGGGGACATTGCAGTTCAAAGCAGATAATATGCATTATCTGCTTTGATAATGACAGTGTAGAAGGGTCACAGTGTAGAAGGGGCCACAGCTACTCTTTTTGCAGCTGCTTGACTTTGCATGAGAGCATGCCGATAACCAAATATCAGCTGGGAACAGTCCAGCAACAAGATGGGTCCTATACAACCTACAGCAGCTATGGGTTGAACTGCTGTAAAATAAGAGGGTGGGTTCATTAACTTTCCCCTAAGAGATCTAACAGATCCTCCTGCTATCCATATATTACTACGGATGCAAGTTAAAGATGTGTTTTGTATAAATGTTTGCCAATGTCCCCCATTAGTGGGTTAACCAACCTAAAACCAATGAATTTTGAATACTAAGTGGGGTTGGGTGCAGTGAGCATCCAGATGACAGACCATTAGGTTAATATCAGACGTCTCCAAGATAGGGGAGAACAGGAATTTCTATAACCCTAGATATCTGTTGCCAGTTAGAGATGACAATACTGGGCTAGATGTACCAATGGTTTTACTCAGTTGGCTTCCTCCTAACCACATGCCAATTCAAGTAGTGCAATCACATAAATACTTAGGATTTTACCATATAGGAATATTCAACAGTACTTTTCAGTTCTCTGTTTTAATTATATAGTATCTCATACCTCAAATTCTTCAGCAAATCCATTGCTGGCATGTAAATCTAAAACATGTTTTGGGAAATGCTTTGTTGGGATGGCTCCAACATCATCTTAATGATGAATTTTGAGGAGAAAAAAAATAAAGGATAGAGAAAGGGAAAGAAAGAGGGAGAAGGGGAGAAATAATAATTATTTTAAACTTATACTTCATCCAAGGTGGTATACAAAATGCAATACAATGTAAATTCAACAGAAATAACAAAATCATAACAACTACAAGTATAAGAAGGACAGAAATACGTAAAGCAGACTTCTCACTCCAACCAGCTGAAGCAAAATAGCATAAACTTTGGGGCAACAACTAGGCTCAAACCCTACACTGAAAATGATATATGGGTATTATCACAGGGTGCCATGACAGAGAACACTTGCCAATGGTCTGAAAAGTGTCTCCCCTAAATATCCTAATGATCTCCCCTAAATATCCTAATGATATCCTAATGATCCAAGACAGACAATGGTCAAGATCCTTCATCCCAGATATAGTTATGAATGTGTAATTATGTATTTTCCCTTGACATAGCTCCTGAAATCTATCTTAACAACCAGCTGTTGTTCTCCTGGCTTTTGGGGTTCAAATTCATCATGGTGCAAGACCTTTATTCTAATGTTTCACTGAGTTCAAAGCTTTCAACATTTTATTCACATTTTGGAATATAAATTATTAAAGTTGCAGAATATGCTTACGATGCACTGTGCCAAAGAGAACATTTTGTTTGCATTTCTGAATAGTCTAACTAAACTCTTGTCATCTGCACTGAAACACCAGTTAATTTCTGCGATTAATTTCTTCGGATTTATAAAATGAAGGTGAAAACTGGAAATGCTACTAATCCATAATAGCAATCTGCCCTCAAAAACTTCATATTATATACAATGGGTCTATGTGCAGCTTTAACCCCCTTTGGAAAGTATACTTAATAACGAGCTGAAGATGGTAAGTAAAAAGAAAAAGCCGCATTACCAAAACTCCAATAACCCTGAAAAGCAACTATCCATCTTGACAACCAAGAGGGTTCAAATAGCTCCTACCAAAGGTTCTGCATACTTATTTGAATGTCTTAGCTTCTTTCTTAGCAGAAATCCTGCTATGGCTTCTCAGACATACATATGTAAAGGGGATGTGATAGTTAACCTTTATGTGGCTGTCTTCCCAGAAAGGAAGGCATGCCACTGAGCAAAAGAGGCATCTTTTGGAGCATAAGGCATCTTTTGGAAAGCAATGTTGATATTTCCCACTAGGGAAGGGGAATGTTGCCATAGAACAGGAAGTAGAAGGAAACTAGGGACCTGGAAAAGTAAGAAAGATTGAACACTATGACATTGGTTCTCAAGCTGTGGGTCCCCAGGTATTCTGGCCTACAACTCCCAGAAATCCAAGCCAGTTTACCAGCTGTTAGGATTTCTGGGAGTTGAGGGCCACAACATCTGGTGATCCACAGGTTGAGAACCACTGCACTAGGATGACTAGAAAGCAATGCACTAAATAATCTTGAAAAAATAGATTTCTTTTTACCTAGCTTGGCAAGGAAATCTCCTGCAAAAAAATAAAAATGTACTGTTCCATTATAGCAAAACAGCTATAGGGACTGTCTATGTAGACATTTTGCCCTGGGTTAACCTGGATTAGCCCCGTGTGGCAGTTTTTGCACCACAGAACTGATCCATTTCCACACAAACCTAAGTGGGCAATATAGAAATGTCCCTAGTTTGCTTTCCTATTACAGTGTTAAAAGAAATAGTGATAGTAAAATACTAAAGGATAACAAGAGCTTTTTTTATATATAACAGACAGTAAAGCAAACTGTAATCTGTACTACTAAGAAGGCATTTGGTAAACAGTGTGAGTAAAAGATATTATACTACAACTGGAGGGAAACACAGGAAGTCGGAATGCCATGTCTTCCAAAATGTATAAGAAAGGCCCAAGAAAACATTTATCTTAAAAACAAACACGTGAGAGTAGAATTAGCCCCCTACTCCTGGTAGTAGAAAGAAATACACCTGTTGGAAAACATTAAAACATTCCAGTACATTTCTATGTAATAGGCGTTTTTGTGTTAGGGAGATAAAAAGACACAAAACCCAAAGATTCTATATTGGGGTGTGTCGAGGGAGAAAAGAAGATGGGATGTCTAGTACTTGAAAAACAAATTACAGCCCCCCACGGAGAAATCTCCATAACTGGGGCAAAGCACACTTCAAGATCCCTGTAAACAGGATTAATCAGATTTGCTTCCAGTGGGCAAAAAATCTCTCAAAATAATGTTTATTCAGCTGATTATTCTTGCCCCACATGTAGCCTTTGTGGAGGCATCTGGATGGTCACTACTAGAAACTGGATACTGAACTTGATGGGCTTCTATTATGACTTACAGGTGTCTTCCTTCATTCTTATTGCACATATACACTGATAACATATTTTAAAATGATGAAAAAACATCACATAAACTACATAAGGAGTTGTTATTTGTATCAATGCTTAAATGTTTAATCATTTAAAATGCCAAGCATTTTGCAGACTTCAGACCCTGAAAAATTGTAAATTTGTATTAAGATCCATCTTTTCTCTTTTTTTGTACTTGGGTGGATTTGAATACATGAATTGAATGAGCTATTCAAACCTACAAAACTGTATAAATAAGTAACACCACTTGCACACCTTAACAAAAGAGCCTGTCAGTAAATGTGTTTTCTAATCGAAAAAGGTTTCACTCTGATGCATACTTCTGAGAAAACACATGGGGCTGCATTGTACGAGGTAGGAAAGAAAGCAGTTACAATTACACTACACCCACTGAGACTAATAGTTTGTGATCCATTTGATTCAATGGATGTGGTCAAGGTTGCATATTCTGGTTTCAAATGTTGACAAAAATGAAACGAAGACAGAAGTAAGTAGCACAAAGATCAACCAATCACTGTTCAGATGTCTGTCCCAATACAGAGAAGAGGGTTCACTTGAAAAAGCTGTTGAGTGCTACACAAAAGAGAACTTGAATGTCACTGACTAAATAAACAAGGACAGAGAAGAGCTTTGTAGCAACTTCTTATACTTTTCTAAATGAATGCATTTGAAATAATAAGTAGAAAGGACTAATATGGGGATAGATTCCAGGCTTCTATCCTTTTCTCTCTCTCGCAGTTATGTTAGTGTGATGACAATAATAATAATAATAATAATAATAATAATAATAATAATAATAATAATAATTTTTATTTTTTTACCTGCCTCATCTGATGGCTTGAGGCAGGGTACAACAAATTAAAAAATAAAAATAAAAATACAATATAATACTAAATTACATAAATAAACGCATATACACACATGAAAATTTATACAGACACAGCTACAGAATTGATATATAGTGGTAATGGAATGTAAATCAACATTCATGATTGAAAGTTGACAGGGTAGGCCTGCCAGAAGAGATAGGTCTTCAATTGAGTTTCAAATTCCGACACCTTGTTTAGCTGTCGGATCTCTTCTGGGAGGTCATTCCACAGTCGTGGGGAGGCCAATGAAAAGTGACAGTCACCAGTTGGGTTCCAGCTGGTTAAAGTAGCTGCTCCCAGAGGACCTGAGTGATGTTTTTTGTGGAAGTTCTTACATAAGGTTCTCTAGAGAGCAGAACGTGAAAATCCAAATTACACATTATCTCTCTGACTGCCATATTGCTTTTCTTTGAATAACTTACTGTGTGATTGAGCTCTGCATGTGCAGAAAGCTTTTGGTTCGTTTTTATTTGTAATTAAAGATGAATAAACGTGTTACCAGTTTAAACCTCATTTATAAATAGTTCATATAACAAATTGTAATCATATTACCTGATACAGGGAAGACTGGTGCAGGAGGAGAGGATATTACCCGAGGTGATGCATTATCTTCTAAATAAAAGTGAGCTGTTTGAAAGCACTTCCTAAATGAATAAAGAAAACACAATTTTTTATACAAATGCACAATGATTGTAAAACATTTATGACACACACTACAGCCATGTCCAAAATATGTTTTCTCAAAGTCAGTTTAAAATTTTACTAACATAGATCTTAGACAACATTACAGTGAAAGTAAAAATTACAGAAGGCATGCTGCAACCAAAGCGGAGTATATCTGGGTCTTACTGATTTCATCTGGAGAGAAAAAAACTCACATAAATATGTCTCCCATGAACATCAGTGAAACCTAAAATTACTGAACTCCAGCTGTAGCATGTTATTACAGTTCATGACTTTACAACAGCAACAATATTAAAAATAACATTCCTATAATGTATGCTATTTGTTTTTACCTGAACAGGAGGCAGAAGGTGAAGCAGGCATCTGTCATTGTAAAACACTGAAGGCACACATATAACTCAGGTATTACTTTTTATGCTGTTCTACATATCAGGAGTATTGAAATGATTGTCCTGATCAGGCTCCATTGCTAGCAGATTGTCATTCACCTGGTTTTAGCCAACAGTCCTAGGTTGTGTTTCAAATCAGTTTTTATACTAAAATTATTTCTTTTTCTAGAGCCAATGTAATTGAAGGGAACATATATCCATTGTGAATAAAACAATCCACAAGCTTACAATACAACAACACACACCCAAGGGAAAAAGGTTGGTTAATCACCATACCAGGACACAAAAATCGTATCCCATCAAGTGGTTTCAATATGAAGAGTGTAATGCATGGTGATTTCTAATCAAAGGAGTTAGAGCTTGGGATGAAAATATTTACAGTGCTGCATAATGTTATTTGAATCTTCTTTCATATTCCAGATGTTGAAATAATAGCAATGGCATCTGGTAAGAGTCTATGATAGGCAATTCAAAAGACTGATAATCAACCACAGCTTTAAACAATAATGTATCTTCTTAATTAAAATAAATCAACCTGCAGAGAATTAAGCCTGTTAGTAACAATTTATATGGGTCATTTGCTGAGTTTGAAATATTAATCACAATTGGTTAACATTAAAATGCAATAACTGCATCAGGAAAAGTTAATTATAAATTTTAATGTGTTAAATTCTACTTTACAGCAACAGAGTCAAAATATCATTTTCCCTTTCCTTTTCCATCTTATTGGCTGATCCACAAATACTATTAAAACTGAGCTACTTCCACAGTTTTGAACAATGGAATATAGAATAAATATGCATGAAATATATTAACAGTTTGAATCAGATCAAACGTTCTACATTTATTTTCACTTCAAGCAACTAGCAGGTTCTGTACCCCTTACTCCCTGCCTAACACATGATTGGCTTGGAAAAGTCCCCAATTATAGCACTTTAACTCTCTGGAAACTACTTTTTCCATGCAAAAAATATTTCTTTCCTGTGCAAAAAACAATGCTCTTCCTGTTCAGAATATTCTATTATTAGAGACTTACTGTGGAAAAATGTGCACATGATTGATCTGCACAGAAAATTACATTTTTTTTGTACAAAAAAAAACATGTGAATTTTGCTCAGAGTGAGTCCTGAACAGCAAAAATGATTGCCAAAACGAAGTTCTCATCAGGTTATCATAGATGCTTTCAATTCATAGGGTCAATATAAGCTGAAACCGACTTGATAGCACCTAACAACAAGTGGAGTTCCACTGTTTCTTCCAGTTTTGCAAGCATTAGGACATTAACATGTGTGCCTCCTAAGTGTGCACGGGATGTTGGTTACTTACTAAGAAAGTCCAGGGAAGACACATTCAGAAATGGGTTAATTCCCATGGCTGTCCAGGCCAAGCAGGGTTACATGACCCAAAAGTTTGCTTTATCCAGCAGAATCTCTAGTTTCTCCCTGAGTTTTTTCCACAGTCAAATGTAAGACAAGTTGCACTCAGGAAATAAAAAAATTAGACTAAGCGGTGACTAACTGGACATATGCAAGGTTATCATAATGAGTCAAATTAAGAAACAAATCAAAACAGTTTTTGATCACCAGCATCATGCAGAATACATTTGTATGTCCCTTTTTCTCTGGTTCCAGAATGGACCTTTACAGTAAATAATGTTCCACTAAGAATAGGATTTACCAATGCTAGCTTAAGGGAAGGTATAAATCAGGCAGGTGTCTGAATCTATTAGGGACTCACCTATTATAATACCTTCCCACCAAATACTCCCCTGAGCAGAGGGTCATTAAGAAGAGAATGAATAGAGTTCACATACGGTATAACTTGTATAACCATAGAGTGAGCCATCTTGAGCTCAAGAGGATGGAAAGAATTAGAAGTTAGAGATATGCAAACTTTCAAACACCTAGCCAATTTGAATGCCATTTCTTTCTTTCTCAGGGAAACAACCCCCCTCCTTTTAAAGATATCTGCTGCAAATCCTTTCTGCCAAATACAATTTTAGCTGGGGGATAATAGCCAAGTGGAACATTCAGTAAATGTTGAAATGCTAGACTGTGTGGCAATATTGCTTGTTTCAGAGAGTATTAGTTTTAAAATGTTAAGCATAATTTTGAAGCTTGGGATTCATCAATATGGAAAATTGGCTTTAGCAACCTAAGGAGAAGAAACTAACTATCTCCAGTGAGTAAGGAAGGTGATAATATAGTATATAAATTGTATATGCTCTGCAGACTCTCCCGAAATAATGAAGGAATTTCAAATACATACAGGTGTGTGGTAACAAAATATGTTTCCTGTTTAATACCAGTCATTATGTTGAAGCTAATCTGTGTCTGGATATAACTCCTTGACTAAGAGGCCCTCTGATAGCATAAGCAATCCTCTCCCCATTGCTTGTGACACTGAATTCAAGCACTGAGTTGTTGTTTGGCCAGGTAGAACCCAGCATGACTACACTAGTTATCACAGATGTTGCTAAACATTATACCTATAACCATGTAAAGGTCTCATAAATATCTTATTGTATTATATAATATATAGAGAGAGTAGTGTGCATTCTTGTGAACTTGATGCACGCTGAAAACAATTGAGAATAGTTTATAATATAGGCAAGTTGATTCCTTTTTATCAGCAAAGTACAAATATCAAAGTTATTAAGATGCATATTAATGACCCAATGCATCAAGATAAAATTTGCAAACATCCTTCTAACTTTGACAGAAAACTATTAGAAAAACTGAAGCATTTCACATAATTGTATATCATTTTGTGATACTACAGAACTCTAACAAAAATTTTAGTGACCTCTTGTGGTCAATACAATTTATCTTTCAGATTAACAAAAAGAGAGCTACAATATCTATTTTGTAATACACAGGAAAGACATGAAAGATTAAACTTCATCTAAAAAACATCTAAAGGGATATTAACATTAATGGGATGTTTGTTTTATTTTAAAAATCAAGGTTACCAAACTGTATTTTCAAGAAAGGAAAACAAAATGAACACAATGTCATCTGAAAAGAACAAGGATCAGGACACATGTAGGATTACGAAAACTACACCATGCAATCCTGGTCTTAAACTGTATCACAGCCTTTTCTTTGTAAATATGAGAGATTTAAAATACTATTTACCCTCAAAGATAAAACCTTTTGGAAGATGAATGTGAACAGTCATGTAGAATGCCACAAAGCTATAAGAGAAGCTTGTCACCAAAATTATGGTTAGCTATAAATCCTACACAAGAAGACAATGGATTCCCACCAATACAAAAAACACAAATCCACTAAAAGTTGTGGTACATAAATCACAATGGTCGATATTGCCTAACAGTTTGTATATTACAATATTCAACAAACGGCAAAATTAAATGGTATAGGCATAACCCAGTATATAATGAACAACAACCAGTTGTTTACAAAGATTACACATACATAACATGAAGAGTCTTTTGGTGTAAAGACAACTTGTCTTCAGGGCATAAGATCCCTTGCTTAAGAGTAAGCGTACTGTAAAGAGTCTTTCTTGGTGTAAAACCAACTTCTCTTCAGGGCATAGGATCCCTTGCTTTAGAAAATTTTTGGATATCCACATCCACGACCGGTTTCACGTGGATATCCAAAAATTTTCTAAAGCAAGGGATCCTATGCCCTGAAGAGAAGTTGGTTTTACACCAAGAAAGACTCTTTACAGTACGCTTACTCTTAAGCAAGGGATCTTATGCCCTGAAGACAAGTTGTCTTTACACCAAAAGACTCTTCATGTTATGTATGTGTAATCTTTGTAAACAACTGGTTGTTGTTCATTATATACTGGGTTATGCCTATACCATTTAATTTTGCCGTTTGTTGAATATTGTAATATACAAACTGTTAGGCAATATCGACCATTGTGATTTATGTACCACAACTTTTAGTGGATTTGTGTTTTTTGTAGCTATAAATCCTCTCAGCAAAACCCTGAACAATTGTCTAGGAAATGTAAAGTAAAAATAAGATGTGCTGCACTTTGAATGCTTCTTTCTATGTGGTAGACGATATGTACAGACAATTTATGACTATTTACAGTTGAATGTGTGAACAAACTCCATTAGAAGGATATATTCAAATGGAATCAGGTTATTTGTAAACATGATTGGTAGTGTTAAATCTGTGATGGTTCATCCACATATACAAGTTATCACCTAATGTTGACAGAGTAATGCTATGTGTGAACTAGCTCTAATCCTGGGAAGTGAAACATTTATTATTTTTAAAAATAGGAGGCGGAGGAGAAATATAGCAATAGTACATTTCTGTAGCGCAATGCAATCTCATTTTGTTTCAGGGCTGCCAAGGCATCGTCACTGAATGATAGGAAATACAAATAGTTCAACATAAATTTCGATCCTATTGAAATGGTGCAGACACATTGAGGAGTATTAATGCACCACTGATTCAATAGACATATCCCAACTGGGTATACCAATTGGACTTAGGTCTCTGTGTTATGTTATCACAGATATAAAAAGAGCTATGTGGGTTGTAATAATCATCATCATTATCTTAATAAAACTTACCTCCAGTATATAAGTATAGCAACAAGAATCACTAGACAGATGAAAGTCAGGGCTGAAACGACCACAAGAGGTATAACAGTCTTCGGTTCTGGGAGGCCAATACGCGACTGAAGGCTACTATTACTTGCCTCTGTAGTCAGAGAAAATTGAAACAACTTTAAACTTTGGTAAAAATGCACAGCATAATTGGCCATGCTTTCAGAGTCCTAGGCACTCTCACTTACCGTTTTAATTCTTTTAGCAAACATTGCAATACATATTTGCAAACCAGTGTAAAGAAAATAAGCAGACAGATGGCAAAAGCAGAAGATAAAAGCATAGTATTCTAAACACTCTACAAGTGCAAAATTTCATTTTGCAGAAACAGTACTTACAATTATGTTTTTGTTTAACAAACAAAATAAAGGAACAGTTTGATTCAGTTTTATGTTAGCAAGCAATAAATATGTCCAGAATATTGAATAATATTTGAGCTGCAGACATATTTGTATTAACCTAACATTTGAATTAGGCATTGTTTTATTGAGTATAAGTAAAAAGACTATAAAGAGAATAAACTTCACATTGTAACTATGGCTTCAATGACAAATCTCAACACACACATACAGAATGCTAACAATCTGCTGTGGTGTGTATTGGCATTGAGAAGAAACTAGAAAATATTTCACTCTGCAAACATCGGTCTCATAAAACATATATATGAAACAAAAGAAACCTTGTTAAAAAAGAACTGTTTTTTTTTACAGACAGACTTAGTCACAGCAACCAATGGTATGGGTACTTGTCCACCTTTTCATATTTGTGCATACTTGGAAAAAAAGTTCCCTTTGTTTAGAATCAAGCAATATCTATGCAACATTACTGAGAGAAAGGGAGATAAAAGTAGAACAATTTGACCTTATTTAATTATAAACTAAAGAACAAAACTCACTAGAATTCATAGTGCACCTTAGATCTGCAAGTCAGTTGAATTTGTAGGTAACTTAAAAAACATTAGACCAGAACTGGAAATAAAAATGAAGTGTTAGATTCTCACTTTAAAATTACTAGAAGTTTATTCATTCTGCCTACTTTCTGTACTTAGCTTTAAACTTGATCCTTTTCTCACCACCATATAAAGATATGAAACATATCTTACTATGGAAAGTAGATGTCTGCAACCATTCAAATAAAGGAATGCCTCACAAGTTGTTCTGCATTTGAACAGGTACATAAATGGCATTTGAAGTCAAAAGTGAAGCACCCAGCATTCAAACATGCATGGGAAGTCAAAATATTAACCAGCTTTCCAAATATACATTTTCTCTATTTACAACAAGATACATCAAATTTAGTCTTAATAATAATCCATTTACTCTGAAGCCCATAAGAGAACATTTAATGTCTGTGACATGAGTATTCCAGGGGAACAAACTTAAGTATTCACACAGTCAGATTCCAAGACAAAGGCATCACTCACAGAAATAATTCACAAGACAAGAAATTATGATATTTTTGCATCAAAAGATCATGAAAGTGCCATAATAGCTTTATCTCATTTTTACTGAAATACAAATTCTAGACTTCTGAACTAGCATTAAGACAGACCTAGTTAGACAGTAGGAAATATTGCATTCTTGTACACACTCCCAGGTGAATCTGAGAATGGCCCATATGCAAAAGCAGAGGACAGTGAGATGCAGTAGAACAATATGTTTTAGGTCCTGCTTTTGCTCCTAGTTGGTTTCAATTGAGAAAGAGATGAGAGGTATGCATATTTTTCTGCCCAACTTAACCATTGGTGGGAGCACCCCTGTCTCTCTCTGACTGAAGGAGTCTCATTAAATTGATTGGCATGGTTTAACTCAGTGGTTCTCAACCTGTAGGTCCCCAGGTGTTTTGGCCTACAACTCCCAGAAATCTCAGCCAGTTTACCAGCTGGTAGGATTTCTGGGAGTTGAAGGCCAAAACACCTGGGGACCCACAGGTTGAGAACCACTGGTTAACTGAAAGATTTATCAAGGTAGAATCAGGTATTTCTTCATTTCTCCTCCAGGTGTTTGTTGCTATAGGGAATGGGTCCACTGGAAGTACGCTCTAGATTTAGTCATAGGACAAATAAGAAGCTGTTTCAAGCAAGCTCTTTGTTGTTGTTGTTTTTGTGTGCCTTCGAGTAATTTCTTATTTTTAGCCCCTCTAAGGAGAACTTACAACATAATTTTCTTGTCAAAATTGGTCCAAAGGTGTTGGCCCTTGTCTTCTTCTGAGACGAAGAGCATGTGATTTGCCCAAGGTCACCCAGTAGGTTCTTATTACAGGGTCAGGTTCAAATCCTCATATCTCACAGTCCTAATCACCACACTAACTTGCCCTTAGGTGCAAGCTCTGTTAAGTATTTAGATGGGTGATGAGATTTTGCCCTAAGAAATAGGATTGATTTTTCCCATTTCTGACCTTCAGTCGTCTATATGCCACATTGAAGGATGAGAAGAAGTTCATCAGATAGGTTTGCAGATTCCTCTTGTAATTACATAAGTTGCACATTTAAATCTAAAAACTGACTTTCATCTTTTATTTATTGGATGTAGAATTAAAAAAACATGATCCAACTCAATGTTATCATAGCCTCAAAACCACTAGATCAGGCATCCTCAAACTGTGGACCTCCAGCTGTTTGGGACTACAACTCCCAGAATTCCTGATTACTGAACAAGCTGGCTAGGGCTTCTGGGAATTGAAGGGCCGTAGTTTGAGGATGTCTTCACTATGTAGTCCACAGTGCTACATTCCATGGGTAGAGCAATATGTATGTTTGAAGGTTCCCTTTCTTAAGAGCTACCAAAGATAATGCTCATGAAGTCTTTGCTAAGCAGATGCTATAAAAATACAAATTCTATATTGTCAGTGAATGACCAAAAAAAGGCTAGACTATGAAGTCACAGTATTAACACAATAAAATAATTCCTGTGCTCAACAAGGAAAGACTCATAGCATTTATTTATTAGCATTCAATTTATGTTGCTGTCATAGTATTATTATATTATCCAGGTGAGGGCTAAAAGGAGACACTAGACAGAGAAAGAAAGTCAAGTTGGGGGGGGGGGGGTCGAAGAAAGAAAACAATTTCCCCCATTTTCACTGGTTATTCCTCCTCCTCACTTGCCATTTCATAAATGAGGGTTGTTTCCACAATGAGGACATGGGTGGGGGGAATAACAGGAATACAGGGGAAAATAGTTTTACTCTTTCAACCCCCTCCCCCCCATAAAATGGACTATCATTCTCTATCTAGCACCCCCTTTTGGCCTCCACACAGATAATGGAACAGTATCGCTGTCATAAAAAAGAAGAAAGTTAATTTGTATCTCTAGTTAATTAGCAAAAAATTTCCTGATGGGAAGCACTCATTTTTAATTGCTGTTATGATAAAAGTAAAATAAGGTGCATGTCAGGAGGAAATAATTTTCATGAAAGTGCCCTGAGAAGGAAAGATTTAGGCTCAGTTAGTAATTTCCTAAGCAATATAACATTTAGCCCTTTTAGAGCTTTTCAATGTTAATGGAAATAAATAAAGCATTTACTTTTTTTCTTTGTCGTGCCAGGAGTGACTTGAGAAACGGCAAGTCGCTTCTGGTGTGAGAGAATTGGCTGTCTGCAAGGACATTGCCCAGAGGATGCCCGGATGTTTGATGTTTTATCATCCTTGTGAGAGGCTTCTCTCATGTCAATGCATGAGGAGCTAGAGCTGACAGAGGGAGCTCATCCATGCTCTCTCCGGATTTGAACCTGAGACCTTCAGTCCTGCTGGCACAGGGGTTTAATCCACTGCACCACCTGGGGCTCCCTGTCTAGTTTGACAGTAAGCATTTACTGTCAAACGAGAAATACCATGTTATCATTTTGTTTTTTAAATAGCCATTTTTTCTTTTAAATTCAAGACATAAAGTGTGTAAACATTTTAGTTGCTTACTTTTAAGCTATGTAGCACAAAATGGTCTCAATGAAAGACACAGGCACAAAAGTAACATTAGAAAAATGTATGTCTCAGTATATTTGTTCATATATTTGTGACTAAAATGTGTGAAATTAATTTATATAAGACTATATCCTGAGAAGATTTCAGCGTTCTTTCTGGATACCAAGTGTTTTCTGAATATGAAACAAAATATTTAGCTGGGTAATACTGCCCTCTATAGGTAATGAATATATAGGAAGATGAGGAAAATATGCACGCTGTACACATTAGCCTGATTACATTTAATTTTAAGGACTCCGAAATACAGTTTGTGATCCTTTAACTGTCAATGCTATGTTTTGTTTGATTGGCAGATGTCAATTTTAGATTATTTTTTGCTGTGTGAGTTCAACCTAGGTTTCCTGGGAAAATCAAATACCAGTTTAACCAGAATATGACTGATAGTAGTCTAAGATACGTACTTAGAACACGTAAAATTGACCTATCAGTTGTTTTTTCCCCCACTCAAGTTAGCTAGTATACAACAAAATGATCAAAACTATTGACCTGAATTGAATATACAATATGATATACAGAGCTCAAACTCCATCGATTCAAATGATTTTGCAAGCCTCTCACATTCACAGAAGAAAAAATATTATCATTATTAACTATGTTATGATAATTATAATATTAATGATTGTAGATGCATTGAACATTAAAAAACCCAAAATGTCATTTCCCTAGCAAAGATTAGAGTACATTTAGGATTTTAAAAGTTTCACATTACTTGAAGAATATTCAACATACCATAATTAAATGTCACAGTGAATCAAAACTTAACCATACCTTCAGAGCATAGATATTTTTAAAGTTGAAAGGTTTCTGGATATTAATAAATATTTCTGATATTGATATTTTAACTGCCGTAAGTCTAACAGCAGTATATTGAACAGTGAAATTATATGCATATCTACTCAGGAGTAAGACTCACTGAGTTTAGTTGGAATGACTCAAAGATAAATGATAACCTTCAGCATAAAACTACATGTGGTTATCTGTTAAGCCTGAGGTGAAAACATTTAAATCAGAAGTCGCCCACAGCGCAAACTGGGGAGGGGCAACATCTCAAAAAGTTGTGATGAACACCCTCTGCTTGGACTATGGGGTGTGTACAGTCAGTGCCTTCAAAAAGGAGTCAGATATATATTCTTGCCAAGGCATTCCCTTCACAGCAAACACCAGGAGATGTTCTCATTAAGACCTTGTACAATATGTGACCATAACTAACCTGCCTCTGAAACGTTGAATACTGATGAGTGACCACTATTGATGGATCCTACTGATGACTGCTGCAATCCAGAGGTTAAGTCTGCATTACCTGCTCCAACTACCCCTTCAGAGTCACGGTCATTAACATCAGAAAAACTGAAATCTGTTGAAGTCTCATTATCATTAATACTATCTGAGGCACTTTGACCCGAACCGCTTTCTTCATCACTTGTAAAAACTGCCCATGATTTAGATTCTGGTCCTTTTTTCAATGGATCTCTAAAAGTCTGGATTTGGTTATTCAATATGGCTGAATCACTGTGTTTCTTAGACTTTGTGTTTGAAGCCACAGCTGGGACTGATGGATATTTCAGCTGGTCCATCTCATTGGTTAATGTATGATGCAATAAGGCAGTTATGGTTTTCTTCTCTTCTTCTTCAGATGTTTCAAAATGTGAGTTTGTAATTAGGCTATATTGATTGTTTGTACTATCTACTTGTGTATCTGGCTCATCTACCTCTTCTTGTGTCTCTCTATGGGAAAGACATCTGTGACAACCATTCACAGGTAAGCTACTATCATACTCGTCATAATCTTCATCAACAATAGAGGACCACAAATCTGTAATAGAACTGGCTGTTGTGGATTTCTCTGTGGTTACTTTAGTGGGAACTAATAAAGTCTTTAAAATTGTGCTGGCTTTGGTTCTAGCAGAATCAACTGTAGAAGAAATCTGCTTATCTGGTGTGCTTTTAAAATTATGCTTAATAGAATCAAAAATTGTTTCAGGCACAGGAACTCCAGTATCAACAGTATTAGTACTTGCAGAAGAAGTGAGAATTACATCCTTTTGAGAAACATTTGGAAGACTACTGTTATTAGCAGATGTGGCTACATTTGGTAGTGTATCAGTTGGCAAGACAGGGGCAGCCATTGTGTTCACCACTTTGAAGGAAGGAACACTTTTATTTTCTACTCTGGTTGACTGATGTGACACATCATTACTGTACAATGAGGGAGCATCCTGGTGTACATCTTCACTGTTGGGCAATCTGGGTGAACTGTGTTCATCACTGATATAGCCAAGAGTTAAACCTTGCAAATTTGTAAGGCTACTGGTAGTATATGATGTATTTACAGCAGATGGCGCTGATGTGGAATGCATTTTTTTATTATTTGCAGCAGAATCTAGTGTCATTTGGTCAAATACAGAACTACCATTATTAGGCCTCCTGTTATTTTCAGTCAATACTGGATCGCTCGAATCAGTTATAGTTGACCTAAGCTGTTTATCATCATGAGAAGACTGAAAGAAAGTTTGCGGCAATGCATCATTTTTTAATATAGCTGAAGCCTCATTAAAATACTGCTCAGTGGAAGGATGCAATATTTTGCTAGAAGCAGGGGTAAGAGAAGCTGGCTGTGAGAATACATTAAGCTGAGGCTTAAGCAAAGTGTCATCAAAGGCTGGCGTTGTAACATGCAAAGGCTGAATAGGAACATGACTTTCTGCAAGTTTTCTAGCATCATAATCAAACACCTTAGTAACAGGAAAAGCAATAGATACTGGAAGGATTCCCTTTGCACTAGAAACAGTAACGAGGATTTCTTGTAAAGTTGCATCCTGCTTAGTAATCTCATCATTAGAAACTGTTGTTGTAAGTTCAGCCATTTCAATTTCAGCAAGAGAAGGCATTTCACTGAAAGAAGAAGAAATTTGCAGTTCCTTGTCAGATGCATCTATTACACCATTTTTTGGAGGCGTTTCAATATCACCAGTAATCCCAGGTGTGGTGCTTATCAATTCACCTGAAGAATCATGCGAAGACATTTTAAGCATTGGCAAAATATCTGTGTCAGGCAAAAGGGACTCACTACCAGAATATGCTTCAGACCAATCCATTTCACTAGAAAGAGACCTAGTAGGCTGCAGCAAAGAATCAGCTTGCGAGATTGCAGAAGAAGGTTTATGCATCAGCACATTGCTATAGCTGCTAAATAACGGACCCTGGTGAGATGTGCCAACAGACTCATGCACAAACTCTGAAGAATAGGAAGCAGCAACAGTTTTGAGAGAGCTCATATTACTAGACAAAGCATAAGTAAGTTCAGACATTGTAGGCAGTGCATGCATATTTGAACTACTGCTGGATGGTTCAACTTGAGACAAGTGAGTTCTATCATGACCAAATATCAATGTCTCTGAAGCTGCACCGACTGTCTGATGTGATGTCACATCAGAATACTGAGTGAGGCGTGTCTGCATTAATGTGCCAGCCTCTGGCAGTGTCAAAGGAGCATGCAGGGACACCTGATCATTCTCAACAGCTGGAGTAGCTCGTGGAAATGTTTGTGAAACCATATACAGACGGTGAAACACTTTACTACTGGAGGAAGCAGAGGAAAATGGAAGCAAAGGCACATCATCATAGGAAGACAAGGTGGATTCAAATGACACACCAACACTGGGAAATACAGGCGTAGCATGCAAGGTCACATCACTACTTGATGCAGCAGGGAAAGTGTTGAGCATCTGAGCGCCAGACAATAAAGGGGTGACTAGAGGAAACACTTCACTACTGTAGGAAGGTTGAAGTGGTATCTCACCATTATACACTGGTTGTGTTGTCTGAGAAAGTACCTCATTGGCAGAAGAAGCAGAGCCATGTTCTTCAGAATTTGAAGAAGCAGAGTATGGTGACAACTCAGTAGGGGAGAAAGCAAAGGTAGAAGAATGTGGCAATTCTATATCCACAGTTGAAGACTCTTGTGACACCAGTGGACCACCGGGATAAGGTATGGTTGTGCCATTGTGATACCACAAATTTCCATTGGCTTCAAGCACCTTCTCTGCAGAATCTTCAGCACTTGGAGGTGTGACATCTTCTGACAGAATTTTAATATAGTCTTGAGAGAGATCATCATGCATTTTTTCTGGGCTTCCTGAACTAACAATGCTTTCTTGGGCTGTCTCCACAGTAACTAACCATGAAGGAGAGGTGGTATGAATAGAACTCCAAGAGTCATCGGTGTCTGGATCAGGTTTAAAGGCAGACACCTCTATATCATCTTCAATACCATCTGTAGTAGGTGCTCTTGCCTCATTGTCAGAAAAAGCATGTGCATACTCTTCCTCATTACCTTTGGTGGAGCTACTTGCAGTTGCTGACTGAGATTCAACAGAATCATCCTGTTCTTTCTTTGGTCCTTCAGCAATAGATTCAGAAGTTGGGTGAAAAAATGTTTTAGATTGGTCGTCTTTTCCATGAGCATCTTCCTCTCTTGTTACATATTTGTGTGTTCCTGCTTCATTGAATTTTGTTCCCATTCTTTCTTGATCGTAGCTAGATGTAGTAAACTGGAACTCCTTTTTCCTTATTTGATTTGTCATACTATCAGTGCTGGAAATTACGGCAGCTTCTTCACCCACTCCTTCCCTTGTCTCTTCCATTTCTTCCTCCTTTGAAAACACAGCATACAGAAAACATTCTCAATGTCCTTTCAAATGATATCTAAAACAAGGAAGGCACATTATAAGGAAACACTACATTCTGATTAATTATGGTGGTAAAATTCCCATATATTATGACAGAAATTATTGTAGAAAAACTCCCATAAATTACTGTAAAAAAATGGCAATTGAAATTGTATACTTTAAAAATTAATAACTAGCATTACATAGCAATTTGTCTAAACCTCTTACATATAATATAACACAAGGGATTGTAAGATGATAGCAATTATGGGTACTTAAATTATTTTGTAGCTACATCATGTCAAAACTAGACTACAAAACAATGTCATAGTTATAATTCTTCTGAACCCTCAATATTTCTGTATGAAAATGTTGTTGGCATTTGTTCAGTGCTGGAGAATGTCACCAGGGCCAGAATAAGAGAGATACAGCACTTCACTCTTCTCAACCCCGAAGGGGACCCAGAGCGGTGGTTTAATGCTAAATGTTTCTTTAGCATAAAACCATAATCAGGTATTCTGGGAGTTGTAGTTAAAAAAGTATTTTTTTTCTAAACTTGGGTCCAGACATGTTCATGTTCCAGATCGTTGCTGATGTTTTGGCAGTACGGATAGCCATCTAAGATCATCATGCGTGATGGGATGGCATCCCCACAGCCATCCTGCACTCTTCAGGCTTAGGTAGCCCAGGGAGGTGGGATGGCATTGCCTTCCTACACCCACCCCATGCCCACCAAACCTATAGGACATTCTCCTTATTGTTGCTGTAGGGTCTGGAATTCCTAAATATCCATCAGTCAGGATGTGATGGAACTTTGGAGGAGGAGAGATGGTTTACTGTCCCAAAACTCTTTGTGTCCTGACTGACGCAGATTCAGGAAATGCAAACTCTGCAGCAACAGTAAAGAGGATTTTTCATAGCTTGGGGGAAGGAAAATCAGGGTGCAGGGAGGATAGTAATGCACTGCTAAACTGGCTTTAGCATGGCTGGGCTGTGTGGTGGTCAGTCTCCCAACGCTGAGGTGGCTTAAGGAAGCTTAGTGCAAACAAAATGTGGTTCAGAACTAACTTTCTTTATGCCGGTTCCAGTTCCAGCCCCAAAGTTTCCAAGCTTCTGGAAATGAGAACCAATGAAGTAGAGCAGGGTAGGGAAATTTAGATGATAGGAAACACACAGTGCTGCAGCCATATATAATGATTTCATTATAAATCATTATATTATATTATATTATGATTTCATTCAGTTAAGCTGCTTTAACACCTCCTACATTAAATGGTACAAAGCAAACTACACTTCTCTTATATTCTTCTACACTGCCCCTATGCCCCAGGATATGATCCAGATTATCTGCTTATCAGAGATTATCTGGCAGTGGAGACTCATATAATTCAGCTTAAAGCTGATAATCTAGAATTGGATCCTGGGATACAGGGCAATGTAGAAGGGAGGGGGCTTAGTTAGGAGAACGAAGCTATGTTTCCTTGGTGTATAACTATGGGGTTAAGCCAACCTTGTGATTGTAGCATCTGGAAATATAACGTATTATTTAGTTTATGTTAAAAATCAAAAGGTGCCCACTGAATATTGTTACCTTGAAAGATAATATATTAGAACAGTATAAGTGAAAATTATGTAAATGCAATACCTCATAATCTTCAGGTATTCCAGGAAAGTCAATTTCTATAAAGTAAAATAAAAACATGCACTATGTAAACTATTATTTGAATATCACAGAGGCACCACCATTCTAAGAAATATCATAAAACCCATGGAAGCTTTAAACACACACACACACACAGTAAAACCTGTAACTTCAAAAGTCAATTGTTTTTATAGAAATTTGTGTCGATGAGCTACTATCACCATGTCTTCTAGCACGTTTTCCTTTGCTTATAACCAACAGGGCATGGTGTGGATGATGGGAAGAACTGTAGCAGAAAGGGGATTTAATGCTTTGCTCCATGCAGTTTAACTCCCACCCAATGGTCACTAGATGCTGAAGGAAGTAAGAAAAATATATGTACCTATGTAGGTTTTTGGGAATTTGCTTTTGTGCATGTGTATGACAGAGAGTCTTAAATCTGGGAGGTGGCTAACGTTAAACTTTGGGACTCTTAATTTTGTAGGCTTATCTCATTCCCCTCTGATGGCCTGTCATCCTATTGTGAAGAACTTCATTTTCTGGTATGAAATTAATTTCCTGAATTGAAAATATTTGTACTTATGTCCTTTAGTGAAGAATTTGTATATGTGCATTATTATTAAATACTTGTCTGTAGATAATAGTTTGGGCTTTCCCTCCTTCGTTTTGGTCTGTTTGTATTTAACAGTTTTCTTATCAGATGTCCTAAATGGTGTTATTTTATAGAGATATAGGTTGTAAACATGTGAATAAAACATAATTTAACACCAATTATGCTATGGAGAGTGTTATCTCAAATTTTACTTTTGCTATGTTTACACTTTGTGTGTTTGTGCATGACAGAAGGTTGGACTGGATGGCCCTTGAGGTCACTTCAAACTCTGATTCTATAACCTTGGCTACTTGTATGTGAAGATAAAATGTTAGATATATCAATAGTAGTTCCCCTTTATAAAATTTACTTTCACTTCTAGATGACAGTCACCATTTTAAAAAAATGTCAAGTCTAGCAAGACGGTAGTCTTTCAGCCTTATTGCAATTTCATTAAACTATCAGGTCTGTTCTAGAATAAGTACATGGAAGATTTTAAAGAATAATTGACAAAGAGCCATGTTATATTAACAATCAGGTAAATGCTCCACAATTATAGAAGGTTTGAGGCTATTTCTACACTGCAATATAATTCTATTTCTGAATCCAAATTATCTGCTTTGAAATGGATTATATGAGTCTACACTGCCATATAATCCAATTCAAAACAGATAATTTGGATTCAGAAACTGGATTTATGGCAGTGTAGATGAGGCCTAGAGGAGCCCCTGATGGCACAGCAGACTAAACCACTGAGCTGCTGAATTTGCTGACCAAAAGGTCAGTGGTTAGAATCCGAGGAGCAGGGTGAGCTCCCACTGTTAGCCCCAGTTTCTGCCAAACTAGCAGTTCGAAAACATGCAAATATGAGTAGATCAATAGATACTGCTCCAGTGGGAAGGTAACAGCACTCCATGCAGTCATGCCGGCCACATGACCTTGGAGGTGTTTATGGACAATGCCGGCTCTTTGGCTTAGAAATAGAGATAAGCACCACCCCCTAGAGTTGGAAACGACTAAAATTAATGTCAAAGGAAAATGTTTACCTTTACTTAGATAGGGCTTGAGGGGAAGTTTTGTGCTGCTGGAATCCTCCAGGCGATCATGCAGAGTGCCAAAAATGCACACACATACACCCTCCAAAATGGAAATGGCAGCAAGGTCAATTTATGGCTCTGAGTTATTTTTTTAAAATGATATTTAAATGGTTCACAGGGTTCCTGTAAACTATTTATCTGGAAGCCCCCAGAATAGGCAATTAATCCTTTCATGGCCAAAACAACAACAAAAAGGTAGCCCATGGAGTCAGGAGGAAGGACACCTGCATGTGACTCAAGGACAATTCTTAAAAATACATATTCAGAAAGATGTTTTTCATACAGACACTTCCTTAGTTTATCTGTCCAAATGAACAAATGAAGCAGCAGCAATTTCTGGGACAAAAGTAAAACAGATTGAAGTTATGGTGTGTAAAAACATGGTAGGATTAAAAGACAATCCTGATGAAATTGTGTGAAAAGGTGATTGCACAATGAGAGCCTGTTCTGCAAATACTTGAACATTTAACAGAACAATTTAGAAGCAGAAGCATAACCACACACAAAATATAATGCAATTATTTTTTAGAAAAAAATCTTACCTGTTATTTTCAGAAGTTTAGGAGGCTAGAGACAAAATAGTGATGATATTCCCTGGCTTCTCAATTGTTTGTAATTAACATGTAAGATGCCCATGAAAACACTTAACTCTGTATATTCATAATATATATTTCAACAGCTTGTAAAACAAGCTTTCTTTTAATTAAAAAGAAGAACAGTCATCATTAATTATGTTGGCTTCAAATCCTTTTGATTTGAATTTTCATCCTTTCTCGGTTTTTGTTTTGATTTGTTTTTGTGGCACTCAGTTTACGTTTACACTACAGGCAAAACAAATACTTTATCCAAGGGAACAATATAGATATGTGGATCAAAAACCCTCATTAATGAAAGAATACAAAGGAATCAACAAATTTCCATTTATATTTAGACATTTATTAAGTTCAGAAAAAACTGTGCCTTTATTACTACACACTACTGCACCCACACTAACTAATGCCAATTCAAAGCAGCATATGTGTTCAACCAATTTTTTTTGGGGGGGGGGGTCGGTGGAATTACAGTTTGCTTGTCTGTTTCATCTGTGTGTTTGTTTCCAAAACATAGTATATTTCACAGAACACATTTATAGTGCTGTAATAATGGGTTCCCCCATAATTGGAGGGATATAGTCTCCAACTAAACAAAGGTTTTATGACGTCATAGTTTTCTGAAGTGTATGAACATTGTTCTCGAGTGTATAAACATTGCACCAAACTATACAACATTATTGGTTTTTCATAAACAGGGTACATTTTGTTTCTGTATTTAATGTGCTATTTCAGTATTAATATCTGGCATCCTATAAGTGGCATATGGAGGCTAAGTCCAATTACACATTTTTTTTTGGTTCTGCATTGGTTTGAATTTTCTTTCACCCTCTCACAACAGACAACCAAACCCTGTCTTTTACATGCTGCACCTCTTCCAAGAGAGACGTTTACTTGCTGGGGGACCATAGGGGGAGCAGTGACGGTCCAGATATGTATCTTTGCCTGGACATATGGTGATGAAATACCTCCTGGGATCTCAGGGCAGCCCAGAGGTCCAGGAGGATCATGTTGTTAATGTACATCCAGCAAATTTTGCTAATGCTCCATAAAACCTTTCCTATGGAACTTGTTTGGCATTTGCTGTCTGTGGCTTTACCTAAGATTGAGCTTTGAAATTTAGAACTAAATCAAGACAATAATCACATGTGGCAGTTTAGATAGCTGACATCTATAAAATTTCAATAATTTCTGAAGCACACAGGAATTTGTGAAGACTCATTAGGTCTTATTTTTTCCTGTGACTATCAATATAGATAATAGAAACTCACCTTTAGCTGCAAATGTTTCATTGATTTTCCCAAGCAATGCATCACAAAACAATGTCTTTCTATCATGTTGTTGTCCATTTAAAAGAAACTGAAAATAGCCCCAACCTCTGGTTCTCTCAGAAGTAATATTTTCATAAACATTTTCATAATCATTTGGGCCATCCCTCTTACAAAAATAAGAACAACAATTCCTGGCTGTGGGATTACATTTACATTAAAGCAGTGATAGATGGGGACTTCAGTGAATCAACTGTATGTTTTAGTTGGGACTTCAAAGAAGCTATCCAAGGTGCTAAATGTATTAAGGAGACAGATTAATTGGGATATGGGAACCATTAGCTGCCACTGATTCTTAAGGTAAAAATTGTATATCAATAAAGCCAGAGGGGTTCCCCCCCCCTCTGTTTATCTTTCACATCTCCTTTTCATTTTATGTTTAGTGTTTTCAGTTTGTCAGTTTGGAAGCTGAAATTGTCTTATAACCTGGAACATTTCCAGTTGAATACTGGGTATAGCTGTTTTAATCAAGCAAACAAATAGAAAACTGCTTTCTTTTTATTACTTTGAAAACAGTGTTATAAGGTCTGAAACACTCCAAATTCGGCATTCAATTTTACTGAACTGCAATTACCCCAGCTAGTATCACAATACATACAAATGACAAATACATGTTTGATCAAATTACAAAAGAGGTTCTTTTTTGAATGCAGGCAAATGAAACAACTTACAGTACACCTTTCTCCAATTAAGAAGACATAAACAAACGTGGAGAGACTTCAATAGAGCCACACAAACAAGCATAAAGGAACATCAAAATTATTTATTTTGAGAGGACCCCCCCCCCCCAAACAAACTGAAGTTCAGTAGAATTTTTCAACAGTATTCTTTTAGGCATAAATGTCAATAAAAGCAAGCCTGGCAAGTATTATTAGGCTGCAAATACTTAGCAGTCTTTGGCATAATCCTTTGTTTCCAAACCCCATTTGGATCTATTTTCCTTAACTTCTTTTCCTTCCCATGTCAGACTCTAGATGCCAAATTCCTCAAAGCAGTGATCTGTCCACTTGCATTTTGCAAAGCTGTGCAAATAAAATAAATAATATAGGAAACATAGGGAAATAAAAAGAACCACCCAAGCCTTGGAGTGATTAAAATAATCTCTGTCCATGGTGCCTAGTTATTTCTCCTCATTTTAGCTCTCCTTGCTGTCTCATTCAATTTTCCAGAAGCTATAATTACATTTGTGATTACATAGTTTTGATGTATGAAGTATTTGGTTAAGTTGTGATTGGTAAGACAGGACTGCAATCACAAAGCAAGTATGCAGAAAAAAGCAGAACTACACAGGCAAGTAAGATGAATGCTGCTTCTTACAAGGATTGGTGTATAACAGAAACATACAAGGGAGTTATAACATTTCCATTTTTTTCACGTACACAATTACATCAATTTGGGGTAATAGAGCACAGATGGGGCTAGGTGGCTATGAATCTTGCATACTAAGAAGACTATTGGAGAAGGTCGTTTTGATTAAGATGAGGATGGACAGCACCATCCACTGAGCTGAAAAAGAAAACTCTGCATTTTCCTAATGGCTTGATTAGCTAACAGTTTCCAAGATAAAGAGCTCTCCAGAAGGACATTCAGGCAGCCATATGGATAAATATGAGCTGGAGACAACAAATGCAATTATGCAGGAATGTGCAGGAGGGAACTCCAGGAATGAAGAAATCAATACAGACCACATACAATGCAATCAAACACTGATTGCATCAGAGCCCAAAAAGGCCAGAGTTTGCATTAACTACGGATGGAAAGAATACAAAACTGTAAAAAATGGTTGAAAAATATGTTTGTCAGTTGTCAAGAAAACTTGATGAGAAAAAATCATGAGAATCCCCACATTCACCACTTATCCTATACAATATCCAGGTGGTCCTTTTTCACATAAAACAGCAATTTCTGGGTAGGAAACAGCACTTCCTATGCAAAATGTAATATTTCTATATAGAAATGTTGTTTTCTGTGCTGCAATTCAAGGATTATTCTGAGTAAATAACATATTTGCACAGAAAACAGTATTTTCTAAAATAGAAACAAGTACATGTATATTGGCTGGTGCCCTCCGAGAAATTATGGCACCTGTCCTAACAACATATATTTCAAACGAAGTGTTTTATAAAAAAGATGGAAGTAATATGAAAGTCAGCTACAATCCAATAGCTACAAACTGCAAAATTCAACAATGTTGATTATGAAAGGAAATTAGTCAAACATCTAACATATTTCATGGGAAGGAGAAAAAATAGAACGTTTGAATTAAAAATAATAATTATTGTTAGTCATTTTGCATGTTGCAGTCCAACATTAAGAAGCAAGGGAATTCCATCACCACATTTGCACTGAAATAACATTCCATAAGAAGCACCATGCAGTAAGATTTCAAAATCAATATGATCAATCTAAAAGTATCATTACTTCTTACACTTTTTTGTTCCATTATTTAATATAAATTATTTTCATAGTACTCATCTCATTTCTCACAATAAAATACCAGATTAAAAAAACTATCAAGATGGTTCATGGTTAAGCATACATTTTAATTTATATTTCATTAATTACACAGATTAATGGTGTTATATATTAAAGAGTGGCAGGATGTCACAATGATAACCTATAATTTAAATTTAAAATAATAACATCCTTAATGGAGACCTTGATTATCTATGGATGTTAAAAATAAATTTCAGATATTTCAAATTAACAATATTGATACTGAAATTCCATTGCATTGTATTTTCAGCTGGTTTGCAAATAAAAGGCTGCTATGGCATTTCAGCTAAAAATTACCTTTGTGAACTTACCTGGATCATCTAAAGGCATGTCAACAATGACTTGATCACTATATTTTCCATAGAGACCATTAGCACAAATAGCAACTATTTGGAGAACGTAGCTTGTATTAGGCAAGAGATTGTTCAGTATGGCCCCCTGAAATAATAATTACCAATCATTACTATATGTTTCATTAAAGTTTCATCTCATTTCTTAAAATACAATGGTGCTTCATTAGAAAAAGCAATGCAGTACCCGTGCATGTCTATTTTAAAATCTACATCCAATTATGGGGTTTATTTCCAAGTATTTTAAGAATAAAAAAGTAAATCTTTTAACTTTACTACAAATAATAGCACTACTGAATGTAGAAAGCAATTAATATATACTGGTATCAGTATTGTATTTGGACAAAACTGTTATGCAATACATGAGAGCATCAGAAATACATGTGGGACATACTCTATCCATTGTAATATTGGGAGAACTCTGTACAGTTGGCCCTTTACATTTGCAGGTTCAAACTTTGATTATTTGCCAATCATTTGGCAACTTGATGAATACATTCTCTAGGAAGTTGACAATAGAGTCATATTGGAGGGTAGAGAGATTCCCTAAGAGAACACTTCTCTAGTGAATTCTAGGTTTTTCAGGACAATCCTATAGTCAATTTCCAGGTTAAATGAAAAGTTTTTTTCTAACCCCCCCCCCCCCCCACACACACACACAGTTCTCTTGCTTTTGTGTGGATCCTGTGCCCCTAACTCCTGAAAACATGAAGGGTCTACTGTACATAACAGCTTATGGTCAGAAAGGGAAAGAGGTGAAAAATGCCATTGCAAGATGAGGTTTTCTGTCTCTGGACCATGAGCCTCCATGGTCCAGGCAGGTGGCCCTAGGTAATTTTCAACGGTAAGCAAATAGTATTTGGTGCCCCCCCCCCAACCAATCACTGATATATATTTTCTGTTCATCGTGGGAGTTCTGTGTGCCATATTTTGTTCAATTCCATCATTGGTGGAGTTCAGAATGCTCTTTGATTGTAGGTGAACTATACATCCCAGTAACTACAACTCGCATATGTCAAGGTCTATTTTCCCCCAAGAGCGCCTCAAGAGTGCTCCTGGGCAAAATCAACTATACTGCAAATGCTTACTTTGCGTAATCGATTGAGCTGCCCCTGGTGTCAATGAAGGCTTTTCAATATCCTGGTGAGACAGTTCTAGCTTATGTGATTTCTGGATTGCATTAGAACTGACCAAACTGACCCATGGGGCCCAAATAAGCAAATTGGGCTGTGAGACAGATTCCTGGGATTGCAGAAGCAGTCCGAGGAGTCTGTCCTAACAGGTCCTATAGCCTATTAGAACTGGGCCTTTAAACAATTGGACAAATTAATTTGGGACAATTGATATGTCATGTTTATTACTGTATGTTTACATTGATATGCTAATTGTTTAAATTGATATGTTATGTTTATTATTATATGTGTAATGTGGCATGATATGCCGTGGTCTGTACGTCACCCTGAGTCCCCCATTGGGGTGAGAAGGGTGGGATATAAATGTACTAAAATAATGATGATGATGATGATGATGATGATGATGATGATGATGATGGGTTTTCCTGCTATGTCTCAAATTAATTGATTTTTATTGGAGGCGTTGTTTGAACGCTTCCGGTAAAAGCATGAGAGCTTGTGCAATTTGGGCCCTGTCTGGATGGCCTCTTAGTGAAGAGAAGATTGAAGTGCAATGTGGTTGCACTCTTCAAACATTTCAAAGACTACAGTGGAGAGGAGGGGGGCTTTTCTCTGCTGCCATAAGGGGGAAGGACCAGGTCTAATGGCTTGAAGTTTTAGAAGAGTTGATTTTGACACAACTTGAGAAGGTACTTATTGATAGTATGAGCTATTTGACAGTGGAATCACTTGCTTATAGAGATGGTGGAATCTCCTTTGAATGTCTTCAAAAAAAGACTGGATAGCTACCTGCTGGTGATTCTTTAGCTGGATATCCTGTGCTGAGCAGGAAGTCGGCTCTAATGGCCCATAGGGCCCCCTCCAGCTTTATGATTCTATGGCTTTATAACTCCTTTAGCATCAGAAGGAATACACAAGAGAGGAAAACTGAATCCTTAACCATCACACACCTTAACTTCTCCTCAGTCCATGCCAGCAGCTAATTTTCTCCATTTATGCTCACTTCTCATATTAGAGCTGAAAGAGAGAAAAGTGACTGGAGCAAATATGAATGGGGCGCTTAAGGCCCTGCAAAATGGAGAGGATTTGGTATTCCTCTCCCATGTATCCCTTTTATTGTTAAAGATAACTGAATGGGCAAGATATGCAGATTTCAGCACAGTGATGCCTCATGTACCCCATAGTTTACTGTAAGAGGGATTTAGTACACCAGTTATGCAAATATGTGGTAAATTAAAATGAAAAGTGCTAGTGTGCTGTAGTGGTTTGAATGCTGGACTAGGATTCAGGGAAAGCAGGCCTCAAATCCTCACTTAATCAATGAAAACTCACTCGAACACCTGGGCAATTCACTATTAGCCATACAGGAAGGACATGAAAAACCTCCTCTGAATAAATTTTGCCATCTAAAAATCACAAAACAATAAACTGCAGTTACAAATTGAATAAAATACTTGCTACTGTTGGCAATCTTTTTACCACTATAATTGTCTGGTTGTTCTATTATGACCTGATTCCAATGGACAGTCCCAACTACAGTAGAGCTATTGAATCAATTACTGAAGAGTAATTATGCTGATACCATTAAATCAATGGATAAACTCTAGTGAGGGATAGTCATTGGCTTTAGGCCTCTATCCTTGTCATTGATATAACCTGGCATACATCATTGTTAATAAAGGTTTTAAAGAGAATAATACGGTGTAGGAAGCATAGCAGTATAACTGTTAGCTTTGCCAAAATCAAGAAAATTCCCCACAATAAGTATTTGTAAGTGATTTAGTATCTCTGCTTTGTAGAAAACCTTTAAAGTTGTCAGTTACCAAGTCCTGATACCCATCTGTTAGAAATTCATGCTTTTTCTGGTCTTCTCCTTCTAACTGTTGGTAAAAAACAGCAAACCTCTCAATCATCGTGTCATACACAACTCGTGGCCTTTCCCAAGTAACAAGAAGGCTGGTATAGTTCTTTGGATCAGCTTGAACATTTTCTGGTTCCAAGCTGCAAACTTAAAAACAAAAACAAACACAGAAACAACAAGTTAAAAATACATAGATTGGGATAGTATAGTATTTTTAAAATATTATATATGTTATATGTATTTTAATTGTTTTATCTATGAATGACATACTGTATATTGTTTTCATGTATATTGTAAACGCATTTGGATCCCATATTGGAAGAAAGGCAGGATACAGTTGACCACATTTATCTCAAATTCTGGCCTGTTATTTGCACATTCACTTCAGGGGAAAAAACATCCCCAGATTTCAGTCATCATTTTCTTCTACTTGTTTGCTTCCTTTTACTTAAAGTGAAGAATGCAGAAAAGTATTCTTGTTTGATACAAAACATCTCCAAGACTTGGGAGATTATTATATTTTTAGATAAGGTGGAGCAATTAATAAATGCATCTGCCTCAAACCTTCTCCTTGATCTAAAACTGAGAGAGGAAAATAGCCTCCCATTGCCTTTAAAACAAAACAACGTATTTGCAGGGGCATGTTGAAAGTCAATGATTTTCCATAGAGGAAGAGGCTATGCACATGGAATGTCATTTCAGGATGGCACTGTAGAACTGAATGTGAACAAGTAAAGTGTAGCAACATGGAAAACTCAATTGGCTTTTAGTTGGAAGGGCCCTGCCAATAATCACTGGTGCCATTAATTTTCATCTAAACAATATGGATGCATATTTTGTTTTATTATGTAAGACTCTGCTTTTATAACACAAGAGGGCACCCAAGGCTTAATATTGTTTTTCAGTATAAAGGCTGCATGAAATAGTGGGCAATTCAAAGATATTTCCCCTTGTTATTTCACAGTAACTGTAAATTAAAAAATAATGAAACAATCTTATTGAACTTGTGGTCCATTTAGTCTCTTTCAAAACCAAACACTAAAACCAATCACTGTGTCAGTTTCCATTTCTAATGAGGTAATGTATAGGTTTATTACATTTAGCAATTACTCAGATATCCTCAGGTGAATCCAACAGGAAAAACAAAACTAGCTCAATTGTGTTATATTGAGGCATTATATTAGAAACTGAAGCAGATGGGATTGAACACACCACTCTCAATATAAAGAAACATTTAGTGCTTTCCTTTTTCTGTACAAAATGATCAAGAGGGAAAAAAAGAATTTGGTGCTATAGGCTACAATCCAATATAAACTAATCTGGGAAGAAATGTCATATGATTCAAAAAGACTAAATTCTGAGTAAACAGGTATAAGATTGCATTTTGAAAAATACTTGTGTATTCGAGTCCATGGCCATAAAATACTGGCATTGCTATCATACAACACAATGCAATGAATGAGAAAGGGTTTGGTGCTGTTTTTTTCTAAAGCAGTGCTCAGCAGATGACATAAGTCAACATAGGAGAGACTTGCATTGCCCCAGATTCAAATTTCTTTTTGGCTATGAAGTTTCTTTCATCCTAACACCTATCTCACAGGAAAGATATAGGGTTAAAAAAAGAGCTGAACACACATAGAGTGCTTGATGTAAATTTGAGGAAGAGAAAAACACACTATTAGTAATATTAGTAAATTAGCATTTAAGCTTTTAAAAACCACAATCTTTAGATGAATCCTATTAGTTGAGGTTCCTTCCCTGTTTTTTTTTAAATAATCAATTTGTTCTGTTTTGCTTTGTAATCAACTACCTATAATATATTTGCTGTCAGAATCTTTACTGGATTCAAAATCGACATTCAACTGATTCACTTGTGGATCTTCAGCTGTGGCTTTACTGGGCACCATATTACAAAGCTCTATTTTGGATATTACAAATAATGGTGGAAATGAGACTCAATAGCATAGTCACACCACACTGTCATTGTCTTAAAATATATATATTGGTTTATGTAGGAGCTCTGCTTTGAAAGATGAACCTATGAACCTAATGTATGTCAGTGACCAGTTCCATGTAGATCCCTGCTGTATGATTGTTGGAGAAAGCCTTTCTGTAATGTATGGAAATTCATGTGTATTTATATTTAAACCAGATGAACATGTCTCCCTGGTCTCTCAGAATTTTTATGTATCTCAGTCATCTTTCACCTTTCTGCTTAATGCACGCCACCTGGCAAGCAATAGTCCAAACAGATGCTGGGAGCCCAGAAACAGTTCAGGAGATAACATCAATCCCAAATGAATATGTATGTATTGGACAAAACTAAGGATGGGAAGCAAACAGCTGCAGAGGGAACTATAGGCACTCAGCCAACACTTAGGGCATCAGGAAATAGAAAAGTGCAGTAGCAGGAGCTACAGTAGTCCAATAATACAACAGAACTGATAGCAGAGATGAGTTAATAATGAATTAAACTAAAATTAAACATTAATAAAATAAACTCAAATTGGAATAAAGAAATACAGAGCAATATCTGTAAATCAAACTTCAATACATGATGTGCTGAAGCAAAATACTGCAACACAAGTTTTCCTTCTCATGTGTAATCTTGTCCTCAAAGTAGTGTAAAAAGGAGGAAGAAAGAGTGGAAGTAATGTAAACCAACTGTTTTTATTTTAGCATGAGTTTTCATGAGATAAACCCACTCATACAGATGCAATACAGAACTATGTCATTGAAAACTACTTGATAAGTAGTGTAGCGACTGCTTGCTTTTTTAAACATTATCTAATGCAAATCACTACCTAAGGGTTAAATTAGGCCAAACCACTACCGAGAAATATCACTGTGCATCTCATGATTTTTGTTTCACTTTTTTGTAAATGTTGTTTCTGAAAAGAAGAAATTGTACTGAAAAATAATGGTAATAACAATACATATTTTGTGTTTTGGAGAGACAAAATGAGCAATGCTGCTAGAGATGGTCCCTGCTGCAGAATTATAGACAAAAGTAGATACAAACAACTACAGTCCTCTATATGTTGTTGAAGGAACCAGAATCTCTCACCACTGGTTATACAGGCTGGGGTTGTTGGAAGTTGAAATCCATAATCTGAAGTGTGACAAATTCCACCCTCCTCCACTGAAGGAAAATGTGGGTCATATTTGTGTGGTTTTGGCTTATATATTTCAATACATATCAGTCTGGTTTGGCTTAAATTTATCACTTTAGTTATACAACCAAAAAGTATAGTATGAAGTTCTAAGACTTACACTTGTTCATGATGGAACACATTTAAAAGAGACAGAAAGTTATATAGTCTTTATTACTCATGCTCAATGCAACAGATACATACAGTTTATTTTGTACTTTTTACTTGAAATTTTTTACAGTTGAATGTTACTGGAATTACTGTATTGTGAATAAATGTTTCATATCTGACAGAATTAGGAACCATAGGCTTGTGGAAGCAGACATCTATGTGCATGCTTCTAGCTGGTCAAACAACTGTACTATGAAACATACTTCATATGTGCTGCATTCCTCAGTCTAGGTTCAATGACTGCATTTATCTAGTCTTAGACCTGGAAATTGGGAAACCATTCTGACCAGATTTTTCAGGATTGAGTAAAGTTAGGTTTGGCCCCTCCATGCTTTGGGAGTTGGGAGTTATGGGTTAGCATATCTATTAATTTCCTGCTAGCTCATATGAATCAGAGCCACTATCTTGGTAAGAAGGAAAAAGTGGAGTGGATGGAGAGTGGGGAGGAGTGCCTAGCTCTGTACTAAATCTTTAGAACTGAAGCATGCAGGTTACTGGAGGGGGCAACGCATGTAGTGTCCCAAATTTATTTTATATTATACTACCCTGAGATTTTTGGATAGAGAGCAGAATTCAGGTTCTCAGATTAGATACCCGATGAGGCTCCTGTAATACCCTTAACAGGTTGTAGAAAACGATGAGGTACCATAAAATTTCACGAAGCATGACTAGATTATCTGTGCTCCTTCATCTTCTAGACCCCAACTTTCAGCCACAGATATCTCTTCCTGACCTGGTTATTTGTGCTGCAGACAGTGGAAGGTACCAAATTCTGTTGTAGGCTATTCTTTGTTCTGCCCAATTTTGTTCTAGGCACCAAATGTTCCTCTAACCTTGCTTGTTCAGTGAGACAACTACTGCGTTGGGATGTGATGGCTACAGTTATAGATTTGGGTTTAGAAGATGAAGGAGGACAGATTCCTTCATCCCAACTGAGATAACTTTATGGTACCTCATGCTGTTCTGCACTCTGCTAAAGCAATTGGAGCTCCTTTTAGTATCCAGGCTTGGGAACCTGGGTCAAATAAAATGAATCAACAAATAAACATCTTTCTTCTATGAGAAACTCACTGTAGTCAAAATCATTGTCAAATCTGTCAATTATCACATAAAGAAATAAATACCTGCTTCATGAATTTCTTCCTGTCCAGTATATGAGGAAAACACCTGGCCAGAAAACTTAAGCTGTTGCTCTCTAAAATTATTTTGCAGGTAGTCCATCAGCATCACATAACCAGACTGTTGCATGGTGAGGACATCACAAAATACTGTCAGCTAGGAAAAAGCAGTTAATACAATCAGACAGGGAATCTTCTTCATAAATAATTGGCACCAATAAAAGGAACTTCTACGGCAATGGAGACATCCATATTTGAATTTCACACCTATCTGACGTTGCATCACAACTTATACAAACACGCTAAACATTCCATGCTTCTAGGTTTTCTATATCACTTTTTGCTTCAGCAGAGATTTAGCTACCTTACTCTTTTCCACTCTTTCTAGACCAGTGGTTCCCAACCTTTGGTCCTCCAGGTCTGTTGGACTTCAACTCCCAGAAATCTCAGCCAGCTTACCAGCTGTTAGTAATTGTGGGAGCTGAAGTCCAAACACTTGGAGAACCAAAGGTTAGGAATCACTGCTCTAGACAAACTATCTAGACTGCTTCCTTCACAGTCCACCTCACCAGATGACTCTCATCCCAGTTGGCTTTTTCTAGTTATTGTTGGGGGGGGGGGGGGGGGGGGAGATCATGTTCTACCATCTTAAACTGCTCTAGGTAATGTTCATGCTCTGCATCTATTGCTATTCCATTTTATACTTTACATGTAAAACATAAAAGAACATGCCATTATTTTTGTAGGCAAATTGAAATTAAACATGGTTTCTAACCATAATGGAAAATTTATGATAGAGGCTATTTGATGCAGTTTGACATTCTTTTTTTTTCCAGAAAAAACCCCTACTGTTTTTTTTTCATTTTTGCATAAAACTAGATGTGAAACAAATTTTAAAGGGTTTAAATGCCACCAGTCAAACATTAACAATTTTCTGATTGTTAATCGATCTCAAGAGTAGTAAGCTAATAAATATGGAATAAGTAATACTTTTCATTAATGAAATAGTTCATTTGAATTAATCAAAGTAATCCAATCATAAGTAAAACCATCAACATCAACCCAAAAAACTCAGCATTAATTTCCTTGGATAAAAATTTACCTGATTTTCTGAAATGTTAACAGTGTCTTTGAATATAATCCATTCAACCGATTCGGAGCAGGGGGGAGTTGATAAAGATCCATTATAAGTGTAATATTTGTTTGTTGAATTTGGCAAAAGGTTAGACAAGATGAAGGGTTCAAGTTCACTTTTCTTCCCTGCAAAATAGATATTATACGTAAACAGTGATTACTTTCTTAAAACCAGATTATGTCAAATAAAGGTGAAGACTGAACTAGATCTGTTTCAGTTTTGATTTATCTGTTCAACAAAAATGATCTGAAAGACGAAGTGGGCTGGAGACCGCGGGTAACAATAAGGTGGGGAGGGGGGAGAAAGGGAATGGAGAAAGTTGGC